CTCGCGTCTGAGAGCCATACTGACAGTCCCTTCTACCGGACAGGTCGGCGAGCAGATCCACAAGCCGGGCGATTTCCTCGCAGTACGTCCTCCTCTTTCCTCAGCCCGCCGTCCGGCCCTCGCGCTCACGCCCCTTCTCTCTTCAGGCCCTCGGCAGGGGCATCATCGACTCGTTCTCGGGCCCGCTCGCGCCGCTCATCGATGTCGTCAACGCCGTCGACTCGAGGACGCTGCAGACCGCGAGGCAGAACCTTCTCGCCCGCTCTTGTGCGTCCGCCCTCTTCTCTCTCGTCCAGTTGCGCTAGGCAGCCCTGACTCGACCCTTTCACAGTTGACGCCAAGTTCCCCGAGGCCGTCAAGCGTGAGCGTGGCCAAGCCGGCCACGAGGGCGCCGTCAAGACGAAGCACTTCGTCCTCCACGCCGACGCCAAGGAAATGAAGGCCGGTGTGCGCAAGGACAAGCTCAAGGCCAAGATTTCGGCAGCCCTCAACGAGGTGAGCAGCCTGCTCGCAGCGTCGTCCTCGCCGTACTCGCCGTCGTCGCCGATTTCTCGGATCGGCCCTGACCTTCTCGCCGTCTTTCCTCCTCCCGTCGTCGCCGCAGATCTTCGAGGACCGGCAGACGACCTCGCCTGATCAAGTTCGTCCCGCACCGCTCGACAGCGTCGTCCCTCTCGACAAGCAGCTTCTCAAGGCCGCCGACGAGTTCGCCATCGAGCTCAAGGAGGTCCTCGGCGCCAACAGCGTCTTTGAGCGCACGGTCGGCCCCCTCATCCGCATGATCCTCAGTACGGCTGCGCCGTTTGAGAGCAGGTCTCTCTTCACGATCAGCAACGCGCTCGCCAACTGGACTCGCGCCATGGTGAGCCTCCTCTCTTTCCCTCTTTCCCTCTTTCCCTCTTTCCTCTTCCCTGCCATGTCGCCCGCACTCATCTCTGGCCTCACATCGTACTCTCGTCTCGTGCAGGCCCGCATCGAGAGCCACATCTCGTCGCTCGGCAAGGAGCTCACTCTCGAGCTCTCCCGCCTCGTTCTGTTCGCCTTCCTCGCCGCCATCTACATCCCCTCGATCCACCTTGCCGCCTCGTACATCGACTGCAAGCTCAACGACATTTTCGAGACCGCCGCAATGCGCTCGCAGGTCGCGCAGCAGGTCGTTGCCGAGGTCGCCAAAGACGTGCACGGCGTCGTCATCAAGGTCGGTACCGCTACTACGAGGGTGCGTCCTCCTCTCCCGCCTCCTCCCCTTTCTCAGAATCCTGCTCACAGGCTCGCGCTCGCAGAATCACGGTACGCAGATCGGCAAGATCGTCCGCCAGTTCACGCACGGCGACAAGAAGATGCACCTCCTCTCGACCGACCCTCGCTGGTATCTCGCGCACCTCAAGAACCAGGGCGGCGAGTGCATGATGTCCTCGCACTGCGGTCGGACCCTTTCGTACGACCCGGACCAGCGCATCAAGGACAACCAGTGCGTCCTCGTCGCCTTCTCCCGTTTCCCTCTCTCTCTCCCTTTACTGATCTTTCTTTTGCTCACAGCGACGGCCGGCGCATCTCGGTCGGCGCGTACGAGCGTCGCTCCATGGATTCGAAGGCTCTGCTCGACGGCCTATCGACACGCGAGGCCTACAACTGCATGTACGGCTACTTCTGGTACGCTCCCTCTCCGTCTCTTTCTCTCCTTCCCGTTGCCGGTCCTGACATCTGTCTCGCGCACAGCCACGCCTTCCACGACGGCATCTTTGCCCTGCACTCGCGCTACAGCTACATCTACCACCACTCGGACCGCCCCCAGCGCGGCAAGCCCGTCCGCTTCGCTCGCGGCATGGCCGGCGCCGGCATCCCGTCGCTCGACGTGCTCCTCATGGAGCAGGACGAGGGCGTCGAGGAGGAGATGGAGAAGGAGATGGAGGAGGGCGAGGAGGACTCCGACATCGACGTCGACTGAAGGAGATAGTCACCCACCCTCTCTTGCCTCGTCCCCTTTCACCTTTGTTCGTCAGTACCCCCTCGTCTCGCTCGCCCTCTCTCTCTGTCTCTCTTCTCCCTTTCCCTCCCTTTTGGTTCCCCCCTATCGTCCTCGTCTCCCGCCTCGCACAGACCCTCGTTCCCCTTCTCTCGTCCTTCCCTACCTGCCTCTCCCCTCCTTGCCTCGCAGTCTTCCTTTCGTACTCTCTGAAGCTCCTTCCGTTGAACGAAGCTGCCTTTCGTCTTCTCGGCCGTCGAACGCGCGCCGTCGAAAGCTCGCCGTCGTGGCTGTCGTTCGTTGCGGACCAATGAGGTGCGGCGAAGGACTTGGCGAATTCTGAACGCGAGGCGAGCCACCGCATCGACTCTCCCTTCCTCCCACCAGCTCCTCCGGCTCTCGTCCCGCTCCGGACCTCGAGCTCCAGGCCACCGCCGTGCCTCAAGTCTGCACGCACGCGAGCCCCGCTGCCTCCTTGGCCGCTTTCGTCGCTCCCTCCCGTGGCCCCTTCCCGGCTCTTCGAACTCGTCTCGGGCCAGAGATGGGCAACTCGGCAGCACGCGGGATGCGCCCCAGGCCTCGCGTGGGCTTGTACTCTCTCGTCGCCCGTACCTCTGGCCCTCGCTCGGCCGGCTCGAGGCTCTGCTCCGCTTGCGCTCCTCGCTCGCTTCCTCTCGCTCTCGTCCTCTCGACCCGCAACCTACGAGATGAAGGCCCTCTTTCGCCGGCACCACAAGTCGAAGAAGAACGCGCGCGACAAGACGCTCGACGGCGACGCCACCGCCGACCCGCCGTCGCTGTACCGCCTCGACCTCTCGACCACCTCGGCGGCATCGAGCACGAGCCGGCTCGCGTCGTGCAAGATCCCACCTCGAGGACGACTCGTGCGTCCTCTGTCTCTCTCGGTCCCCTCGAGACGCATCGCCGACAAGGGGCGCGCCGCTCACGACCCTCTCCCGCTCTCCCGGACAGGTGACGCTGCGTCCCGAGCCACCGACGCTGCGGTCGGTCGCCAGCATCCCGGACGACGGGCTCGCGTTCAGCAAGTTTGGCAAGGAGACGAGCCTGAGGGTCGTCATCGTCGGAGCGGGCTTTGGTGAGCCTCGTCCCCTCCCCCGCTCGATCCTCCTCCCTCGACTCGACACCTCGACCTCGACGCCCTCGTCCCGCACGCCGGCTCATTCAGTGTCACAGACTGACAACCTTCTCTGCCTCACAGCCGGTCTCGGCGCCGCCGTCGCGTGCGCGCGCCAGAACATATCGGTCACGGTCCTCGAGCGCTCGTCGGGCCTGTCGCCGCACGGCGACTCGATCCTGTTTGGCGCCAACGCGAGCCGGCTCATGGACCGGTGGGGCGTCGGCGAGGACATGTTCCTGCGCGGCGCGAGCAAAGGCGGGTGGTGGTTGTTCAAGGATCAGCAGGGGAGGGACGTGTGGCAGAGCAACTTGGACGAGCTGTGCGTCCTCCCTTTCTCTCTCTATCTCTCTCGTTCGCCATCGCGACGTTGACTGACGAGGGCTCGATGCCTCTCGACGTCCGCAGTTCGGCGCAAGTCGGCGCACCCGTCCTGCAGGGCCGTCGCCCGACCTTCCTCGCGTCGCTCGGCACGCAGGCCCGCATGCTTGGCGTCCAGATCCGCCTCCACAGCGAGGTCATCCAGTACTGGGACTCGGACGACGAGCCTGCTGTCGTGCTCGTCTCGGGCGAGGTCGTCAAGGGCGACGTGAGTCCCTCCTGTTCCCCTCTGACGCACGGACCCTCGCTCACCACCTGGCGCTCCCGCAGGTCGTCATCGTCGCAGACGGCGTGCACTCTACGGCTCGTGGCCTCCTCGCGTCGACTGCACGCGCGACCATGGCCCAGAAACGCACGAACTACTCGATCCATCGCGGCGTCATGACGAGCGAGGACATTGCTGCCGACCCGGTCTGCGCTCGTACGTCCTCCCCCTTCCTTCTTTCTCTCAAGCGACGTGAACTGACGACGACTCTCGACAGATCTGCTCGACGGAAATATTCGTACTTGGCTTGGACCAGACTCGCACATCTGCGCGTACCCGATGGAGAACGGCCGCTCTCTCGCTTTTGTACGTCCCTTCTCTCCCTCTCTCGCATGGTCCCCTGTACGACTGACACGTCCTCGCCCTTGTCGAGCAGACCTTCACGCACGCCGACACCAAGCACGCCTCGTCGCTCGACTGGAGAGACAAGAAGGCCATCGGCGAGGTGCTCGACCTGCTCGACGGCGCATGGGACCCGACCTTGCGCCGCGCCCTGCGCCACTTTTCGAACACGCTCCACTGGGAGATCACGGACGAGGCGCCCGAGGCCGAGTGGATCTCGACGGGCGGCAAGGTGCCTCGCCTTTTTCGTTGTTCGCTCTCTTTTCTCGAGCATGGACTGACTCTTCGTTGCCCTTCTTCCACCGTGCCAGATCTGCTTCATCGGCGACGCAGTACACGCCATGATGGTACGCCCTCTCTCCCTCGACTCCTCGTCCTGCCTCGAGTCGACCTTCCCAAATTGACTTCTCCTCCTCGTCCGCAGCCGACAGCGCTGCAAGGCGGCTCGCAGGCGATCGAGGACGCAGGCACGATCGCGCTCTGCCTCGCGATGGCCGGCAGCAACCCGGCAGGGGTGACCGTCGCCTTGCGGGTCCACGAGAAGTTGCGCCGGCCGACTGTGGTGGAGGCCCAAGCGTTCGGCCTCGAGGTGCGCCCCCCTCTCTCTCTCTCCTTCTCGCCGCCTCTCTCTCTCGACAGCTCTGATGGTCTCGCTCGTCTGCATCAACACGCGCAGCAACAGCTCGTGTGGCACACGTACACGTCGTCACCAATCGGCTCGCCTCCCTCGATCCTGCGGCCGCTCTCGTTCGACATGTATACCCACGACGCCGAGCGCGACGCGCTCAAACACTTCAACGACCATGCGCACGAGGTCGACCCGGCGTTCAGCGTCCAACGCGAGTGGATGGACGAGGCAGCGAAGAATGCCAAGCTGGACCGTGCGAGCGAGGAGCCGAGGGTGACGAGGGGCCGACCGCCAAGTAGCTCGAGACCGCTCAAGTGAAACGAGCAGCGATCTTCATGTCGATGACCGAGAGAGACAGCGAGGGCGAGAAGGGCGAGGGCGGAGTGACTGAGCGCTCTCGAGGACGGTGAGAAAGCTCTCGAGCCAAGTCGAGACTGCTCTCGCGAGAAAACGCCGCGGCGTGACAGCCTGCTGCGACTCGTTACAGCTCGCCTCGCTCTACCGCATGCTGCACCGAGCACTCGGGCGGAACGAGCCCGACCTGCTCCGGCTCGGCCGGCGCGCCCCAACTGCTCGGGTACCTGCACCCGGCCTTCTTCGACGCCCACCTCCTCTCCGTCGCTCGAGCCGTCGGCCCCTCGGCTCCAGCTGGCGACTCGAGCACGGGCGCGTCGCCCTCGCGCGCGTAGGCCCACAGGCCCGCGACGGGGAGCCCGCCGGCGTTCCACCCGCGCGAGGGCGTGTCGAACTCGGCCGCCGGGTACAGGGCGCGGTGCGACTCGGCTGCGCCTTGCGGCACTCGACCGCTGTAGGTCGACCCGGGCCGGCCGACCTTCCACGCGCCGAGCTCGACGTCGTCGAGGAGGTACCGGCGCCCTCCTCCTGCGTCCGGGTCGACGCCGATCTTGGCGGCGTAGGCGACGCAGAAGCCGCCGTCGTCGGATGCGGCGCGAGGATCGGCCGGGATCCATCCTTGAGCGAGGCCGAGCGAGTAGCTCCAGAGGGCGTTGGCGGGGAGGTGAGGGAGGTGGGTGGTCGAGGGCAGGGTGCGCCAGGTCCAGTAGAACCAGTTCTGCGGGCCGTAGTACGTTATTAGACCCATGATCATGTGAAGAAAGAGGTGAGGACAAGAGGGCGCACCTGGAAAGTGTCCATCTGCGCGAGCGCGAGGTCGCGAAGAGCCGAGCGCATCTCCTCGTCCCACTGCTCGTAGTCCTGCGCGCGCACCGGCAGGGTCAGTCGTCCGCCGATCTCGGAAGACGAGGGAGGACAGGGCAGGGCAGAAAGAGAGGCGCTGACGTACCTCCCAAAACTCGCACGACCCTCTCGGCGCGGTCGGCGGGTACGCCGGGCTCGTCTCGTTTGGAAACGTGCCCTCGAGCCGAGTGCCCTGGAAGATGTTGTTGAGGAAGCTGTTCGTCCTCGTCAAAGCGTCAGGGCGCGCAACTCGGGCAGGGACGAGGCCGGGAGGGAATAGAGGGGACGCACCGGCCGCAGTCGTTGACGCCGAGGGAGAACTCGCCCGAGATGGCGACACCGGCGTTGATCATCGTCTTGTTGAACTCGTGGCTCCACTTGGCGCACGGCTGCGGAGGAGGAGAACGTTCGCTGTCAGAGCTAGTCCGTCGCCAGAACTCGGACGAGCGAAAGGAGCGCATGCGCTCGACGCACCTTGAGGACCTGCTGTCGGACGCTCCTCAGGTCGGGCTCGGTAAAGGCGAGGTACCGGTGCGAGTCGTAGGCGACGCGATCGAGGCCGTCTGTCGCCGGGACGTGCGGGCGATGAGGTGACGGCGACTCGAGGAAGTTGTACCAGCGGTGGGTGCCCTTGAAGCCGTCGTGAAAGGCGAGGAACTGCGAGAGAAGGTGGAGGAAAGGGCATGCAAGGCGCGAGGGTCAGTGGCGGCCGGCAGGACGACCCGAAAGAGTGAGGGAAGGAGGGACGCACAGGGCCTTGCTGCGGTCCGTAGCCCGTGATGTTGCGCGCCGTCTCGTACGCCTTGCGGTAGCTGTAGACGACGATGAGGATCAGATGCTGTACACGGCGCAGATGAGGGACGAGGAGGAGGAGCGAGAGGGCGGGCAACTCACAATCCTCGCAGGACCCGGTCGCCGATTTCGGCGAGCATGGGCTCGTTCAGGACCGAGTACATGGGCACGACCTCGCGCACGCCTTTGCGCGACGTGAACTCGGCGAGTGCGGCGATGTAGTCGAGGGCGCGCTGCGCGTTGGCCTGGCCCATGGACGAGCGCAAGAACGAGATGGACCCTAGTCGGCCCGAGTGGTTCCAGCCGCTGCAGGCACACAGGGTCGTCGTCAACAGTCAGTTCGCCGCATGTCTGGGAGGGGACGAGGAGAAAGAGAGAGGCAAGGGGACGCACTTTTGCGAGCCTGGGACCGAGTGCAGGTCGAGGTTGATGCGGATGCCGTACTTGCGCGCCCAGCCGATCGACTTTAGCAGATCTGCGGGTAGGCGACCAGGTAGGTCAGTACCTGCCTCGGTCACACTCATGGCTGAGAAAGAGAGAGAGAGAGCGCGCGGACGCACAGTTCCAGGCGACCTTCTCGAGGTACGGCTCGTCGACCCACGTTTCGACAGCCCAGTACGGCACGGGGATGCGGACCCAGTTGAGCCCTGCTGCAGCGATCGCGATAAAGTCCTTCTCAGTCTGCGAGCGAGATGGCGACGAGAGATGGTCAAGTCGATGTCGCGTGAAGAGAGGCGAGGGACGAAAAGGGGTGGGACGCACGATGAACGTGTCGTAGTGCTCCCTCAGGGTGCTCATGAGTCGTCCTTGGTCGCGCAGGTTCTGGCTCAGGGTGTACTCGTCCTCGGCCGGCGTCGGCGCGTCGAGGAAAGGCTCGAACAGGTGCGGCGTGATGAACGGCTCGAGCGTGAGCCATCTGTGGGACGTCGGGTCGCAGGAACGTATCAGTCGCAGGTGCAAAAGACGACTGCGAGAGAGACGACGGGGACGCACCCGCCGAGATTGACGCCCCGGATCCGCAGCCGCTCGTAGTCCCACGGCTCGTTCAGCGTCGGCGAGTCGTCCTGCGCCCTCGCCGACAGCGAGTGCGGATCTCCATCAAAGGTCCCGCCGCTGTGTAGGACAAGGATCCAGGTGAGCACCGGCCCTCGGTCGGGGCGGAAAATGGAGCGAGAGAAAGAGGAGACGCACAAAGCGTTGCGGTAGACGACCTTCTCGCCGCCCTCGAGCGTCACCTCGTCGCCGTCGGCCCCCTTGTCGTACCGCTCCTCCGAGGCCTCGAGTCCTCCTGCGCTGGTCCCACTGCCCGCCGCGACGGTGCCCACGCCCACCCAGCCGCCGACCGCCTGCACCGCCTCGTCGACCTTGCCCCTCGCGCTCGCCCGCGCATCCTCCGTCGTCAGGAGGGCGACGGAGACGACGACGCCTGCTGCACCGGCGACGACGACGAGGAACCACCTTGCGCACCGACGGGTGCGGTCGCTCGCCCGGCCCGCCGCAGTGACCGCCTCGCCTCGTCGAGGTCGTCGTCGGGAAGGGGCGGAAGAGGATGTCGACGGGGAGGACGGCGAGTCGGGGAGGAGGCGCTGCTCGTCGTCGGGCAGGTCGGGGACGTCCTTGTCGAGGTTGAGGCGGACGAAGCGCGACGAGGTCGAGGTGGGGAGGAGGGGAACCGAGTGCGGGTCGTCGTGCGCGGGCGAGTCAAAGTCGCTGAACGGGTTGGACCGGCCGTAGTCGACCGAGGTGGTTCTGCTCCTGGGCACCTCGCGGACCCTGGCGGGCTGCTGAGTCGAGCGAGTCGACAAAGTCGAGCGATGCGTCGGGGTAGAGGGCGAGGGCGAGGGCGACACGGGGACGATGTGGGCGTCGGGACGAGCTCGAGGCGGTGTGCTGTAGCTCGGCTGCTCCATGCTGCGGCCCTGCGCGGGCGCTGGAGGCGGCGGCGGGGCGACCTTGTGCGGGACGGGAGGAGGCGAACGACGTGACATCCTCCTCGAGCGCGCACGCGAGCTCGTGCGGCCAGCAGGGCACACTCGGCAGTACGGTGGCGAGTACGCGCACGCCCAGACAGCGAGCGTGAGCGGTGCGGGGGGAGAGCAGCGCTTTCACTCGACCTGGCAGCTCTCTCAGGCAGTGCTCGCTCGGGCACGGTCGCAAAGGTTGCGATGGGGAGTCGTTGCGAGGGTAGAAAGAGAGAGAGCCGGTAACTACAAAGATCACGCCGAGGGCGCGCAAACGCGAGAGGGGAATCTGGACGAGGGAGAAGAGGGAAGGCAAGCGGGACCAGTGGGGTGGGAGGAAAGGGACAGTCTCGACGAGCTCACAGCTCCTCGTCGTCGCCGGCCATGGCCTCGGAGGGTTTCACTGCGCGCGAGCAGGCCGGGTCAGTCGCGGGTCGACGAGGGGGAGAGGGCGGGAGAGCGGACGCACAGAGACCCGGAACGGCGACGGCGCGTGCCCGCTCCTCGTCGCGCTTGCGCTGCGCCTCCTCCTCGCGCTCCTCCTGGAAGACCTCGGTCGCCTCCTCGCCCTGGAACTCGCGCAACGCAACTGCAAGTCGTCGAGGGGCAGAGTAAGTCATCCTGCTCGCTCGAGCCGCGAGCGAGGTGGGGGCAGGAGGAAGGGGAGACGCACTGAGGAAGTCGCGGAGCGTGATCCTGAACTTGTTGAAGTCGCCGTACTGCTCCCGGAGCGCCGACACGAACTGGGTGATCTGCGCCGTCTGCAGGTGCGGGAACGCCGACTTGAGCAGGTTGGCCGTGTACTCGGCGACGAATTGCGGGTTCGACTGGGCCGCCGGGTCGAGCGGCACCTGGATGTCGCCCGTCTCGACGAGCTTGAACAGGCGGGCGAGCACGAGCGCCGTCGACTTGAACCCGCTCTTGTGGTCGGCGTCCGTCAGGACGAAGAACATGTCCTGCAACAGCGCGAGGTAGTACGCCTGGAAGAAGCCGTTGGACGTGTCGGGGCCGGCGGCGACGACGTTGTCGATGAGCTCGACGCAGATCGTGAGGCCGAGGTCGCCAATGTCGCGCATCGTGTGCTTGGTCGCCCACACGACGGCGTCCATGACGAGCTTGAACTGGGCCGGCGGGAGCGCGAGGAGCGCCTCGAAGCAGTTGAGGTTGATCTGGCGCAGGAGCTTGAAGAAGGCGACGCGGTGTCTGCGAGAGGAGCGGGCGCAGGAGAAAGAGGGGGAAAGGGGAGGGGACGAGGACGAGGGTGAGCTCACGGTGCGCGCGAGCGCCGAGTCGAGGTGGGCGAGAGGCACGCACTCGGGGAACTCGGTCAGGTCCTGGTTGATCATTGCGAGCGTGCACTCGAAGACGGCGTCGAGGACGGGCGCGATCTTGTCCGTCATCAGCGGCTGCGACGGCGGGGAGCAAGGCGCGTCAGTCCGCTGTGCGACCGTCGCGAACGCGCGCAAGAAGGAGAGAGAGAAGACAGAGAGGTGGACGCACGCCGAGCCTCGACACGATCGTGACCATGGTCGACAGGACCTCGGCGTCGCGCGCCGCCGGGATGTTCTGCTTGTAGTCGCCGAGGATGGCCTCGAGCAGGGGCGGGATCAAGTCGCGGTTGACCTGGTCGAGGTCCTCGGCCTTGCGGATGTACGTCTCGCCGACGAGCTTGAGCACCTCCTTCTTGATCGTGCGCAAGCCGCGGACCTTGGGCGTCTTGGTCGCGATCAGGCCTTGCTCGGCCGTCGTCGCGCTGATGATGCCGCTCACGGCCGTGTACAGGCCGAGCAGGTCCATGTAGATCCGAGCGAGCTGCGGCAGGAAGAAGGTGCCGATCGACGAGCACGCCGCCGTGTTGGTTTTGAGGATGTTGCTCAGGATCTTGATGTTGTCCGGGTCCGACAGGATCTCGGCGCCGCGCTCGTGCGCCTGCTGCATGAGCTGGTCCCACGCCGAGTTGGGCGCCGCCATGAGGTTGGCGATGAGCAGCTCCTGCTGCGGCTTGTTGGGCTGCGCCGAGATCATGTAGCCGACCGCCTCGTAGAACGTGTGGATCTGGAGCGGCGACAGGTCGCCCGTGATGCGCTCCAGGTTGCGCAGGATGTCGTCGATGAACGGCTCGGTCTCGCCCGACTGCTGCATGACGAAGTGGCGGCGGCACCTGCGGGCGGGACGAAGGTCAGTCTGGGACGACGACAACGACGACGACTCGATGGGTGGACGGGCGACGCACTTTTGCGCGATCTTGATGAAGGTGTCGCACGCCATGTCCTGCACGCCCTCGTGCGTCTCGTGCGCGAACTCGAACAGCTTGTTGACGACCGTCTTGAGGAACTTCCAGTGCGCCTTGAGGAACCGAGGGTACTGCCCGACGATGTACATGATGTTGGACGCGCTGCACGACGGCGAGAGGACGATCGTCAGTACGAGGGACTGGACGAGGGGAGAGAGCGAGGGAGGAGGGTGAGGGCGCACACGACCGCCTTGTTGTCCTTGCCGCGCTTCATCTCGGTGAGGCCGAGCAGGTCTGCGCGCACACACACACAGGCAGACGGTCAGGTCCGTGCGTCTATCGCTCGGACGTCTCGCCGCACGGCCCCGAGCCGGCGCGAGGCGAGAGGGAATCGGAGAGGCGAAAGACTCACCCTTGATGACGGTGACGAGGAAGCGCTTCTCGGTCTCCTCGTTCATGGCGCCCGAGATCGAGCCGATGGCCCAGCAGAGCGTGTTGAGGTTGGCCCACGACCACTCGGACCCGTCGACCTGCTTCGAGAGCTTCTCGGTCACTGCGGGCAGGTGCGAGGAGGGTCAGGCGGTCGTTCGAGACGGGCGGGGAGCTCTCGCCGCTCGCGCAGACGAGCGAGCGACCGGGAGGTCAGAAGGCCGCAGGAGGAGAGAGAGAGGGGACGCACTGATCATCTCGGTGTCGACGACGTCAAGGTGGGTGAGGTAGACGAGGACCTCGCGCATCGACTTGTACAGGACGACCGTGTCCGTGTCCTTGAGGAACTCGCGCACGATCTCGCCCTCGTCGTTCTCGACGATGAGGACCTGCGGGCGACAGGGGGCGAGGCGGGTCAGTTCTCGCGCCGGCTGCGCGTGCTCGAGGGGCACCAGGAACAAGGGGGGGGGGACGAGTCGACGCACCTCCTCGGGCTTGGCCATGCGCTCAACCATGACGAGCCGCAGGTTGCTGAGCACCTCGGTGTAGATGCTCCTCCGGTTCGAGCCCGCGCCGCCCGCACCGCCCGCGCCCGCTCCAAAGCCCGCCATGCCGCCGAGGCTGAGCAGCGGGTTGGCGCCGCCGAGGCCGTCGCCGCCGGGAAACTTGACGAGCTCGTCGTACAGGTCGGCGACGAGCTTTGCCCAGTACTCGAGGCAGATCTTGAACACCTCGCGCTCCTCGACCTGCGAGATCTTGATGAGGTACAGGTGCGCGTTGAGGAGGACGTCGCGGTGCTGGGGCGTCTCAAGGATCGTGACGTGCGCCGACAGGAAGTTGGTGAGGAACAGGGCCAGGTTCAGGATGAGCTCCTGGTCGGCGTCGGCCGACGACTCGTACGCGCCGGCAATGTCGGTGTTGGGCGGGATCATCTTGTTGACGCTCGTCATGACCATGTTGAACAGGATGATGAACTTGTTGTTGTACTCGGGCCCGATCTGGAGGCCGCCAATCTCGGACAGGCACTTGAGCGTCACGTTGCGGAACTCGGCCACCTCGAGGAACTGCGAGGGGCGCAAGTGCGGGTGAGTCGGTCGCTCACGACGACGAGAAGAAGTATCCGGAAAGTGCGGACGTACACGCGTGATGAGGTGGTCGATGACGGGCGTCTCGAAGATGTAGCCGAGCGGGATCCAGTTGAGGAACCGCAGCATGGCCTCGAGCGTGACCTTGATGAGCGACGGCCGGTCGGCCTTTTCGAGGACCTCGACGCAGAGCGAGAAGACCTCGGCGAACTCCTGGCACTGCGAGGGTGAAGAAGAAGGGGTCAGCTGGACGGCCACAAGTGGCGGGGCGAACGAGCCGGACTCTCGTCGCCGCCGCCCGCAGGAGACCGCAGAGAGGACGAGCCGACGCACGATCTGGGCTTTGAGGGCCTTGGTCTTCTGCGTCGTCATCTGCTCGGCGGAAAACTCGAAGATCTCCTCCGACAGGAGCTTGAGGATGACCATGTTGTTCTCGCAGATGGTGAGGTTGGCCTGGGACGACGTGACGATCTCGGGGATGAAGGTCGGCCAGTTGTGCGGCCTGTCACGAAGAAGGCGGGAGAGAGAGAAAGGGCGAGTCAGTAAAGCTGTGGCAACGGTGACGACGCCGCCGGCGACGAGCGCGGACGAGAGAGGGGAGAGGGAGACGGACCACTCCTGCTTGAGGATCTGGACGAGGATGAGGTTGAGCTTGTTGACAAAGGCCTTCTCGCGGCGGAGCGTCTGGTCGTCAGAGCTCGTCTTGACGATGACGCCGACGACAAAGTTGCGGATGCCCGAGCGCTGGTCCTCGGGGAGCGCCTTCCACCGCGTCTTGATGAGGCGGTCCATGATCTGGAGCGCGATGTACTTGGTCTGGCCGTTGCTCGACGTGTCGAGGATGGCCGGCACGCGTTGCCAGGCGTCCGGGTGCTCCTGGAACTGGGCGAGGACGGTTGACGCTTGTTGTTGCTGCGGCGCGCGAGGGGTGGTGAGTGAGGTGGCCGGCCTGTCGGTGACGGAGCGGGAGACGAGGAGGACGCACCTGCGGCCCGCTGCCGACGAGCATGGCCTGGGCCACCTGGTCGAGCAGGGTGACATCGAGCGGCTGGGTGAAGTCGAGGATGGCCTGCGTGCGACGAGGACGAGGAAGATACAGGTCAGTGAGTGCTCTGCGTGCCGGTGGAAAGTGTCCTGGGGCAAGTGTGTGCGAGTACTGGCCATCGAGACGAGGGGATGGTCGGTGAGGCGGAGGAGCGAGGCGTCGTCCGGTCCTCGTCGCTCTGGAGCGCGGCGCACGCGCGCAGTGCCCATGTACAGCCACCTTGAGTGAACTGCAGGTCGAGCTGGTGCGCCAGGAGGCTGCGACGAGTCGCTCGCTGACGAGGTTCGCCGAGCGCCACCGCCTCGTCCAACCTGGTCGCCGTCACCTCGCACCGGCGTGGGAGCGGGCACAGCGCTGCACCAGAGCTCGATGGAGAGACGTCGTGCCACAACGCAGGCGGAAGGGGGCGAGGCGGGGCGAGGAGGGGCGAGGGTTTGAGGAGGGGGACGAGGGAGGGGGACGCACCTCCATGCTGGGCGCTTGCTGAGCGCTTGACGCGGTGTCGAGGGCACTCGGGGCGAGAGGAGAGTCGGGCAGAGGCGCGCGCTGGTCGCTCTGTGCTGGTGGGCGAGAGGCGAGGCGGGAGGTGGGGGAGCAACGACGAGGTCGAGGAGAGCAGGCGAGCCGCGATGAAGCACCGGCGACAGCGAGACCTTGAATCTGCTGAGGGGTCTGGGGCGTGCAACGAGAGCACACACACACAGAGAACGTGTCCTTGAGACACGCGAGGCGACTGGCTCCTCGTCAAAGCCCGCTCCGACCTCCTCGTCTCGCTCGCGACTGACATCTCCTCGCTCGAGCTCTCGCATTTCTCCCACTCTCTTTCGGTCGTCCTCTCGAGCTCTCGTCAAAGATGTCACGCAGCGAGTTGCAGCCAGAACGACCGAGAGTCCACCGCCCTCACCGCCCAGGAAAGAGCCGCACCGTGTCGCCGACTGCGCACGACCGAGAGGTGGGTCAGTGCTCTGTTCTGCGCGTCGACCATGACGACGACAACGACGCGAAGAAGGAAGGGAGGCGCACCTCGACGGGCGTACCTCGCCTCCCGCTCGCCCGCCTCGTCCGACTCGCCGTCGCCGCTGCCGAGCGCCGCACGGAACGGCGTGTACGTCCTCGGGTGCACGAACCCGAGAAGGGCGGTCTGCGAGCGTCGATTAGGCAGGTCAGGGCCGCGGTACCGAGTAAGGGTCGACCAGAGGAGGACGGACGCACCGGCGCGAGGAAGCCGTCGACGCTGGGTGACGAGGAACGTTGGTGAGTTGGTGGCGGTGCCGCGCGAGAACGGGCAGGGAAGGAGGGACGCACCCGAGTATCGCGCTCCCAGCCCGCTTGGCGTCCTCCTCGGCGACGATCCACACGTCCTCGCCCTGCTCTACCTTCTCCTCGCGACCCGCCTTGCCGCTCGCCGACCCGCGCAGGAACGCGCCGCTCTCGCCCTCCCTCCTCTTGCGCCTTCTCGCGGCCTGCTTGTCGAGGTGAACGAGGATGGAGCAGTGCGTGCTCGGCGCGGTCGAGGCGGGTACTGGGTGCGTCGAGAGGGGCGAGAGGGACGACGAGGGTGGGAGATGCAGGAGGCGCTTGAGCGGGTTTCGGGAGGTGGGCGCCGAGTGGACAAAGGATAAGGGGAGGTGGAAGGATTGCTGCGCGACGAGGTACGGGGCGAGTCAGGCGGATCGCTCGAGAGGGAGGAAGGGCCCTGAAGCTCGAGGCGTACCTCCCACAACTTTGAGAGCCGGTCAAACTGCGTCGCTGCCAGCGACTCTTCCACCAGGGACATGCTGCTCGAGGTATCCGTCAAAGTCGGCGTGAGGTGGGGCGAGGGGAGGTGGCGATGCAGCACACCGGTCGAGCAGGACGCCGGCGTGGTCGACAATGTTCGGCCTGCGCACGCTCGACCGATTCAGTCTTTGCGCATGCAGAAATGGGACATGAGGATACTGGCGACGCACCAGTACTGACTTGCGACAAGGGCGTGCGTGATCCACCTGCGGCCGGGTCGAAGGAAGCATCAGTTCTCGGTCTTTGCGAGCGACGCCGTCACGGGGCCATAAGGGAGAAGTGGACGCACACAAAGTCGATGTCGAGCGGGACTATGGCCGGTCCGTCCTTGACGACCTTGTCGACGACCGACAGGAACCTGCGCAGGCAAGAGCTCGTGAGCGCTCGAACCCCTGCTCGCGCCGGCCAAGGGGAAAGAGGAGGGGCGACGCACAGCTCGTACCGCTTCTCGGCTTTTTCGAGTACCTCCCGCCCGAGGACGCTGTGCGCGAACCCGGGCGCGAGGCACCCAACGGTGGACAGCGCATCGAGAAACGCCGAGAGCCGCACGGCGCCGAGAGCGAGGTCGGACGCGAATGGGTGCGGCGTCGTGTAGCACGAAAGGACGTGACGTATGCTGCGGTAAGAGGGATGTGAGCGGTCAATGATCGGCGGCGATGCTCGACGCGAGGAAGAAGGGGGAAAAGGGGGGACGCACATCTTGGCCGGCAGAGCGCCGTCCGTAAACAAAGCTCGGGCGACCTTGTCGAGCTTCGAGACGCGGTCCTTGAGGCGCCCATGCAGGTCGCCGAGTGGCCGAACAACGCGCTGGATGTCCTGGGTCGTGAGTGCGGCCGAGACGAGGTCCCGGCTTGAGAAGGTGGGCGTCGACGAGAGCATCGACATCGAGGCCGACAGGGTACCGCTGCAGGAGAAGAGGCGCAGACGATACTGCGTCAGTGGCTGACGGCAGTATAGGGCGAGAGAAGACGTGCAGGACGCACGCGACGAGCTTCCTCCCGACCTTGTCCTCCTCGTCCCGCCTGCCCTTCTCCCAGTCCATCTCCCACATCTCGGTCGCCGGAACTTGCTCCCTCGGAGCGGGGCACTCGTCGAGGCAGTCCTCGAGCAGGCGCGAGATGCCGAGCGTCTCGCGGTTGATGATGCGGCCGCACGACGAGGAGGAGCACGTGGCGGTAAAGGCGGCGTTGCAGAAGCCGGTGCGGGCGGTCGTGAGAAGATCTGCTCGGGGTCAAGAGTAAGTGAGGAGTATGTGGCCGACGTCGGCGGACAAGGGTCCAGCACGAGGGAGGAGGAAGGCGAGAAGAGCGGGGCGGCGCAAAAAGAGAGGAACGAGCGGGACGCACACAGCTCGCACCCTTTGCCGCACCACGGGCACTCGACCCACATCTTGGCCTCGTCGTCCTCGAGCGACTCGATCGCGTCCCACCCTGCACCGCCCGTCTTCTCCTCCCACAGCTGGCGACCGCGCAGGGCGACGAGCGTCGACAGGCGCTCCTCGAGACGTTCGACCTGCGGGACGGGGCCCTGGTTAGCTCTCGAGGTCGGGCTGCTGTATAGGGAGTGTGGGAGGGGACGCACCAGGTCGACGACGGGAAAGTCTCTCAGCGCCCACCGACCGACGTCGCCGGGCAACTTGCGCCGAAGCTCGCGGCCCCAGCACCTCGCGACGTCCTCCACGTAGCCCCGCACTCCTCCTGCGCCTGCCATCCAGGCCCACCACACGAACGCCGTGTCGAGCGGGAGCGCCGCGACCCCTCGCTCCCACTTGCTGCCCGCGCCGTGCGAGCCGTCTCGGGCGCACACGCGCGAAAGCCAGACGTCGAGCCGGTACGCCGCGAGGCGCAGGAACGCGCTCCACCTTGCGCCGGGCGAGAGCGAGGCGAGCGGGCCCGAGGTCGACGAGCGGACGCGGTCGCGGAGGCGGAAGAAGTGCGAGAGGAGGGAGAGGTGCGCGACGAGGGCGGCGTGGGGCACGACGGCGTGCGGCTCGGCGACAGGAGGAGCGCTGTAGTCGGGCGGGAGTGTCGGCGAGAGGGCGAGGGCAGGCATCGAGCTTGCGAGCGGGTCGGGTGCGCCGGGCGAGACGACCGAGGTCGAGGGCGACGCAGGCGAGGGCGAGAACGGCGGTGGCGGGTCGTAGGCGCGGTCGTGCGGCATGGCGAGCGTGCTGCTGCAGAAGAGAGTGTCAAGCGCGACGAACAAAGGCGCCGGGCTGCTCCGGCCGCCGGCGCACCTGCTCGCGTCCGCGCACGAACGGCGGTCGGTGCGCTCTCCGGCTCAACGCCGCCGACGAGCGGCCAACTCGAATCGAGACGAACAGGTTTGCGACTGCGAGTGGTGGAACGACAAGGCTAACAACGAGGGGAAAGGGGGAGTGACAAAGGGACGAGGAGGAGAAGAGGGGAGGCGGCCCACTCAGCGCCAGCACAGGATCGAGTAGCCCGTCTTGCGGACCGTCTCGCCACCGCCGAAGCCAAAGTTGGCGCCTCGCTGCAAGTAACAGAGCTGCGTGAGCGCGACGAGCCGCCCGAGTCGAGAGAGAGGGGAAGAGGGACGCACGAGGTGCTCGGCCGTCTTGCCCGGGACCCAGACGCCGTCGATGTTGGTCAGGGCGTGGAAGAGGTGCTGGCCCGACTCCTCGAAGCCCTGCGAGTGCGTGTCGCAGGTCAGCGTCGCCGGTGCGAGAGGAGGGAGAGGAGCAGGGTGCGAAAGGAGGGAGAGGAGCAGGGTGCGAGAGGAGGGAGAGGAGCAGGCACGCACCCCCTCGACGGGCCGGCGGCCTTTCGGGATCTGCTTCGGTGAGGGTGGTCAGTGGCCGTCCGTCTCGAAGGAGAGAGTGGAGGGGCAGGGGCGCACCTTTCCGTCGGCAGCGCTGACCCACTCCATCGCGGCGGTGACGGGCAAGATGTCGAAGCGACCTTGGTGCTGCTTCTCGCTGCCGCCGTAGCTGTACATGGCGTGGCCTCGAGCGAACTTGCACGGGTGGACCGACCGCCCGCCGCCGAGCAGTGCGCTCGCGACGAAGACGGGAGAGCCGTCGAGGTCGGCGAACGGTGGAGGGCCGGTGACGGTCGAGTCGATCGGGGTGCCTGAGGTGCAGGGCACTCGGAGGCCAGCTGGTGGCACTTCTGGCGTGTAGGCGGGCGGGGCAGACATGGCGCGAGTGAGGGTGAGAGCGAGGGAGGAGCAGAGGCGGGGACGAGAGGCGGCGACGAGCTTGCGCTCCTCTCATGCCCTCGTGCGAGGTCCGGCTCTCGCGCAGCATACAGCACAGCCTCGCCTGAGTCGGAGCAGCCCTGCGCAGCGACTCGCGAGCCGTCGCCCTCGGGCTCTCCTCCTCCTCCTCCTCCCTCATCTCTCGCTCCCTCACCGCGCTCCTCGCGCCTCGGACGAGCCGGCTGAGCCGCACGACGGCTTTGTCTGCTCTCCGAGTGCGTCCTGCGAGGCCATGCGCGTCGATCGAGCCACGCCTCGCCCTGCTGCAGAAGGACCGCGTGCTCGTCGGCCGCCGATCACGGCGTCTCGTCCTCGTTCCACGGTTGAACGTTGGAAAGGCGGCGCCCACGCTCGCACAGCCGCGCAGGGACCGCGCAGCTGGAGGAACGCCTGCTTGTGCCCACCGCGCGCAGAGCGGCTCGCTTTTCCGCCGCTGCGCAGCTCGGCTTCGACGCACGAGCTCCCAGTTCCCTCGCTGGCGCTCGTCTGTGCCTCAGTGCTGCGTCAGTACGGACCTCTGCCTTCCGGTGCCTCGTCGTCAAAGGAGCGGCGCTGCATTTCGCCGGCCGAACGCGGCAGCGCCGTGAGTGCCCTTGCCGCGCCGTCGGGTGGCTTCCCCACCTCCGTGCCGGGTTCCCTTCGTCCTCTCGTTAGCGCGCTAAGAACGGGTTCTCAGATCGGTGCCCAGCGCTCTGGAAAGAGCCGGGTCTTTCGCCCACAAACTTCCCCGGACCGCTCGCGCCCGGGTGCTTTGGAATCCCCCGTGGGGGAACTCCTCCGCTCGTCGCTCGCTCTCTCGCTCGCTCTCTCGCTCTCGCTCCTCCTGCTTCTGCGCAACCGACTCGAGCACTCTCCGCTTGCACGTCGACGAGCACCGACCGCGCAAAGGACCCGTCGCCGACCACTTTTGCGGTCGCACCCCTCGAATCCTCCTCTTCCTTCCCCCACGCCTCTCAAGCTCCTCCTTCACGACTTGCGCCCATCATGAACGACGTCGAGAAGACCGACACGGCGCTGGAGGAGAAGCGCTACACCGAGCACGTCGAGTCGTCGTCGACTTTCGGCCAGGCGGCCGAGCCGCATGTCGGCGCCGTCAAGGTCCCGGCGCGCATCTTTACGAGGGCAGAGGAGGACAAGCTGTGTGCGTCCCTCGTCCTCGTCGACGGCGAGAGGAGGCGACGACGCTTACCTGTCAATCCGCAGATCGCAAGGTCGACCTTCGCCTCATGCCGATTCTCGCCGTGCTCTACCTCCTCTCGTTCATGGACCGCGGCAACATCGGGTGAGTCGCACCTTGCATGCCTCTCGAGCATCCTCGAGGTCGTCGAGCTCCTCGAGTCCGTCTGTAGCGAGCCTTTGGCGAACCGCGACTGAGCGCTTTGACCTCCTTCCCCTCTCCTCCTCGTCGCCCCACCCGCAGCAACGCCCGCATCGAGGGCCTTGAAGCCGACCTCGGCATGACCTCGCAGGACTACAACGTGCGTCCCCTCTGCCCCAAACGTTCGCGAATTCTGCGCGCCGCCGAGCCTCGCTGACCGACCTTCCTCGAGCAGACCGCCCTCTCCTGTTTCTTCATCACCTACTGCCTGTGCGAGGTGCCGGCCAACCTCGTCATGAAGAAGTTCCGCAGGCCTTCCCGGTGGCTCGGACTCGTCACGACGGTGTGGGCCATCGTGCGTCCTCGCTTTCTCCCTCGCCGTCATCTCGTTCTCGAGCTGACCGGCCCGTCTCTCTCCTCCCTCTCTCTTCTACCTCGCAGGTTATGACGCTCATGGGCGTGGTTACCTCGTTCGGCGGCCTGCTCGCTGCTCGTCTCGCCCTCGGGTGCGTCCGCAACTCGTCTCGGCGCGCCTCGATCCGGCCCTGACACCTCCTTCTCGCACACAGCGTCGCCGAGGCGGGTCTCTTCCCGGGCGTCATCCTCTATCTCAGCATCTGGTACCCTCGCGAGAGGTCGCAGGCACGCGTCGGCTTCTTCTTCGGCGCCGCAACTCTCGCGGGCGCGTTTTCCGGCCTGTTGGCTTATGGGATTGGGTTTATGAGGGGGGTGGGTGGAAGGAATGGCTGGTCCTGGATCTTCATCGTTAGTCTATACAGTTTGGCGGGTGTGGAGACGTCGAGGCGGCAGAAGTTCGACGAGAACTGACCTTCCCAACTTGCCTCGCCCACAGCTCGAGGGCCTCGCCACTTTCGTCGTCGGCGTTGCCTCGTTCTGGCTCATCTCCGACTACCCGAATGAGTGCAAGTGGCTCACGCAGGAGGAGAAGGAGTGGCTCATCTACCGCCGGGCGACCGACAACTCCAAGGTCGGCGAGGCCGAGCACGTCAGCAAGAGCTTCATCTGGTCGGCCTTCTCGACGTGGCAGACGTGGCTCTCGATCGGCTACTACCTCGGCGTCGTCGTTCCCCTGTACGCCATCTCGCTCATCTCGCCAACCCTCGTCGCCGGCCTCGGCGACTACAGCCGCGCCCAGACCCAGCTCCTCACGGTCCCGTACTACGTCGTCGCCTTCCTCTTCGTCATGGCCGTCTGTGCGTCCACTTTCTTCCCCCCTTGGAGCCGGCGAGAACCCTGCACGCTCGAACAAAGCTAACGACCTGGTCGGCCTTCTCAACCCGGCAGCCGTCCTCTCGGATCGGTACAAGACTCGGTTCCCTTTCCTCATGATCGAGCTCACGCTCTGCGTCATCGGTCTCGTTATCAACAGTGCGTCGCCCTCTCGCTCCATCGTTGCGAACCCGAGCTGACCTCTTGCCGGTCGCAGTTTCGCCGGCACCGAGCGGCGTCAAGTACTTTGGCATCTACCTGATTGCCATGGGCGCTTACGGCGGCCTCCCGACGTCCGTTACGTGGCTGTCCAACAATCTTTCGGGCCAGACGAAGCGGGCTGTCGGTTGTACGTCGTCGCTTTCCCTCTCTCTCCCTCCTCGCCTCCTCGCGGCCCCGCCTTTGGACTTCTCTACCTCAGTCGAGCCGACGCACGCACTGACATCCGTCTCGTCTTTGTTCCGCCCGCAGCTGCCGCCCAGATCGGCCTCGGCAACCTCGGCGCGCTCGCGTCCTCGAACGTGTACCGCAAGCAGGACAAGCCGCACTACTACCTCGGGCACGGCGTCGTCCTCGGCTTCGTCATGCTCGGCTACATCTGCGGGCCCCTGTACGCCGTCATGCTCAAGCGCGAGAACGCACGCAAGACCGAGTGGCTCGAGCAACAGGCGATGCTTCCCGAGGAGCAGCGGACGCAGTACACGGTCGAGGAGCTCCGGGCCCAGGGCGACAAGGCCGCCGACTTCAAGTACCTTATCTAGGCGTTCGTCGGCGCCGTTCTCCGTTCCGGCGAGGGCACGCCTGCCTTGCTCGGTCACCTCGGTCGGCGGACGATTCCCTCTTCCTCCCTCTCTCCCTTGTTATTGTAGAACTCTTTGGAACTCGGTCTGTCAATCTTTGCGAGCTTCCTTCCCGGCATGCACAGGACAAAGAGAAAGAAACTTAACGGCTCCTGCCGCCTGGGCTCAAGTCGCACGGAGCTCGACCTTCTCAAAGTCGGCCGCGCCGTTTGAGAGTCTTTGTCGCTCTCCTCGGGCGCACGTGTCGGAGCGGCCTCGAGAAGACGGCTCGAGAGAACGTTCGAGGGCTACTCGAGCCCCAGGGCAGCAGAACTGCGAGCTCGAGCGCGACCTTCTCCTCCTCGTCGTCCTTCTCGAGCGCAGAGTCGTGAGGCCGACCTCGTGAGAGGCACCCCGACTGGACCTGAGCCTCGCTCACACGTCTCGATAGGTCAATCGACAGCAAACCGGACCCGAGAAGAGCAGAACTGCGAGCTCGAGCGTGACCTTCTCCTCCTCGTCCTCCTTCTCGAGCGCAGAGTCGTGAGGCCGACCTCGTGAGAGGCACCTCGACTGGACCTGAGCCTCGCTCACACGTCTCGATAGGTCGATCGAGAGCAAACCGGACCCGAGAAGAGCAGAACTGCGAGCTCGAGCGCGACCTTCTCCTCCTCGTCCTCCTTCTCGAGCGCCGGGTCGTGAGGCCGACCTCAGCCGGCACGCTCCGCTCGTGCGCCACAGCAGAAGGTCTTTCCCTCATCCCAGCTGCAATTCGACGTGGCTCGAGCCACCGTGAGCTGCGTGAGAGCTGTTCGACGCGGTTGAGCAAGGCCAGTCTGGTTCGAAACGCGGGCTCGAGCGCACTGATTTTCGAGCACAGCGCCCTCTGCACGCTCGCCGCGTCCGCAGTTCTACTCGCATGGGCTTCTTAGGCTCTGTGAGCAGGCGGGACACACACTCGGCGATGCGTGAGGAGCACGCAAGTCGCGAGAAGGTGGGTCGACGTGGCGCGCGCGCTGTCCTCGTTCCGCTTTCGCTCGCTCTCGCGCCTCGGCTCGTCGCACTTACGGCGCGTCCCTGCGCTCAGGCATGCAGTGGAAATAGCTCGAGTCGCCCGTGACCTTTCCAGAAGCAGGCGCGCAGTGTGGGGGGAGAGGGAGGGAGGGAGGAGGGACGAAAGTGCGTGTGGCGTGCGTTTACAAAGTAGGCCTTTCCTTGCTTGAGCCAGATGGGTCGATTATCGCGCTCCGCTGGAAGGCTATGTGTAAAAAAGGGGTCCTTATTGACACAGTTCTGGCTGCAGCGTCGAGTCTAAAAAGGGGTTCCTATTGACTCGATCTCCTGCAGAGTACTATCGACTTGGCTAGGCTTAGGCCTGGCCAAGCTTGGGTTTTGCTTTTTGCTTTCGGCTGCTGGTTCTGCTCGTGCTTCTCCTCCTCGTGCTCTGCTGCTCCTCCTCGGTTCTGCTCACGGCAGACGTCCAACGCAGCATGGAACGCTGTGCTCGGATCCAGGGAGACTCGCGCTGCGAGCCCTACAGCGAGGCGCACCTCCCTTCCTTTGCTCTCACGAGGTGGTCCGTGGGACCGCGCTAGACCGACAAGGAGCGAGTCTCGTTCTCGTGTGCTCGTCTCGAAAGGTAGAACGTGAGCCTCTCGAGTCCCGAAAGTTCACGCGCGCAGACTCGAGCGCGGCCACCTCCTTCTCGTCCGGTTCGCATCAAGCCTGTGCGCCTCAGCTCGCCCTCTTTGCGAGCGACACCGCCAGCAGAGGTCTCGGAAAGCCGCTCGAGCAACTGCGGCAACGAGTGCAACTCGCGCGAGCCTCAGCTGCAGCCATCCGCGGCACAGGCGAGGCCCGACCGCGGCGCCCGACGGCAGTTCGCGCTTCTGAAGCTCTCTGCACGTCATACTCTCTCTCGACCGAAGCGTCGACGAGGCCGACAGGCAGGCGAAGTATAGAGGAAAGCGAGCGACGTTACGAGGGCGCGAAAAGTCTACGGCAAAGATGGACAAGGAAGGTCGAAGGGAAAGGGGGACTAGAAGGCGAAGCTCAAGGCTGGAAGACGTAGAGGAGGTCTATGAGAGGCGCGCGTGACCCTGCGGGAACGAGGACGGTGAGGGCTGCGACGCTTCGAGAGCGAGATCGAGCGAGCTGGACGCACCTGCGGGAGATGCCGCTTCTCAATCCGGGTCGTATTCGTCGACGGCCGCTTGAGCTGGTACAGCGAGAATGCCTGCAGGGTGCACGAGTGTCAGTGACCGGACGAGGAGGAGGAGGAAGAGGAAGGGCAAGGGCAGAGACGCACCGAGACGCTCGGACCGCCGCCGCAGTACTGCGTCGAGTTGCCGTTGCACACGCTCGAGCACCACCCGATGTCGAGCTTTGCCGTCGCAGGATAGAGCGGCCCGACCCAGCATTGACCTGCGGATGGGCGACCTCCTTCCTCGGTGAGTTTCTCGTCCTCGGGCGCGCGAACAGGGGAGGAGAGGAACGACCGGCGACGCACCGTAGTACTCGAGGCCGGCCCAGCCGTAGCCCGCGTCGGCCGCTGCGTCGAGGCACGCGTCGACGCTCTCGACGTTGAGGATCGAGTGCGGGAACGCGCGCGCCGTCTGGTTGTCGGCAAAACAGCCGAGGTACGTCCAGTCCTGGTACGACACGACCGTCTCGGGCGTGCTGCGGGACGAGTTGAGGTCGAGTCAGTCACGGCTGGCGAGCGCGAGAGGTCGACGAGAGAGAGAGAAAGAGAGAGAGGAGGACGAACCCGTCGACGACCTCGGCGCCGAGCGGCGGGATGTCGCCAGGGTAAACGGTCGGCGTGAAGCGCTCAGGGTACGGGACGTCGGTGCACGAGGTCGAGAGGGCGTCCTCGCGGGTCCACGTGATCGGGTTGCAGCCGGGGAGCGCCTTGAGGTTGCCCTCGACGACCTGCGACGGCGGCGGCGGCAGAGTCAGTCCCTACTCGACGACAAGCGACGAGGAGGAAGAGGGAAGTGGGCGCACCTCGTTGTAGTCGGGCGTCTTGTGGCAGAACTCGGGGTACTCGACCTGGGCCCGGTCGCGGTTGTACAGCTCGAGGACCGGACAGTCCTCGATTTCGCCGCCCGGGTCCGTGCACACCTCGATCGCCTGCTGAAGCAGGTCTTGCGGCCAGCCGTTGAAGAAGTCGCTGTTGCGCATGCAGGTGAGCGTTAGGTTGTGCTCGTCGAGAGGAGTAACGAGGAGGGGAACGAGCGACGAACGCGTGCCAGCCGAAGCCGTAAGGGTCGCCCATCTGTCGCCGCACCGTCGTCGAGTCAGTGACGGCTTCTGAGTACATGTTTCGAAGAGACAGAGAGAGAGAGGGGACGTACCGCGAGCACGAACGGCTGACTCGGGTTCATCGTCTCGTTGCGGTAAGGTTCGACATCTTGAACGGCGAACGAGATCTCCATGAAGAGCGTGACGAGGCGGACCGGGTGCGAGTCGGGGCAGGCTGTTCGACAAGGTCCGTCAGTACGTCGACGGAGGAGACGAGGAGGAAGGAGAGAGCGCGAGGACGCACGCCCAATCTCGCCGTCCGAGTACGCCATGTGCGAGCCGTCCGGGTTGTACAGGTTGACGCCGTCCCAGCATGACGCTGCACGAGTGAGAGTGTCAGGAGGGCTCGTCGTCGTCGAGAGAGAGGGAGAGAAAGAGAGGCGACGCACGGAACCGCACCTCGCCCCTCAAGTTGTCGCTGCAGTACCGGTCGACGGGCAGGCCGCTCCCCTCGACTCGTGTCGGCTCCGGCGCACCGAGGCAGTTCCACCCTGCGAGTAAGCGTCGACGTGAGCGACTCGGGCGGCCAAGGCGACGAGGTGAAGGGAGAGGACGGACCGATCGTGTCCTCGGCACTGCCCGCGAGGTTGTACGAGCGCGCGAACGGGTCGCCGGCGAGCATGCGGAACCCGGGCGGGAACGCCGTCACGTTGGTCTTGTCGGCCTCGTTGAAGCGGAACAGGTAGTATCTGTGGCTCGGTCCGGCGTCAAGAGAGGCCCGAGCGGGACGAGAGAGAATGGGACGCACGCCAAGCCGCCGTCGAGCTCGCGCACTCGAGTAAATGTGTCGTTCGCCCAGTGCACATAGAGCGAAGGATGCCAGTAGGCTGCGGGCGGCAGAACTCGACGTCAATCGACGGAAGAGGGGAAGAGGGAAGGCGAGTCGAGCGCACCTGACATGTCCTCCTTGGCGTGCGCGCTCGTACACTGACTCGCCCGCAGGCTCTCGTACGTCGCCTGCACGTCGCCGAGGGTCAGTCGCCGTTCACGAGAGGCGCGAGAGGGAGCGCGCGACGCACATCGGGCGAGAAGTTGCTGCCGCCGGCGACCGAGTGCACGTGCGCCGACACCGTGTGCGGCATGACGATCGGGTCGACGCGCTCGACGACGAGCTGCGGGTGCGACAGGACCGTGTGAGACGGCGACGGCGCGGAAGGAAAGGCGTGACGAGGAGGGAGAGAGACGCACGAGGTTGTCCAGGGGCATGCGGAAGAAGGCCTGTGCGGGCGCGACGAGCGCAGCTGCACTGGCGAGCGCAGCGAGAGTCGAGCCGAGCATCTCTGGAGAGCTGGGCGCAGGAGCAGGGAGAGAGGTGCCAGCCGAGGGCGAGCGAGGGAGAAGCAGAGCGGTCGCGCTGCCAGCACCCGAGGAGCTCGAGGGGCCCGACCTCGCCTCGGGCTCCGTGACACGCTCCGAGCGAGAGCGCACAACACTGCCCCTCTGACCATCACCGTGCTCCGTCCCATCCACCGCTGCGGCCGCGCGTCTCGCGCGCGTCCTCCCCCGCGTCCGACGCGCGCGCCTGAGCCACGCGGCGCAGAACAAGCTCTCGGCCCCCGATCCTGGTGCGGCCGAGAGCAGCACGGCGGAAGCATGCGCGAGCTGCGGGGCGGGCGGCGTGGCGTGCTGCCCTGCGCGCTGGTGGCCGAGCTGGCGAGGTCGGTGGGTGGAGCGAACGGAGAGCTGGGAGGACGAGTGGGCAGCGACGGGTGCCGACAGCAGGCGTGCGTGATGCGCAAGGCTGAGCCCCTGCAGCCTGCGCTGCGCGCGGCAGCTGTGCGGTGGCGGCGACGGTGGACGAGCGCGAGAGAGCGCCGAGCGGAGCTTCGAGACGAGGCGACCCTGTCTCGCCTGTCTCGCGAAACAGCTGGCCTGTGGGCAAGTACTCGCTCGGTGCAGCTCTCGGTATCACGCGCAGGGTCACTCTCGCAATCGAGAGCGTCGCACGAGAGAAGCAACAGAACGAGGCGAGTCTAAGATTTCACAAGCGCACGAGCGCGCGCTCTATCGACGAGGCGCTCGGTACCGGCCGGCACGATGAATGCGAGGGAGAGAGAGAGAGAGAGAGAGAGAGAGGGGAGGGGAACAATGCGAGTGGGACAACGAGGTTGGAGAATGAGGACGAGAGGACGAGGCTGAGGTTGAGGAACAGGAAGGGCGCCCGCTCTTGGGGATGCAGGATGTCGAGCTGGCGTCGGGCGAGGTCTAGGTGTAGGTCGGTGTGCAGGTGTAGAGACGAGTCTAGGCGGTGTGGAGGTAGTCGACCGGGCGGAAGAAGCCCTTGGGGCCGAACCAGGTGCCCTGAAAGTGCGAGTCGACGAGTCAGTCCCAGGGGCTCAAGACCCTACTCTCGGCGACGAGCCTGCGCTCGCACGACGAGAGAGAGAGAGAGCGAGGAGCGAGACGCACGTTGAGGAACGACGACCAGTAGACGCGCGGGAAGAGGTCCTTCTTGAGGTGGAAGTAGAGGCGGTTGGGCTTGTCCTGCGAGCCGAGGATGGGCGCGAACGTCTGCGGGTGCGAGGGAGGCAAGGCGTCAGGTCAGGTAAGACGAAATGAGGAGAGGAGAGGAGAGAGGGAGCGGGGCGCACCTCCTTGGGGACGCCGCCGTATTTGAACTCGGCGAGCCTGCGGACGAAGACGAGGGAGGACGGCGTCAGGCCCTCACGTGCGTCTATCGAGCGCGAGCGCGCCTTGCGGCACGCCACGCTCGAGAGCGAGAGAACCGAGGCGACGCACATGAGCTCGTTGTGGCCGGTCAAGAGCGGGCAGCTCGCGTACCCGTCGTACTTGGCGGGCAGCTCGTGGCCGTCGTGCAGCGCGCGCAGGTTGTCGACGAGGACGGGCGCCTGGCTCGAGATGGCGGCGGCCGTCTTCGAGTTGGGCATGCTCGACGCGTCGCCGAGCGAGAAGACGTTGGCGAACTTGGTCGACTGGGTCGTGGCCGGGTCGACGGCGACCCACCCGGCGGCGTCGGCTGCGGAATGACGAGAGGCGCAGCCAGTCAGGGCCTCGGTCTAGTGAGTGGAGACGGACCAGACGAGGGAGAGAGGTCGCTCGACGCACCGAGGGGCGACTGCTTGACAAAGTCGGGCGCGACCTGGGGCGGCACGACGTGAAGCAGGTCGAACTCGCGCTCGACCTTGTTGCCGTCGGGGCCCGCAGCGAACGTCGCCACCTTGCGGCGGTGGTCGACGGCGACGAGGTTGTGGTTGAACAGGCCCTCGACGTTGCGGTCCTTGCGGATCTGCTCGAGCGCGGCAGAGTACTTGGGGACGCCGAACATGGCTGTGCAGGGGCGACGAGAGTCAGCGCTCGCTCTGGAGAGATCGGCCGGGGCCGAGGGAGGGAGAGGAGGACGCACTCGGGGTGCCAGTCGCGAATACGGGCTTGACCTGGTCGCGAACGCCCTCGTTGCGCCACTGCGACTCGGCCTGCGGGATCGAAGTGTCAGCGTCCGCCGAGGGGAGGAGAGAGAGGCGGAGAGTGAGGGGCGCACCATCCAGAGGACCTGTGCGGGCGAGAGGGGAAGGTCAGCTCGACGAGGCCGGGCACACGGGTGACGAGAGGCGAGAGCGGGACGCACCTTCTGCGGAGCACCGGCGCACTTGATGATGCCGGCTGGCTGGGTGAAGATCTGCTCGAGAGAGAAAGGAGGGCAAGGGGAGGGAGGTCAGCTCGACGAGTCGGGAGGGGAGGGGACGCGCGTCGCTCGGGCAAGAGAGGGAGAGAGAGTGGGACGCACCGCCGTGCCCTTCTTGAAGGCCTCGATGTTGCGCCACGTCTTCTCGACCGTGTTGAGAGCGTAGATGCTCGAGACGGCCGAGGTCGGGTCGGCGAGGCCCTCGTTGAGGCCCTTGACGGCGTCAAAGTTGATCTTGAGGCCGGGCGCGACGATGAGGAAGTCGTACCTGCGGAACGAGGGGACGAGTGAGCTCGAGTGACACGAGGGAGGACAAGGAGGGAAGGAAGCGAGGACGCACTTGATCTGGGCGTCGTCGGCGGTCGTGACCTGGTTCTGCTCGGGCTGGAAGGTCGAGACACGGGCGGTGTAGCGCTTGACGCCTGCAGGGATGACGGCGTCCATGGGCTTGCGCATCTGGTCGAGGGACGAGAGGCCGGTGCCGCTGTTTCGGTCGCGCGCGAGATGTCAACGAGGGGCCGGGGGAGGAGGGGAGTATGAGGGCGACCTCGCGCTGTGGCCGGGCTGAGAGGAAGGTGGGACGCACACGAGGGTCCATCCAGGCTGGTCTGCGGTGCGCAACAGGTCGCGGTGAGCGTTGGTCGAGCGAGACGAGGGCGATCACGCCACCGGTTCGAGGAGGGGGGAGAGAGAGGGAGGGAGGGACGGACAGTGGTGCTCGGCTGCGGGCTCGATGATGGCGATGTCGCCGTCATTCAAGGGCCGCTTCTCTGCGGCAAAGGCGCGTCGGAGCTGAGCTGCGACGGTGACGCCTGCGGTGCCGCCTCCGACGACGACGAACTTGTGGCTCGAGGTGGACGCGAGGCGGGCAAAGGTGCGGGCAGGCACAAAGGCGCGCGTGCTGCGGGTGGCGGCAAGCATGGCGGTCGAGTCGGTGAGGGAGAGGTGGACAGCGAACGACAGCAGCTCGGCTCCGAGGTCGAGGAGGAGGAGGACGATTCGTCGGGTGTGGGATCCACCCGCTCGACGAGCTCAGCAACGACGGGTGCCACCTTGCAGCCACTCGAACACTCTCGCCGACCCACCCTCGAGAGCCTCGCTGCTCGTCAACCTCTGCCGTCGTCGCACCTCTCGGCCGGCAACAGACCTCGCGGCAACAGAGCGTTACCTCGCCCACGACCACCAGGGCCAGCGTGCTCTGCTCAAGCTTGACCACCACCACCACGCCCACCCATCAACCGCCGCGCCATGCTCCGCCGCGCCGCCGCCGCCCTCGCCGTCCCCACCTCGACTCGCCGCCCAACCTTGGCCTCGCTCCCTCTCCGCCGCATCGCCTCCAGCGCCACGAACAGGCCTCCGACACTCGCACACCCGGCCACGCAGCCATCCCGCACCGCCACCACCACCGCCGCCGTCACCCCGCTCTCCCCTTGGCGCACCCACACCCCGGCACCCGACGCTTCCCCCTCGACCCCGCTCGTCTACACCTTCTACCACGACCCGACCGCCACCTGGACCTACCTCGTCGTCGACCCCGACACCCGCCACTGCGCCGTCATCGACTCGGTCCTCGATTGCGACCCAGCTTCGCGCACCGTGTCGACCACGACCGCCGACGCCCTCGTCGCCTTCATCCACCAGCAGCACCTCACCGTCGACCACATCCTCGAGACACACGCCCACGCCGACCACCTCACCGCCGCCGCCTACCTCCAGTTGCGCCTCTCGACCCCGGCCGACGACATCGACGCCCCCTCGACCTCGCCCTCGCGCGTCGTCCCCATCGGCGCCCACAGCGGCATGCGCTCAACCCAGGCCCACTTTGCCCAACTGTACGACGTGCCCGCCGCCGAACTCGACACGGCGTTCGACGCCCTGTACGACGAGGGCGACCAGGTCCGCGTCGGCGCCCTCACCGGCGTCGTGTGGCACCTGCCCGGCCACACGCAGTGCAGCGCCGGCTACGTCTTTGGCGACAGCGTCTTTACCGGCGACTCGGTCCTCCTTGTGCGTGCCTCGTCTCTCTCTCTCTCACGGGCCTCGTTCATCCCGGCGCACGCACTGACCCTCGCCCACAGCCCCCGACCGGCACCGCCCGCGCCGACTTTCCCCTCGGCTCGCCCTCGGCCCTCTTCTCGTCGACGCAGCGCCTCCTCGCCCTCGCCCCGAACGTCCGCCTCTTCTCGGGCCACTCGTACCCGCTCGCCGGCGCGTCCAACCTGTGCTCGGCCACGGTCGCCCAGCAGCGCGCCCTCAACCCGCACGTGCACGACGGCGTCGACGAGCAAGGGTTTGTCAAGATGAGGAGCGAGCGCGACCAGGGCTTGAGCGAGCCGAGGCTGCTCCACCAGTCGCTCCAGGTGCGTCCCCCCTCCCTCCTCTCCCCCTCGCTCCCTCTCTCTCTCCGTCTCAGCTCGCGCTTGTGACTGACCTTGGTCTCGCCCTACAGGTCAACATCCGCGCCGGCCGGCTACCGCGAGGCGCCAACGGCCAGCCATACTTCCGCACGCCGCTCCACGCCCCGACCGTCCTCTAGCGCCGCTCCTCGCCTCCCTCGTCCGCCCCGCCGCCGTCGCTTGTCGTGCCACCCGCACCTGCAACGTCGTCGCTTGTTCGTGTGCTCGACGACTGTCGCCGTGCGAGAGGTGAGCGGCTCCTCGACCGAGTCGACCTTCCCAAAGCGCTCTCTCGCACCTTGCTCTCGCTTCGAGCCCTCGCTCGTCCTCGCTGCTTCTCCTTCGCTCGCTCGGCAGCTCTCCTCCACTCGCTATCGCTGCACCTGCGCGAGCGCGCCAGCTGGCGCCCTCCACGCCGGACCGCTCGCCGACTCGGTGGAGGCCTCCACGCGTCGAGCGCTGCGAGCGCTCGAGGGCCGCGAGCGCAAGCCGCAACGCTTTCTGGCGCCTCTCGTTCGAGGCTCTCGAGAGGGGAGCGCGCTCGCCGAGAGCGAGAGGCCAACTTGAGAGCTCGCGCGGCGCTCGCACGCTCGCACGGGCCGCTCGACGGTCGACCTTCCCAAGTCGGGCTTACTCGCCGTCGGATGACGCGGCCGTCCATTTTTCGAATTGCCCGAGAATCGTCGATTGAGGCCTCCACTCGAAGCCGGATCGTCTGTGGGGGGAGAGCGTCAGCTCCACCTCGAGGAGCGCACCCGTCGCCCCCTCCTCTTCTTCTCTCCCGTCGCTACTCTCGCTGCTTCTTCAGCTACACCGCACCAGCACATCGACAAGCACCTCTATCATCATGTCGCAGCAGCAAGACTACAAGTTCGAGGGCTGGAACGCGCTCGACAAGAACTCGGTCAAGGGCCAGATGGTTTGGCAGGAGTACGAGCCCAAGGCGTTCGCCGACGACGACGTCGACATCAAGATCATGTACTGCGTGAGTCTCCTTTACCTGCCGCGTCGAGCCCGAACGAGGCAGCGCCTCGTCTCTCTCTGAACGTCGCACTGACCCTCCTCCTCCTCTTCCTCCTCGCGACAGGGCGTCTGCGCCTCGGACATCCACACCATCTCGGGCGGCTGGGGCGACATGCCGTGGCCGGTCGTGACGGGCCACGAGATCCTCGGCGAGGTCGTTCGCGTCGGCCCCAAGGTCAAGCACGTCAAGGTCGGCGACATTGCTGGCGTCGGGTGCGTCCCTCGCTCTCTCTCTCTCTCTCTCTCGTTCGCGGTGCAGCTCGAGAGACGACGACGAGCGTGTCGACGAGGCAGTGCAGGCGTTGACTGACCGAGACGTGCAACCTTCCCAACCTCCTCCCTCTCCCCCTCGACCTCCCTTCTCTCCTCCGCTTCTACGTTCCTCGGTCCCGTCCTACCTCTTCGACCTCGCCAACCTACTCGTCGACCCGCCACTCGCCCACGACCTCCTCTCGCCGTCGCATTCCTCCACTACAGTGCGCAGAACGACTCGTGCCTCGAGTGCGACCAGTGCCTCAAGCACCGCGAGCCGTACTGCGACAAAGGACAAACTGGTACCTAGTGGGTCTTCTCCTAGACTCTCCGGCATGCCTCGCGACGAGCTGCAGCGAGCTGACCTCGTCGCCTCGCGTCCGCAGCGCCGGCATCTACTACCGCGAGGGTCCGGGCAAGGGCGCCAAGTCGTACGGCGGCTACGCGAACTACCACCGCGCACCCAGCCACTTCGTGGTACCCATTCCCGACGGCCTTGACCACGCTCTTGCGGCGCCCATGCTCTGCGGCGGCGTCACCGTCTACTCGCCGCTCGTCCAGTACGGCGCCGGCAAGGAGGCCAAGGACGTCGGCATCGTCGGCATTGGTGGACTTGGGCACTTCGGGCTTTGTCAGACCTCTCCCCTTTCTCTCGGGCCTCGCCTGTCCCCTCTCTTTCGGGCCTCGACAGAGCCCTTGCCTCTCCTGTGCGTGACTGACCCGCTCGACGCACACAGTGTTCGCCAAGGCCCTCGGCGCCAACGTGACGGCCATCTCGCACAGCGAGAGCAAGAAGGCCGACGCCGAGAAGGTGCGCTTCGCCCTCCTCCTCTTTGAGAAGGCCCGAGCGCGACCTGACGCGCCTTCTCCTTCTCCCTCCCTCCTCCCTCCTCCTCCCGCAGATGGGCGCGACCCGCTTCATTGCGACGCACAGCGGCAAGGAGGATGACTTCAAGCCGTACGCGCGCTCGCTCGACCTCATCGTCGCGACGACCAACGACGAGTCGATGCCCCTCACGGGTTACCTCTCGCTCCTCCGCCCCGGCGGACACCTCATCCTCGTCGGCGCGCCCGAGAAGCCTCTCCCGGCCATCCCGGCGTTCCCGCTCATCCTCAACAACGTCCACATCGCCGGCTCGGCCATTGGCTCGCCCAAGCTCATCAAGGAGATGCTCGAGCTCGCCGCCAAGCAGAACGTCAAGTCGTGGATCGAGAAGCGCGACATCAAGTGCGTCCTCGCCTTCTCTCGCTCCATGTCGACGTCGAGCGGCGACGCCGACGCCGCCGCCGTTTCTTCGACTCGACCTCGCACTGACTACCTTCCTTCCCTCCCTTCCTCCGATCCTCTTTCGTTCTCTCGCTCACAGGGACGCGAATCAGACCGTCATCGACATGAAGGCGAGCAAGGCTCGTTACCGCTACGTCCTCGTCAACACAGCCAACGGCGGCAAGCTCTGAGCGCGCCTTTCGAGGCGAGTCGCCGCGGTCGCGCCTCGTGTGCGACGTCCCGTTTGGCTAGAAACCCTTGTGTAAAGACTCGAGTGCCCCGTTCGTCGTCCCTTGAGAGTATGAGAGCTCGTGTGTGAGAGCGGCTAGCGCTCACAGGTGGCGCTCGAGCCTCGCTTTCGACTCGCCTTTTTGCGATTCGGCAGATCAGTCCTTCCCGGCTCTCTTCACTCTCGAGCTCTACAGGAGATCACTGACAAAAGGCGCGAAGAGAACCGGCGAGGAGCGGGAGAGCGATGGTCGCGCGGCGAGAGCAGAAACGCAAAAGAGGGGGCACCCGCTCCACCTCCTCCCACCTCTCGCCCCGCTCGCATCGCTCGCACACGCTGCACAGCCCTGCGTCTGCTGCGCTCGGAGCCTGAGGATCGACAGCACTGGGCGACCGCGGTGGACGCAGGGCCAGCGCTCGGCGAGCTTTCCCTCGAGCTTCCCCTTCGACGACCCGGAGCTCTGCGATTCGACTCCCGGTCATCGTAACCTCGCTCAGCGACGGTCGCAATTAAGGCTGGTCGGCTGGGCAACCCGGTCCAAGTGCCGCCCGGTCGTTTCGCCCGCATCGCCTGCAGGAGCGAGGGTCCGCAAGGGCTTTTCGACCTCGCATCGAGCTGGAGGTGCGACGGTGCGTGATCGCGCTCGCGGCAGACGCACGCGGAGAACCGCGCACCCACGTCTCGCTTTAAGCACCTCCCTGGGCTCGTGCCGATCGACCCTGGGAAGGCGGCGAGCTCCCAGCTCAAGCCTCGCGCCCCACACCGCCGCTCGCCTCGCGCTTCTTTGCTTTCCTCCCCGACCTCGAGCTCGCCTGCTTTGGCATCTCGCCACCATCACCATGGTCGAAGCCACCCTCAGCAAGGAGCAGCGCGACACGGCCCTCAACGACGAGCCGACCATCGCCCCGCCGATCGACGCCGACATCAAGCACAGCGACGCCGCCTCTCGCCTCGAGCACCTGCGCGTCTCGGACGATGAGCTCGTCGGCAAGCTCAAGTACGAGCAGCTGTCGCTCTACGAGAAGAAGTCGTGCGTCCTCGTCCCCCTTTGGCCTCGTCGTCGTCGAAGCGCTCTCGAGCAGCTCCCTGACCTCTCCTCTCGCTCCCTGCAGCGTTCTCGTGCGCGCTCATTGCTCCTCTCGTTTGACGTGAGCACCACAGCTGACTCTCCCTCCCGCAGATCAACCGCGAGCTCGATTTCATGGTGCGCTCCTCTCCCTCCTCGAGCGAGACGCGCACACGCTCAGGATCAGCAAGCTCACCTGCTTCGTCTTCGTACGCAGAACAAGGCGTCGTTCTGGGGCATGGGTCGCTACCAGGTGCGTCCGTCTCGAACTCGCGCGACGAGGAGCCTCGAGCGTGACCCTGACCTTCTCGATCGTCACGCAGTGGTGCATCTTCTTCGTACGTCGCCGTCGCTTTCCCTCGCGCATTTGGCTCCTCCGCACGGGACGAGCGGTGCTCGTCGAGCATCGAGCGGCTGCGCGCGAGGTGAGCCACGTGGGCGAACCGCGACCTGACCTCGAGCTCTCCCTCTTTGCGCGCGCAGCTCTGCGGCTTCGGCTACTTTCTCGACCTCGTCTGGGCGCAAATCGGCGGCCTCATCGGCGGTCAGATCCAGCAGGAGCTCGGCATCGCCGACAACCGCATCGGCGACCTCTCGACCTGCTTCTCGGCCGGCCTCACGGTCGGCGCCTTCTTCTGGGGCCTCGCCGTCGACATTATCGGCCGCCGGTGGGCCTTCAACTTGACTGTGCGTCCCTCTGTCACCTACAGCGCCGACGAGATATGTCCTGACACCTCGTTACCCTCGTCTCGCAGTGCCTCATCGCGTCCGTCTTTGGCCTCATCTTTGCCGCGCCGAGCAACTATGGCGCTCTATGCTTCATCAACTTCTGCATCGGTCTCGGCGTCGGCGGCAACATCGTGAGCTCCGCATTGCTCTGCCTCTCGCCGTGTCTCGTCAACGCGAACTGACGTCGGACGACCCTGCAGCCCATCGACGCCTTGATCACGCTCGAGTTCCTGCCGACCGTGAGTCCAGACGCCTCTCTTAAGCCTCTGTGTCACTCGAGGATGCAGCTGCAGCGGCCGCGGCGTCACTCCAGGTTTCGAAGCCCGCGCACTGACCCTCTCCTCCCTCGTCCCGCAGAACCGGCGCTTCCTCCTCTGCGCCCTCTCGACCTTCCAGCCTCTCGGCGTTACCATCGCCTCGCTCATCTCGTGGGGCCTCGTGCCTCGCTACGCCTGCGACACGGCCCTCCCGGCGTGCGGAGGAGGCGTCGAGCCCTGCTGCCGGCGCAGCGACAAGTGCGTCCGCCTTTCCCGCCTCTTTCAGGCCGACGCGTCGGACTCTCCCTGACACGACACACACCCGCAGCATGGGCTGGCGCTACGCCGTCATCGTCTGCGGCTGCATGACCCTCGGCATTTTCATCCTGCGCTTCGTCGTTTTCACGTTTTACGAGTCGTGCGTCTTCTGGCTCTCTCCTCTCTTTCTCTCGAGCGCGAGTCCGCTCAGGCGCCTGTGCGGCCCACACTGACTCGTCGTCCGTGCAGGCCCAAGTTCCTGCTCGCAAAGGGTCGCGACGACGAGGCGATCGACGTCCTGTACAAGATCGCCAAGTTCAACAAGCAGCCGCAGCCGCAGCTCACGATCGACGATTTCCGCCTGCTCGACAAGGAGGTCGCCGAGCGCGAGTCGATCACGTCGGACGAGCCTATCCTCGAGGGCACTCGCCCTCTCACGACTGGGCAGCTCATGCGCCAGCGCCTCAAGCAGTTCGCCGGCCAGTTCAAGCACCTCAAGGGTCTGCTCGCGACGAAGCGCATGATCTGGCTCTCTCTCACCCTCTGGGTCGCCTATGTGCGTCCTCTCGTCCTCCTTCCCCTTCCTCGTCGTTCACCACGAGCTGACTCTGGTATCCTCCCTCGCAGATGGCGCTCTTCTTCTCGTTCTCGATCGCGGGTGGCTACCTGCCACTCATCCTGCGCGCCAAGGGCATCGACACGAGCGCCGGCCTCGACGAGACTTACCGCAAGTGAGTTGCGTTTCCCGTCCACCCAACTATCCGTCTCAGTCCGGCAGCAGCACCCTGACGCTCTCTGCCCCGTCCCAGCTACGTCATCGTGTACCTGCCAGGTGTACGTCCCTCCCTTCCCTCTCGTCGGCGGTCGCCGCAGCGCGACCTTCTCAAACCGACCTTCCTTCTCGCGAGCCGCCTCTGACCCTCCTTGCCCTCTCGCAGGTCACCGCGACAATCCTCGGCGCGTTCCTCATGGAGATCAAGTGGCTCGGTCGCAAGTACGCCATGGCGTTCGCCGCCGCGCTCATGGGCACGTCGCTCTTCCTGTTCGCCACCGTCTCGTCGTTCACGGCGTACACGGGCCTCAACCTGTTCGAGTACTGGGCTCAGTCTCGTGCGTCCTCTCTCTCGTACTTCTCGGCCGACGCGGGAGCTGACGACCGTTCATCCCGGCCTTTCCTCCTCCCTCGTCCTTCCCCTCTTTCGCGTCGACCACCTGCCTCGCGCCACCTACAGTCTATGCCGCTCTCCTCTACGCCGCGACGCCCGAGTACTTCCCTGCGTGCGTCGTCTGGCTCCTCTCCTTGTCTCGCAGCCGAACGAGCCTGACCTCCTCTCCCTCGCAGGCCGTACCGCGGGTCGGGATCCGGCATCGCCTCGACGCTCGGCCGTCTCGCGTCGACGGTCGCTCCCGTTGCGTCGGGTACCATCTTCAACCCTCGCAGCAAGTGCGTCGACTCCTTCTTCTCTTCCATGTGCGCGAGGTGCGGACCTGACCCTCGTTCCTTCCTCGCAGCTCTGTCCTGTATATGGCCGGTGGTGCGGCTCTCGGTGCGTCCTCGTCTCTCTTTCTCTCTTCCTCTCTCCCTTCACTCGCTCGGGGACTCGTCGTTGACCCTGTTCTCCATGCAGTTTCGATGCTCGCGATCCTGTGCTTGCCGTTCGACACTCGCGGGCGTCACACTTTCTGAGCGAGTTCTCGCTCGTCCATTCCCAGCCTTGTCTCTCTCTCTCTCCTTTCCACGGTTCGTGTAGATACCTGCAGTTGCAGATCGACTTTGTTCAGGGATTCGACTCGCTGCACAGCGACGGCGAGAGAGATGCTCGAGCGAGAACACGAAGAGGCCGGGCGCAGCGAGCTGTGCGGTTGAAAGCGCGCGACGCGGCGCTTGGTCGATTCGACCGGCGGTCGTGCTCACGGTCGACCAGTCGCACCGGCGAGCACGAGCGAGGCATCGTTCGCCAGCGCGCAGACGAGAGCGGGCGCGAGCCGGTCACACTCGCCCGAGCGGTCTCTCGCAGACTCGGTTGATGCGGACGGTGTAGCGAGACTCTCGTGCGCCCGCAAAGCAGCGCCCGGAGAGTGAGAGAGGGACAGAGGAAGATCAAACCGAGGAGCGGACTGATGAAACCGGGCTCGCCTCAGCCTGCTCACCACCGCGCCTTGAGCTGCTGGTCGCGCTTCAGCAGCGCGCAGAAACGCTACATCGACGTCCTCCAGCGCGCACCCACCCTCAGCGCCCGCCCCAGTCGCACACGGCCGCTCCCTCCCCACCCCGTGTTGCTCGATCTCGCCGCACGACAACCACCAGGGCCGACAACGCTCGGCGCGTCGGAGGAGCTCGTGGGAGAGTCGGGTGCACGCGGTGGAGTGCTTGTCCGGCCCAGCTGTCGGTGCGTCCCCTCTCTCAGCCCGCGCCGCCTTGCGGCTCCAGCCCCGGCCCCTCGCGGCTCAATAGGGCTCGCAAAAGCGAGCCAAGCTAACTCTGAGGCCGCACGCAGAGATGTCGGAGCCTGTTGCGTCAACATCCGCCTCGTCGGCGCCGCCGCCGAGACCGTCGTCGACCGCTCGCCGTCTGCCCGGCGCCTGGGCTCGACCGACATCCTCATCCAGCTCGAGCGCACACCGACGAGTCGACAGAGCGTTCGTGAGCGACGTCGGCGCGCCGGACGGCGGCGGCGGAGCGTCTCGGCGGTCGAGCGGCCGGGCGCTCAAGCGGCCGAGGGCGAGCTCGAGCCTCGACGGCAGCGAGCAGCGAGCGGGCAAGGGCACGTCGCCGACGCGGTGGAGCGTCTATGGCGAGCCACAGCCAGCGGGCGCAGCTCGTACCGGCGTCGAGGCGTCGCCGGACCGAGGGCCAGCGCAGCCGCCACGCGCACAGCCACCCGCGGCGCCGGCCCGGTACGTCGACGCCTCGAGCGTCCTCGCTCCGCCGTCTGAGCACCTCGCCGAGCACCAACCGCCCCCTCGTACCCGGCGCCTGTCGCCTCGCCCCACGACTCGCCTCTTCGCGCCTCGACCCGCCGAGGTGCCTTCCAGCCGCACTCTCGACACACGACGACCTCCTCCTCCTCCGCCAAGACCGCCGCCGTCCGCCTATCCTCAAGCTCCCCATCCTCCCCACTCGCGCGCACCGCGACCGACCACGTCCTTCTCGTCTTCCCTTCCTTCCGCCGCACCAAGTTCGCGCTCGAGCGTGGCAGGCGTTCGGCCTCCCTACCCCGACCCGCAGTCGTCGAGCCAGGCGTCGTCGCACGTCCCGGCGAGCTCCTTTACGCCGTCCTACATCCGCGACCGCTACGCCGCCCCGAGCACCTCGGCACCTCGACCGAGCGCGCCATCGACCCGGCGCCATCGACCCGCGCTCCTCGAGTCCAGGCGAGGTCCAGCGCCGCTCGCGCTCCTGTTTGACGGGCAGGACGACCCTCCAGGCGCGGCTCGACCGCCACCTCGCCCGCCGCCATCAGCGCTCGCGCCGGCGCCGGCGTCGGCGCCAGATCGGCCTCACGTGCCGCCCTCGCTCCTCTTCCTGCGCACGACGGACGCCGGGGCGAGTGAGCGAGCTCGTCGAGCGCGCGAGGAGGCCGAGGCGGAGGAGCATCGGCGGCGCAGCGTCTGGACGGCGGCGGCCAAGGCCAGCAGCGCCGCCGTCGCCCCGACGGCGCCGCCTGTTGCAAGGTCGTCGCAGCCTATGCGCGAGGAGCTGCAGCGAGCACCTCAGCTCGAGCAGGTCGCGCCGGCGTCGCTCTCAGCCGAGGACGAGCGCGAGCTTCGCGCTCTCTTCTCGCCGCCACCCTCGCCTTCGCCCTCGCCGCCACCAGCTCTACCGCCCGTCGAGCCGTCGCCCTACATTCCGCCAACCATGTCGCACCCGCCGCCGTCGGCCGCACCGCAATCGCGCAGCGCGTCGCCCGAGCTCTTCCTCGGCCTCTACGACTCGCCGCGCCAATCTCGCCAGGCGCCACCCTCGACTCGCCCTGTTTCCCCGCCATGTCAGCCATCCACGACGTCCGACGAGCGTGCCGATCGCTTTCGCAGCCGTTCGACACACGTGCTGCGCGCCAACGCCGACGAGCGCTCGTCCACGACCGAGAGCGCAGCTGCCCTCTCGGCCTTCGAGCTCAGCTACGAGCCCGAGGGCTCGCCCGAGCTCGTCATGGGCATGAGCGGCGAGCGCGAGAAACCGTCGAGGCCGGGCGGGCCAGGCGGGACGGGTCCTCCTCGCCGGGCGCAGCAGGCCGCGGCGGCGGGCAAGGGCAAGGGCAGGTGGATGAAGAGGAGGACCAAGGGCAAGGCGTGGACGATGCTCGAGCCCGAGGACACGTGGTGGACGAGGGACCTGGGCGACGAGCGGGCGGTCGAGGCGGGTCCGGGGCAGTCGGGTCGGCGCGCGCTCCAGCATCAAGGGTGCGTCCTCTCTCCCTCTCGATACGCCCGACGCCTGAACTTGCCCTGACACTGTCTCTTTGCAGGTCCGCCGAGCAGTCGCTCGAGCTCACGCTCCGCCAGTTCATCCTCCCGGCGGGCGTCGTCCCGCGCTCGGCGCTCGAGACCGGCCGCATCCTGGTCGACCTGCACCTCACGCTCCACCGCACACACGAGCTCGAGGCGACGTGGTCGATCTCGTGCGAGCGCCAAATGCGCGTCGGCCTCGTCGCTGAGCGGGTCGAGTCGGCCGATCCGCCCTCCCGCACGTTCCGCCTCGAGCACCCGGGCGCCATCCCGCTCCACGTCGACCCGGCCGCCCTCGCTCCGCCAGCACGGTCGCTGTACTTGTCGGTCGCCGTCATGATCGGGCAGGAGCAGCTCGTCGTTCGACAAGTCGTCAACGTCGCCAACCCGTTCCCGCCCTTCTCGGCCTTCCTGCCTTTTCGTCCTCACCCACCCGACCAATCTCGCACCCTCGCCCGTCACGACCTCGCCTCGAGCGGCTCGTCGCCGCTCGTTGCCGGCATCGCGATCGTCCTCGCCGCTCAACCCGTTCCCGACCTCGTACCGCCCACCCCGCTCGACATCACCTCGCTCCTCTCGGCGCGACTCGGCCGGCTCGGGCTGCATCGTCAGGCGCCGAGCGGCGTGTGGGTGCCCGACGGCGTCGCGGTGCGCTCGCCGGCGACCAACGCCATGCACGAGAGGCGCATGCTGAGGCTGGACGGCGGCGCAGAGCGGCCAGCGTTCGACTTTCTCGTGCGTCCCTCTCCTCTCTCCTCTCTCGGGGTACCTCCTGACGTCCTTGTCCTCCCGCTTCGCAGACCAAGGTGCCGCACGCGCCAGGCGAGCTCGTTCGCGTCTTCGCCCATGACTCGGTCGAGGCGACGCGAGCCGCCGTGTCGAGCAAGGACGAGGTGCGTCGCGCTGTCACTTTCTCTGCCTCTCTGGATCGGCACGAGCCTGAGTCCTGACGTATGTCGTCCGTCCGCGTCTCGCAGGAGATCACGCGCTCGTCGATGACGCCGAACGAGAAGCTCCTTGCTCGCATGCAGGTCCGGTGGTGCCTCGTCAACCCGTGCGTCCCTCTCTCTCTCTCTGGCGTATGACAGGATGTAGCCTGACGGGTACGACGAGGCCCTGCAGCTACCCGCCGACCGTGTACCACCGCGAGCGCGCGTGCTGGGTCCACTACGCGCCCCTGATCTCGCGCTTCAACCTGCGCTCGACGCTCGCCATGCACCTCGTGCGACACCTCCTCGCGCACAAGCTCGTCACGCAGCCGCAGCTGAGGGAGATCGTCCGCGCGGTCGATCGCGAGGTCGAGAGGGTCGAGGCGGGCGAGAGGGAGGGGTACGACGACTGGCGAGGGAGGTCTGGCGGGGCTGAGTAGTCCCTCTCGCTCTCTGTTGTTGACATGCATAAATGTTCTGCGTTGCGCCTCGATCCTGTCCCTCGTCCGTCCTCGCCCACCGACTCGTGCCGCCCGTCCCGCTCGGCCCTCCTCGTCGCTCCTTGTCCACCTTCACGCCCGGCTACGACGCTTCCTCTCCTGCCTGTGCCGCTCCCACTCTCCGTCCTCCTCACTGCTGAGACCGCTCCTCTCGCTCGCGCTTTCCCACGCGCTGCCCTCGCCGCCACCGCCGCCGCCGCCAACGCGCGCGTACCGACCCTTGTCCCTCGACGAGGCAGCGCCAGAGCGTCGAGCACGGCCGTGCGGGAGGCTCATTTCGATGTCCTCGCCCCGCCGCCTGAGGAGCTTGCCGTCGCTGCCCATTGGTGCGGCCGCAGAGGCGAGAGGGACGCTGGCGCTCGACGGTCCGCCGGCGCTGCGCACCTCGCGCAGGAGCGCAAAGTAGGCCCAAGCGGCCCAGGCGAGAGGGGCCACGAGGAGGAAGATGGCGACAAGGATGAACTGGCGCGAGGGCGAGGACGTCAGTGCGGGCTTGCGGAAGGAACGGACAAGAAAGAGGAAGGAGACGCACGGTCCCGAGAGCGATTGAGCGAGACTCGGCGACGCTGAAGGTCGCAGAGAGCACGATGGGCGCCCAGACCGTGTACACGAGGCTGAGGAGAGTCGCGAACTGTGGAAAGGGCGAGGTCAGCGTCGGAACCTGCGGAAGGAGGAGAGGCCCAAGCGCACACCGGCAACTGCAAGGGCCATCTTGAGCGTCACATCGTGGTGGTCCCACCGCGTCACGAGCGTCTCGAGGATGCCCAGGACGCCCGAGAGCGCACCGGTGGCGAAAGTCGCGATCGCAAAGACCATGCACGCCGGCGAGTCGAGTTGGTCGTATCCTGTGCGGCACGGACGCGTCAGTGAGGGGCCGCCTTGGTGGAGGGAAAGGAGGGACGCACGGTACGAGTACAGGGTCGACGAGTAGAAGAGCGCCGGGACGCAGACCAACAGCGAGAAAATGGCGGCGCCAAGGGCCGAGCGCGACTGAGTCGAGCAGCAGCAGCCCATGCCTGCGTCGTGCGAGGTGGATTGAGCGCGACGTGAGCGTACGAGGGAGAGCTCGAGACGAGCTCGACGATGCGCGAGCAAGATGCTGCACGGACTTTCCGGCGCGGAGGCGGCTTCGGCGAGCAGGAGGCGGACGGACGAGGAGCGAACGCGCACAGGGGCACCGCCCGGGCGGTGGGCGCCACCGGGCGAGCTGCAGAGCTGTGTTCGTCCTCCTCGACCACCGACAGAGCCGTCCTGCGGCAGTGCGCGACGAGGAGGGAGGGCCGTCTCGCTCGACGCAGTTGGCGCCGCCCAGTCCAGTTCGAAATCGCTCGTTCGCTCCTCTCGCCGTCGCCCAGCTCGACCAGCTCTCGGGATCGACAACTCTACGAAGCGCTCAGCGTCAGAGGTGGAGCACCGCCAGCGCGAGGGCCGAGCTCGAGAGGCCGACGAGGGGCACGAGCCGGCGCGAGGCTGAGCCTGACGTTGTCCAGGTGGAGCGGCGGCCGAAGGGTTCGACGTGGGGAATCGAGGTCCAGCTTGCTCCTTCTCGTCCAGCACACTCTCGCAAAGCTTGACAGCTTGAGACCAGCACGCATCGTGAGTCCTCCCTGTGCACCTTGTCGAGCGAGCGACGCACTGACCCTCTCTCTCCTCCTCGCAGAACCCGCTTCCTCCTGTGCGCCTCCTCCCTCTCGCCCTGCGTCGCCGCCTCGCCTGACCCTTTCCGTCGAGCAGCACCTACCCCCATGTCGACCAACCCCAACACCGCGCTCGCCGAGGCCCAGTTCGCCTCGCTGTCGGACAAGACGGCGTCCGACTTCCGCCAGCAGGGCACGACGTCGGTCGACGACGAGAGCGGCGTGACGGACGGCGGCCTCGGCGAGTTCCAGAAGTTTGGCGCGGGCGTCGAGGTCGGACGGACGGGAGCGAGCGGTGGTGGCGACAACATGGTGCGTCGAGCGCTTGCCTCGAAGGTGGCTAGGAGGGTCGTCGGCGACGTCGGCGCCTCGAGCTTCCTTCTCGGGCACCACCTGACTCACGCCTCTCTCCCCGCAGAACATCCCTCCCGAGCAGGGCGGCAACGCGCGTACCGAGGGCTCGCACGCGTCGCACTTTGACGGCGTCCCGGCCGGCGAGGACAAGGACTCGTGGCTCGCCAAGACGCAGCCGGGCCAGAGTACGTCCCTCTCGTCTCCCTCTCTCTCTCGTCAAGGGTGCCGAGACTGACGACGAGCGCGTACGCAGTCAACCAGAGCGGCAGGTCGAACGAGACGGCGGGCACGATCGACGCGCCCAAGGACGGCAAGCCTCAGCTCGAGGAGCAGTGAGCGGTGCCGCACGAGCGAGGGGGGCAGCCCGAACAGTACATAGCATGACGTCGCAATGCAGCAAAAGCAGTGTCCCGCAGCCTCTCGCTCTCGGTCGTCGCGCTCGAGAGGAAGCGCATCGTGCCTTCTCAAACTCGAACCCGTGCTCGAGCAGCGCTACCCGACCGTCCTGCTACGCCCCTTGCTCGCCGAGCTCCGTACTGCCGCACTCTCGTCCCCTGCCGCTCGCCCTTTGCCCGCGTCGTCCCTCTTGCGCGGCGTCTCTCCCCCGAGACCGAAGCCGTCCGCCCTCGCCGGCGTCGACCGCCCCGCCTCCTTGGCCACCGCACGCTCCCTCTCCCACGCCTCTGCGCGCTCGACGATGAGCGCAGGCAGGGCCTGCTCGCGCTCCCACCGCGGGTCGGGCGCACCGTCACCGCCGTCCTGGCGCTCGAGCCCCGCGTCGTCGCCCGCGAGGAGGAGCACGTCCCACGTCCTCTGCGCGCTCCAGGGCCGCCGCTCGTCGACTCGAGAGGACGAGGTGGTTGCGGGAGGGCCGGCGAGCAGGTCGGCTTCGATTCGGGCGACGCGGTCGGGGATGCTGAGGGCGCTGTGGGCGATGGCGGCGGGGCTCGAGGAAGAGGAGGAGGGTGCGGGGAGGCCGCATTCGGGTATGAGGCGTGAGACGAGGGACTGGAGGGTTGCGAGGCGGGTGTGGAGGATCGGGAGCTCGGTCTCGAGGCTGTTGCGCGACGAGGACAAGGGACAGAGTCAGGTCGGATCGAGTCGAGGCGCGCTCGAATACAGAGAGAGTCACAGAGCGCACCGTGTGAGGTACTCGGCCGTCGGTGCGGGAAGCGCTTGACGCGCGGCGCGCTGCTGCGCCGGGTCCGACAGCGTGTGCTTGGCGCGCAGGTCGGCGACGAGCTGGGCGTTGCGGCGGTTGAGGCCTGTCCAGTCTAGGATGTCAGGGGCGGTGTCCGAGGAGATAGAGAGAGAGCGCGAACGACGCACGAAGGAGGTCGCGGCGCAAGAGGGCACGCTCGGACGAGAGGCTCGAGAGCTTGTCGGTGAGGGCGAGGAGCGAGAGCGAGAGGGCGTCGCGGCGGCGCAAGAGGGTGGTCAGGGCGCTGCGTGGCGGTGAGAACGTTTTGTGAGTACGATGACAGTGCAAGGAAGGATGTAGAGGGGCGTACAGCTGGTCGGGCGACGCGAGAACCGACGGCGAGAGGGACGAGAGGTGGGTCGAGACGAGGTGCGACTGGTCAAGACTGCGGGCAAGGGTGCGCCTATCAGGGTCGTCTGGGGATGCGGCTCGGTAGGGAGGGGACGCACGCTCGTTGGACGCCGTCCTGGAGGGCGTCTTGCGCTCGTTCTCGCGCGAGTTGACCTTGGAGCGACGCGAGGCGGGTCTCGAGGTCGCGCTCCCTTGAGCGAATGGCGTCGGGCGAGTGGTCGGGCGTGCGCTCGTCTTCGAGTTGGCGCAGGCGTTCGCGCTGTTCGAGGCGAGTGTGGGCCTGGGCGAGTTGAGTGCGGAGGTGCGAGTTGGTCGACAGGGCGGCGGCGAGAGGCGACACTGGGGGCGAGTTCATGGCTGTAGGGGTGCCCGAGTCGGTGCAGCGGATGCACTGTAGCCTGGCTGGACTGGCTCGAGTCGTGGGACGAGAGCGGGAACCCCGCGGCCGGTGGCCCAGGAGCGACGACGACGACGAGGCGGCGACCGACTGGCCTCAGTCCGCTCCCTCACCTCACAAGGTCCGTACTCGCTCGCTGTCCTGCCCACAGTACTCTACTGACGACTGCCTGTCCACCGATCCCACTCTCGCCTCGCCCCGTGCCATCGTCGCCTCGCCGTTCCCCTCGCCTCCCCCCCCGCTCATCCGCACCCACCTCGCACCCACCCGCCTTGCACGCACCGCCCTGTTGCCGCCACGCACTCGCCTACCCCTCGAGCAGCACCACCCACCGCCCACCATGCAGTCCGAGTACGACCTCCTGTTCAAGCTCCTCCTCATCGGCGACTCGGGCGTCGGCAAGTCGTGCCTCCTCCTCCGCTTCGCAGACGACACCTACACCGAGTCGTACATCTCGACCATTGGCGTCGACTTCAAGATCCGCACCATCGAGCTCGAGGGCAAGACGGTAAAGCTCCAGATTGTGCGCACCCTCTCCCTCTCCCTCTCCCTCTCCCTCTCCCTCTCCCTCTCTCCTTCGTCTGTGTCCCTCCCTCACTGACCCCGCCCGCCCGACCGCCCGCAGTGGGACACGGCCGGCCAGGAGCGCTTCCGCACCATCACGTCGTCGTACTACCGCGGCGCGCACGGCATCATTGTCGTGTACGACGTGACGGATCAGGACACGTTCGCCAACGTCAAGCAGTGGCTCCAGGAGATTGACCGCTACGCGTGCGAGGGCGTCAACAAGCTCCTCGTCGGCAACAAGTCGGACCTGACGACCAAGAAGGTCGTCGAGTACTCGGTCGCGAAAGAGTTTGCCGACCAGATCGGCGTCTCGCTCCTCGAGACGTCGGCCAAGAACGCCACCAACGTCGAGCAGGCCTTCCTCACCATGGCAAAGCAGATCAAGGACCGGTCCGTCCACCTCTCTCCGTGTCCCTCTCGCTCGCGTCGAGTCCACTACTGACCTGTTCTCCCTCGCGCGCAGCACGGCAGCAAGCGCGCCCGCGGCCGGTGGACCGGGCAAGGCGCCCGTCAAGCTCTCGGGCGGCGCTGCCGTCAACCAGCAGCAGCAGGGCGGCTGCTGCTGAGCCATCGGCGCGCCTCGTCAGCCTCGACCGGACCCTCTCGACGGACTCTTTCGCCACCCTCTCTCGCCCTTCTTGACGGCCTGCGTCCCCTCTCTCCCCTCATACCCCATCTGAGCTAGCTACCTCTCCGTTGTCGCCTCGTTCCTTTGCCCCTCCTTCCCTCAGACCCCCTCTGTACCCACTTGTTTTCCTGCCGACGAGCGAGGCTTTGTCGAGAGTCGCTGCCGCGCTGCCGAGCCACAGCGAGTGTGTCGGGCTGGCTGTGTGAGTCGAGAGAGCGCGCCTTGTCTGGTAATGCGGCCGGCCATAGCTGTCGTCGCCGCCTGTTGGCTCGCCTCGCGCTCTCGACCTCTCGCACCTCACCCGCTCGCACCCCGAGGCCACCGTGTGAGTCCCCTGCAGCCTCCTGTCCTGTCCTCGAGCTCGACGCGAGCACGCTCCACCACGCGCAAGCCCTCGGTCGACCGCCGTCGCCGCACTCCGCCCCCACCTCCCGTCCTCCCGCCCTCGCTCAACGCGACCACCAGGCCTCTTGAGCGCGTGCAGCGCGGCTCCCTGTCGTCTCAAGGACTTCGAGGGACCGCACGACCAGGCGGCGTGCGGACAAGAGGGCGAGACGAGGCGCGCTTGCGTGTGTTCCCCCGAGGGCGATGACACGGCTCTCGCGCCTCGCTCGTCGTGGGCGCGTGGGACGGCCACGAGCGGGCTCAACAGGGGTCCTGGTGCACTTCAGGGCACGCACACTGACCTCGGGTGCGACTTTGGAAACAGCCACCGCCGCCTCTCTGGTCCCCGCCTCCCTCATCAGCCGACCCAGGTGCGCCCCTCGTTCCTCGCCCTTTCCGTGCCTCTTTCGCCCCTTCTTTACGACAAGGACACTGACTGTCTCGATTCGCAGACCTCTACCCGCTCAGCAGCACCCGCATCTACCATGGTCCGCTCCAAGTTCAAGGACGAGCACGTCTTTGGTGCGTCGACCAGGCCCCTCGTCACGGCTCGGCGCGCACGACCACCTCACTCACTCTTCTGCGCCCACCTTCGCCCCACACAGAGAAGCGCAAGGCCGAGGCAGAGCGCATTCGCGCCAAGTACTCGGACCGCATCCCGGTCCGTCCCCTCTCCTCCTCTCCTCTCTTCTTTCCGCGCACCTCCTGACCCTCGCTCTTTCGCTCCAGGTCATCTGCGAGAAGGCCGACAAGACCGACATCCCCGTCATCGACAAGAAGAAGTACCTCGTCCCCGCCGACCTCACCGTCGGGCAGGTGCGTCCCACACACACTCCCTCTCTCGTCCCTCTTCCTCACGAGCTGACCCTCGAGGACACACCCACAGTTCGTCTACGTCATCCGCAAGAGGATAAAGCTCGCGCCCGAGAAGGCCATCTTCATCTTTGTCGACGAGGTCCTTCCGCCGACGGCCGCCATGATGAGCATGATCTACGAGGAGCACAAGTGCGTCGGCGCCGCTTCCCTCTTCCTCGTCTGCCCCGCATCGTCTCGAGTGAACTGACTGGGTCGACGGCATGTTGCGCAGGGACGAGGACGGCTTCCTCTACGTGACGTGCGTCCTCCCTTTCCTCCTCTCGCATCTCCCGGCCTTTCCCTCCTTTCTCTTCCTCCCCCCTCTCTCACTTTGTCCTACCTCTCCCCACCCCCTCGTTCCTCCACCGCCCTCGCTCTCGCCACATCCACGCTCACCAAACCTCGACTAACTCGTTCTTCTCCCTCTCGCCCTTGCGCAGCTACTCGGGCGAGAACACGTTCGGCTCGGCATTCGAGGAGATCTAGGCGTCCTCCCGCCGTCGTCTCAACCTCACCTCGCCCTCGCGCCGGCGTCGAGCTCGCCACTTGGCCTCGTGCCGCCCAACGACTCGCCCGTCTTCCTCCTCCTCGAGTACCCCCCTTTTCGCGCTTCGCCCCGCTCTGCCTTTCGTCCTCCCCTTTTCTAGCCCCCACCTAGTTCCCCCTCACTCGAGCGTATCTCCCCCTCCCTTGCTCTTCCTCCCTCTGCCTGTACTTGTGCGCCGCCTCGCCCGGACTTTTCTCTCTCTCGCGCTCTCTCGACTGTCGACTGCTCGCCTTTGAGCCTCGTGTGTGCACTGTGAGTTTCCTCGACCTGGACCGACAGTCTGCGCAGGACAGCGAACGCGAGCGAGTGAACAAGCGCGAGCGTGAGAGCGAGAGGACCGTGCGCAGGAGAGCGGGCCTCGTCGCGAGCCCTCGAGAGAGGACGGTTCGCCCCAAGCTCGACAACGAGCTGTGTCGCGAGCGGGCGGTGCTGTCGCGCTGTGCGGGAGCACGAGGAGGAGAGCATGCCGTCGAGGAAAGGCGAGGGCCGGCGAGAAGGCCGACTCGATGCTGCTCGGACGACGCTCGCCGGACGGGCTCGAGGACCGTGCCTGCTCGTGGTGGACGGCAGAAGAGCGGTCGCAGCTCGCCGAGAGGATCCTTGGGCCGTGAGAGGCGGTCGAGCGCTCGACAGCGAGAACGCTCGAGCCCTCGGCCGCCCCGCATCCCGCTCGCGGCAGCAGCGAGTGCAGCTCGTCGTCGAGCTTTGAGCGAGGCATAGCTTGACGACGAGCGGTGCGCACGAGAGAGGTAGAGAGCGGGCAAGCTTCGAGGACTGAGCGGCGCTGAATCTCGTTCTCGCTCTCGCTCTCGCTCTCGCTCGCGAGCTCGACGACGTGCGCGTGCGGGAACGCGAGTGCAACAATGCAGAACGAGAGCTGGGGCAACATATGAGGATCTACAGACCTGCTAGTAGGACAAGGAGGAGGAGAAAGTCGCTGCTCTACCACGTCGTCGGGCCGAATCCCTCGGGCGGCGCAGTCTTGAGCGGGAGCCCCGCCCAGTCGGCGGTCTCGGTAAAGACATTGTTACCCCACCAATTGAGCGCTGCGAGATCAGGGCAGGAGAGAGTGTCAGGTCGGGCCGACGAGAGCAGTCGAACGAAAAGGGAATCAAGCGACGCACAGATTGTCCCATTTTTCGGCAGCTGGAGCGTGAAGAAGATGACGAGGGCCGAGAGGATTGTGCCTGCGTCGAGACCGGCCGACAGGATAAAGTTGTACTTGCTCCACCACCGGAAATGCCGCCGACGGACGATGAACTCTGCCGAGGCGGGCGCAAACTCGTCAGGACTCGGAACGGAGGAATCGAGGAGAGGTCGACGACGCACGGAAGATGAAGCCGACGAAGAACCAGGACGAGTAGTTGATGCCGGTCGCCGGCGGGATCAAGGTGAGGCCGGCGAGGGCAACAGGAGCGTTGATGTGGCCGACCCACGACTGGCGCCATCTACGGCTCGCGAGCCACGTGAGGAGGGGCAAGATCGCGCCGATGAGCATGGCGTAGAGTATGCCGTTGTAGTAGTCGCCGTGGTTGAACTGTCGAGCGGGACCGACGAGACCCCTGTGGACGAGCCCGAGTTAGCGACGGCGAGCGAGGGCGCAAAAGGAGCGAAAGGGACGGACCAGATGATCGAGTTGGAGAAGTAGGTTTGCGTGTATGGGCAGATCAAGCGCGCCGACTGGTCGGGAGCGCAAAGATCGGGCACGGCCGACATGAGCCAGCGCTTGACGCCGACCTGGACGAACGCGGTGACGAAAGTCGACACGATTTGGACTGAGGGGAGGGAGGAAGCTCGTCGGCGAGATTCACTCGGCGCAGGTAGAGAGGAGGACGCACCCGTGAAGGTAGCTCGAGGCGGGATCTTCATGTAGTGGCCGAGCTTGAGATCTTGCACGAACAGCTGGCCGAGGTTGAGGACGTTGGTGCCGTACAGCTTGAAGAGCTGGCGACGAAGAATGTGTGAGCGGATGTACATCGGCTGACAGGGGCGGGCAGAGAGGCGGGAGGAGCGCGACGCACCATGTTGCCGAGGGGAAGGCCGGGAATGATATAGCCGCCGACGAGCTCGACGATGAGGTTGATCGCGACCTGCGGACGCTCGGCGTGAGCTCGAGACCTTCACGAGCGTCCACCATCGACTGAAAGGGGGGCGGACCTGGTAGCTCGTCATGGCGAAGACGTAGCAGGACGGGAGCAAGTAGACGAGGCCCATGGCGATCGCCACGAGGACAGACCACACGGGCATCTCGGTCGGCCAGCACTGCAGGCAAGGGCATGTCAGATCTAGACTATGAGTGCCTGACAGGAAGAGGAAGAAAGAGACGCACCGCGACGGTGACGATCGTGAGGGCGACCGAGACGACGAGGAAGGCCAAGTACCACCAGTCGGGGACCTCGGGGTAGACGAGCATGAGGCGCATGTGGACGTCGACCTTGTCGGTCCGAGAGCGCTTGATGCGCTCCAGGATGTCGGGCCCATGATACAGCGCCGTGTGGACGATGACGGCGGTCGCGAGCGCGAAGCCGACGGCGTACGCGCCGGCGTACGCGATAGGGAGGAAGAGCTGCGAGTACTCGTGGTACGCCGTCTCGTTCAGGCGCATCGCCGCAGTGTCGACGACGCGGTCGATGTCGTACGAGGCGCCGAATCGGTCGAAGACGCCCGTAGTCGAGATCGGGAGGTAGGCCGAGTTCCACACCTGCAGAGACAGGATATCAGTACTCTTCCGACTGATGGTCCTCAGGCGAGAGAGGGACGCACGTTCGAGTAGTACATCGCCGGCGTAGCGATCCAGAAGATGGCGACGAATCCGACAAAGACGTTGACCTCGGCCCACCACGGCACGACGAGCGGCGAGATGATGTACGAGATCTGGCTCCAGTCAAAGGTGATGAGGCCCATGCCGAGGCCAGAAGAAACGCCGAAGAGCTGGTTGACGACGAGGTTGTCTGCGAGGGCGGGAGGGCAAGGTCAAGGACCGGTCGAGGAGGACAAGGGCAGGTCGGCTCGACGCACTCGGCGCGATCCAGCACACCCACGAGAACGCCGATAGTGCGACAAAGATGAAGCCTGTGGCAGGAAGAGGCTTTAGTCGAGGCGCGCAGAGTCGGCGAGAAGGGAGAGAGAAATCTGGACGGACCCGGGAACCAGTACCAGACGAACGCGCCCGCGAGGATATAGAGGAAGAAGCGGATGCGCGACGGGCCCCGCTCCTCGTCTTCTGACTCGGCGTGGAGCGTGTTGAGCAACGTGCAGAAGACGAGGTTTTGAGGCCAGACGAGGGACGCCGGCCAGACGACGAAGCGGCGGCAGAGCCCGCCCGCGCCAAAGCCGATCATTTGCGTCGTCAAGATGAGCATGATGTCGAACCCGACAGGCTGGTACTGGCCGTAGCCCTTCTCGGCGGCGAGGCTGTAGTTGAGCCCGGGCGCGGCCGCCGTCGACAGGTTGGCCATGATGACGAGGATCGTGTGCTCCTTGATGTTGAACGGGCCCGGGTTGACGCCGATACGGTCGGGTAAACCGAGACGGCGGAGCCACCTTGGCGTCGAGACCGTCTGGAAGGGCAGGAAGCGCGCGAACGCCTTGCCGATCGGGTACGAGAGGACCTGCGTGATGATGGGCGTGACGAGGGGCGCCGGGTACCGCAAGTTGAAGAAGCAGTTGACGGCCGAGATGACGATGCAGAACGTGAGGCCGATGACCCAGCTGCGGAATGTGAGGACGGGCATGTCCGGGTCGTCGTAGTTGGACACGCTCGCTCGGACCTCGGGATACGGCGAGTCGTCCTCGACGAACGAGCCCTCCTCGTCGACGTCCGTGTACGGCACGTCGTGGCCGAGCTCGGCGGCGGCAATCATCTTCTGCTCGGCCGTCGTCGCCAGCCGGAGCGGCTCGCCCATCTCGTTGAGCATGATGGCCTGGCCGTTCTCGTCGACGACGTACCGCACCGCCTGGTCCGCCCACCCGGACGATGCGGCATCGCCCTTGTCGAGCGCGCTCTCGGCGGTGCGCCTCGACGCCTCGCGCCGCAGGTCCTCGTCGTACGGGTTGCCGACGACGTGGGTCGGGCTGCCCGACGACTGCCAGCTGCCGCGCTTGCGCGGTCCCGGCTGCGGCTCTGGGCTCGACACCTCGAGCGGCGGCGTCGCGCGACCGCCGGCTTGCACCTGCTGGGCGTAGGCTGCGGCCGGCGAGATCGGGAGGGCCTCGTCGACCGGGTCGAGCGCGGGCGGGCGAGAGAGGCCCGTCGCAGGCGCGTTCTCGGATGGCGAGGCGGTCGAGGGAGGCACAGCGGTCGGCGGGGCCGAGGCGTAGGGCGAGAAGGCGAACTGGAAGGGCGAGTAGGGTTGCTGAGGGGAAGAGGCGGAGAAGGGCGTGAAGGGGCTGGTCGTCGTCGTGCTGCCGGCGCCTTGTACCGCCTCGCCGGTGCCCGGCCGAGCGAACGAGAACATGCCGACGTCGTCGTCGTCGTCGTCGTCGTACTCGTCGTTGTAGCCCTCGTCGACCCAGCGCTCAGCTGTGCCCGCCGAGGTCACAGGGCGACTCGTACGCGGCCGCGCCGCCGTGTGCGGTCGCTGATCGCCGGCCGACATCTGCAGATACAGCGAGAGTCAGCACGGGCGTCTGAACGGGCGTCGGCGCTGCAGCTGCTCTCGCCGCCCCGCGAGTACAGCTCGCCGCTAGGCTCGCCAGCGTGCGCTTAGAGGTCCAGAGGGGCACCGATTAAGGCTGGTAGTCGACTCACGGATAGACAGGCGCTGGCAGAATGTGCCCGGCTGGGTGGAGGTGGGCCGACGGTGAATGGCGATGAGGCGAAGGAGGCGACGAGAGGCTGGCGAGGAGGTTGAAGCGGCGCGGCTGGACGGGCTGGACCTTGGGCAACTGCAGCAGCGAGGCAGCAGCACAGCTGTGTACGTCTCTGACCAGGTGTGGCGGCGAGCGAGGGCTTGCCTGCTCGGGCGTGTGGCCTCGTCCTCGCGGAGTTGGTGGGCGCGCGCTTCGCTCCGATCGCCTCGTTCGCACCTCTCTCGCTTCTGTCTGCTCCCTCGGCTGCTTCGCCGAGCGCTTTCCCTCGACACGCGAGCTCAGCTGCCGCAACGCGTCGCTCTCAACCGCTGCCCCGAGGACCAAGCTGTCTCGTTCGAACCGCTCGCTCGTCCCCCTCCTCTTCCGGCGAGCCAAGCATGTTCTCTCGAGGTCCAGGCAAGCGCTTCTTCTGCTCGGCCGCGACGACTATCTCGCTCTCGTCGTCGGCAGACGAGAGAGGTGAAGAAAGGACAGCATTACAGCAAAAGGTGGGCGTAAAGGACTCGTCAAAGGCGTGAGGTGTTCGGGGAGGTGCGCGTCGTGCTGGAGCGGCGAGGGCGTGAAATGAAGTGTCGGGAGGCGTGTAAGGAGGGAGACAAGTGCGTCGATAGGGGCGAAAGGCTGTGCGGGCAGGCGAGTCAGGGCTCTGCCCTCCGATCTGCTCGAGAAACGAGGACGCACGTTTACTGGGCCTGGTTCGGGTCAGCCGTCTCCGAGTTGCCGCTGTAGTGGCCCCAGCGCTCCTCGAGCTGCGCGCAGGGAAGGAGCGTCAGTCGAGGCTCGAGACGAGGCAGGAGAGGGTTCAAGAAAGTGCGACGAGGACTCACGTCGCGCTTGGCGGCCTGGCTCGCGTCGGCGTCCTCCGAGTTGCCGCTGTAGTGGCCCCAACGCTCCTCGAGCTGCGCACAGGATAGGAGCGTCAGTCGAGGCTCGAAACGAGGCAGGAGAGGGTGCAAGAAAGTGCGACGAGGACTCACGTCGCGCTTGGCGGCCTGGTTCGGGTCAGCCGTCTCCGAGTTGCCCGAGAACCGGCCCCAGCGCTCCTCGAGCTGCGCGCAGGAAAGGAGCGTCAGTCGAGGCTCGAGACGAGGCAGGAGAGGGTGCAAGAAGGTGCGGCGAAGACTCACGTCGCGCTTGGCGGCCTGGTTCGGGTCAGCCGTCTCCGAGTTGCCCGAGAACCGGCCCCAGCGCTCCTCGAGCTGCGCGCAGGAAAGGAGCGTCAGTCGAGGCTCGAGACGAGGCAGGAGAGGGTGCAAGAAGTGCGACGAGAACTCACGTCGCGCTTGGCGGCCTGGCTCGCGTCGGCGTCCTCCGAGTTGCCGCTGTAGTGACCCCAGCGCTTGGCCTGCTGCGACGAGTCGGTCGAGGCGGTCGCCGAGTTGCCCGAGAAGCGTCCCCAGCGCTTGGCGACCTGGCTCGAGTCGGTCGAGTTGACGCTGTTGCCGCTGAAGCGACCCCACCTCTGCTCCAGCTGTCGACGCACATGAGTGGGTTAATGAAGGTCGTCCCGTAGTAGGACAGACGAGGGCAGAGAGAGCGGGACGCACGCTGCGCTCCTCGACGGCGACCGGGGCGGCGGTGACCGAGGCGATGGCGACAGCGGCGAGGGCGAGGGCGGAGAACTTCATGACGGGCGTGAGGCGGAAGGTCGTGAAAGAGTCGAGGTCGTGAGAGGTCGTGCGGGTGCACGAGAGAGCAGCAGTAGCTTGGCGAAAGAGGTAGATGGGGAGGAGAGCGAGAGCTGTGGGCGCAGCCAGATGATGAGACCGGTCGACTCTCCGCAGGGTGCGCGCGCGCGTGGGCACAAGGGGTCGAGCGAGCCGAGCGGCCTCCGGTCAACCCTCGTCGAATTCTCGGGCCTGCCTGGATGCGGCCGCTCTTGCTGGATTGCCCTGGCCGAGTCCGACGTTGTTGCGCACTGCGCCGAACTCTGTACGACGCCACGCAGCCGTTGAGAGCGAACCTTCTCAGAGCTCCACCTCGGCCACCTCGACCAACGACGAACGTTTCCTGTCTGCCGCGCGAGCCCCTTGTCCCGGCTGTCCTTCCGGCCGGACGCTCCCGAGCTCACTTTGCTCCGCCCGCTCGTCGTCCAGGCTCGTCCAGCCCCCCTTCCCCTCGTCCTTCTCCCCTCGAAACCATCTTCCGCCCGAGTGGCAAACACGCCCGGCTGCCGAGCTACGTACGACATGTCAACCTGACGCGCCCTCGCGCGCGGCTGCGCGTCTCTGCCCCTTTTTGTCTCGCCTCGCAGCGCATCGTCAGACACGTTTCTGGCTGCAGATCCGTGTCTGAGCGTTTTCTTCGCCGCTCGCGAGAGAGTCGCTGCCGTCTGTCTGCTCGCTTGGCAAGGGAGAGAGCACCTTGGCCAGGAGCACGCGCAAGATCTTGACATTGCGTGGGCCCGGAACTGCATCGTTGCAGTCGCTCTCGGCCGCCGCAGCTTTCCTCGTTCGTCAGATAAACTCGCCCCGGGCGCTCTCGTCGCTTCCACGCGACGAGTCCCGCTCGACGGTCGATGCGATTGCAACCTCCCCGAGGACATGCCCGTCACTCGAAAGCTTCGCCCTCGCCGTTGTCTCGCCCGCATTCCTGCTCGTCTCGACTTTCAGCGCAGCAGGCCTGATGCCATTGTGCCCCGCTCACGATGCGCACGATTGATGCATCGAGTCGGCCAAGAACGCCGTCGTCCTCGTACTGTAGACGACGAGGACGACACGTGGCGAGAGGTCCGTGTGACGAGCAGCTGTGACGGGCCGACGCAGGCACGTCGACGCCGACCCGGAGCTGCAGGTCGTCGAGTGCGGTCCTGTGCATCGTGCTGGGCTGTCCGTGTGCGGCGCTCGGGCGGTGAACAACGTCGGCATCGTCTCGACCCGCTCGACTTCTGGCATTCAGGATCGCGACTGCGGCCGCAGCTTCAAGCTCTTCGAGCACAAGGGCCGCGGCGTAAGTTACATAACCTCGCTCTCCGGCATGCATGGCGAACGCGGTTGCTGTCCCTCGCGCCGGGATCGCTCGAGCCGCCGTCGCCCGGGCCGTCGCTCGCTTCCTCCGCTCGAGCATGACAGCCTCGACCTCATCTCGCTCGGCGTCACACTCGCTCTCGCTCTCTGCATGGCACGCACGGACGAATGGCGAGAGCGAGACCTTGTCCACTGAACTTTGACGAGCCGGCCAAGGGCGCAGAAACTCGATCGCGTGCCACGACCACGGGTCGGTGCCGCACGCTCCGCACCTCACGCGAGCGACGAGGCGCTCACGGTCGAGGGCCGAGCTCGGTTTGTACACCCGTCGCAGCTGCAGCGAGCCGCATCGAAAAGTCGACGTAGTCGGGAAGCCGAACTCGACCTTCTCAAGTTGAAGCTCATCGAACCGACTCGGCTTCGATCATGCTCGCTCTCGATTCTCGAGACCGGCTCGCGAGGCAGAAAAGAAGGAGACGAAGCGAGTTACATCGTTGCGTTGGCGAGGGGAACATCGAGGGGACAAAGTTGGGAAGCTAGTCGAGAGAGGGGGGGGGGGGGAGAGAGAAGGAGAGAGAGAGAGAACGACGACGACGAGAGATGCGAGAAAGCGGCGGTCCCTCCTCCTCACCGCTTGCCCTTGACCTTGGCCTTGGCGCCACTGCCGCCGCCCGACGACTTGCCCTTCTTCCCGCGCCGGTCGTCGTCCGAGCTGTCGGCGTCGCGCCCTACTCCGCTCGCCTTGCTCCGCTCCTTCTTCTCGAGCCGCTCCTCGGCCTCGCTCCACTCCTCGCCCGAGTCGCTGAGCGCCGCCGAGCCCGAGTCGTCGTCAGACCCGCCGCTGAACTCCGACTCGTCGGAGCCGTACGCCGACTCCTCGGACGCGTCGGACGAGGCGGCGAACTCGGAGCCCGACTCGGATCCGTCCGACGAGCCTGCCTCCTGCGGTCGAGGGGATTGGGAGGAGAGGTCAGTACGTGCGGCTCGGGAGAAAGAGGGGAAGGCACGCGACGAGGAAAGAGAAAGGAGGGGACGCACACCCTCCTGCTCCATGAGGAAGCCCCAGCCGCCTTCCTTGAAGAACTCGTACGGGTCGTCGTTGACCGTCTTCATGATCGCCTGCCAGTTGAGGTTGACCGGGCCCTCGGAGAAGGGAATGTCGACCGAGCTGTGCGAGGGCGAGAGAGGGCGAGGCGAGGCGAGAGTGGGCAAGGCAAGATGGTCAGTCCGAGACGCTCGTCGTCGACTGCGAGCCCGACACAGAGAGAGAGAAAGTGTGGGCGCACTCGAGCCACTCCTTGACGTTGTCGAGCTGGTTCGACGGGATCGTGTTGATGTGGACGGGCGCTCGCGCAAAGTCCTGGAAGACAAAGACGAGGTCGAAGTTCTTGAGGCCGTACTGGACGCGCTCGAGGTGCGCAATTTCGATCTCGGCGAGCGTGAGGACGAGGAACGGCGGCTCGGTGAGGAACACGAGCGTGTCGGTCGTCGGCTGGAGGAGGACGTTGGACCGGAAAGGGACGCCCTGGAAGCCGAGCTCGCGGAACGGGACGTCGACCTCGATGCGGCCGTTCGACTGCGAGTGGACGAGGGTGAGGGAGGGAGGGAGGGCAAGAGGGAGGGAGAGGAAAGAGGAGGAGAATCGTCAGGACGGCCGCTCTCGAGGAAGGACGGCGACCACGAGGAGGACGAGGGGACGCACCGCCTCGGCGATCTTGTCCGAGAACGCCTTGAAGTACTTGTTGAGGTCCATGCGGCGCTTGCGCTCCTCCTGCTCGGCCTCGAGCTCGTCCTCGTCGTGGTAGTTGCGCTTGCGCTTCTTGTTGCCCGTCTCGTCGAACGACGCGTCCGACACCTCGCGGAAGAACTGGACGTCCTTGGCCTTCTTCTTGCCGATCATGATGGGCGACTTGAGGTGGATGTGCAGGACGACGATGAGCTCGTTGTCGCACGGCTGGAACAGGAGGTGCTTGATGTTGCTGAACAGGATGTCTGCGAGGCGAGGGACACGGTCAGGAACACGGCGCTCGCTCGGGTCGAGGAGAAGGACGAGGAGTAGCGGGACGCACCGATCTTCTGCTCCTGCTTGACCGACGACTGGTAGCGGATGCCGTTCGAGTGGATCTCGACGTCGCCCGACTGGCGCTTGCCGTCGAACGACGGCCGCAGCTGCACCTCGGTCAGGCGGATAGGGCGCTTGCCTGCGAGAGGACGAGGAAGAGGAAGGAAGAGGGAGCGGGTGAGTCTCGGCGAGCAACGGCGGCGAGAGGGCGAGAGGACAAGGACGCACCCCTGGTCTCGACGAGCTTGTCCTGCTCGACGACGTCGGCGAGCTCCTTGCGCTCGTTGTCGCGCTTGACGGCCGCCTTCTTGAGGTCGGTGATCTCCTTGTGCAGCTCGGCGTACCGGAACGAGTCGGTCGAGCGGTACGTGACGCCGCGGATGAAGGTCGCGCTCGGGTCCTCGAACGGCGTGTCCTCCTTCTTGCCCGTGATGGCGCCCGGCGTGACGAACATGAAGCGCAGGACCGTGTAGTCGCCCTCCTCCTGCTTGATGACGCTCTTGAGCGTGTTGACGTGGAACGGGACGGCGTAGCCGTTGATCGGCAGGATGATGGTCAGGCGACGCGAGTCGACGACGATCTGTGGAAGGGCGACAGGGCGGCGGCGAGAGGGAGAAGCATCGGGGACGAGAGGCGGGAAGGTGCGCGACGAGGGTGCGCGACGAGGCGGGACGGCGACAGCGTGCGGATGACGTGGTTGAGGAGAGAGAGGGGAGCGATGGGCGAGGAGGACGACGAGGAGCGGCGGGGAAGGCGAGGGGCGGGGCGAAAGAAGAGGTCAACTTCGCCTCGAGGATGACGAGAGACGGCGACGGCCGCCCGGGACGAGAGGAGAGAGGGAACAGGGGACGCACCTTTTGCGACGTGACGGCCTCGGGCAGCTGCGAGTCCTTGACGTACGACTCGAACCTCCTCCACTGCTTCTCGCGGTTGGCGCCGCCCTGGCCGCCCTCGCCGCTGAAGCGCTCCATGCCCTCCTCCTGGCGACGCGTCGCGAGCTCGCGCTGGTGGTGCTTGCGGCGGTTGATGGCGTCGGCATCGATCTCGCGGTTCTCGTTGCGCAGCTTGGACTTGACGATGGCGGTCGGCGCCGTGTTGCGCCGCGAGGGCGCCTCCTTGGCCGCCGCCTTGGACGGCTTCTTCTCGTCGTCCTGCGTGAACCGCCGAAGAGCTTGAGTCAGTCTGCGCTCGTCGGGACGAGGTCGCGACGGACAAGGAGAGAGAGCGCTCGAGGACGCACCTCCATGTAGAACATGACGTCGTCCTTGCCCTTCATGCCCTCGCTGAGGCACTTTGCGCCGTCCTTGCCGACCTGGACCGTGTCGACGAGCGAGACGGCGTACGTCGCGCCGCTCTTTTTCGGGTCGGGGATGCCGTTGAAGCCGAGCGTGAGGCTGAAGATCATGTCGGCCTTGATGACACGCGAGCCCTTGGCCGTGAGCGGGTACGCCGAGTCGCGAAACTCGAGGCCCATCTGCGACACGAGGAGGGAGGATGTCAGGGACGAGGGGACACGGCGAGGGGCGCGCAAAGGGGGCCAGGGAAGAGAGAGCGGGGGACGCACGCCAAAGCCGGCCGTCTTGGCAAAGTAGGGGAGCAGGTCGGCGCGGTCCTTCTCGATCTTGTCGACGACCTTCTGGTACACGTCCTTGCACGCGGCGCCGTCCTTGAGCTCGCCGAGGGCAAACTTCTGAAGCTCGACGAGGAACAGGTAGTTCTTCTCCTGGTCGGCCGACGGGTCGATCATGAAGGTGCGGCCGACGTTGGAGCAGTACGACTTGTACCGGATGCCGAGCGAGCACAGGATGACTCCCGCCTTGAGGCGCTGGTCGTCCGTCTGCGCCGACGACTTGAGGTCGTAGTTGCCGCCCGACTGGATGATCGGCGAGTAGCACCAGTCGCCGTAGCCCGTCTCGAACTGCAAAACCGCTCGAGTCAGTCTCGTCGCCGGCAGGGCGAGCGGCAGACGCAAGGAGAGAGAGAGCGCGGGACGCACGCCGTCGCCGAGCTTGAGGCCCTTCCAGAACTTGCTGTCCTCGAGCTTGGCCTCGATCTGCTCGCCGAGCTGCTCGTGCGTCACCTTCTTGCCCTCGTCGATGTAGCCGCTCATGGCGTCGCTGAAGTGACTCATGAGCTTGTTGGTCATGACGGCGGCGTTGCGCTCGTTTTGCTGCCGCGGGCCAAAAAGGGGGGTCAGTGCGCGGTCGAGAGGGTCGAGACGGCGACGGGGAGAGAGAGCGAGAGGAGAGGGGACGGACAAGCTCGTCGGCGTCCTTGACGGCGAGGAGGGTCGAGACGCCGAGGGCGACGTCGACCTCCTTGATGTCCTTGCCCGAGCCCGAGAGGACGGCGTTCCACTCGTTGACGAACTTGCCGACCATCTTGTCCTTGGGCAGGGTGCCGACCTTGTTCTGCGAGGGTGCAAGACGAGTCAGGGGTACGTCCAGGGGGGACGAGGGACAGGGAGAGGGAGACGACGCACGCCCTCGCCGATCGTGTCGATGACCTGCTCGAACAGCTTCTTGTTCTCGGCCTCGTCCTTGGTGCGCGTCAGGATCTCGACCTTGACGGGCTTGTCGACGCCGGTCGGCGCCTTGAGGAGCGGCTGGAGGAGCTTGGCTGTGTGCGGGCAGGCGTGGACGGGGAAGTGTGAGCTCGACTGGGCGCGAGAGAGTAGGGCCTAGAGGGGGAGGAGGGACGGACCCTTGGACGACGAGACGACAAAGTAGACGGTGCGGTCGGTGAGGAGCATGAGGGTGCTCGGGAACTCGTAGCCGAGGAGGTGGGTCTGGAGGGCGCTGCCCTTGCGGTACGGGTTCTCCTCGTCCGAGTTGCCAGCGACGACAAGGAGGTGGTTGACGTCGGTGAGAGGTGCGGCATCGTCCTCCTTGGCCTGTGTGGGCGTGGTGCAAGAGAGCGTGAGTACGGAGAACGGAAGGGCCGGGTCGAGGGAAGGGAGGCGACGCACCTCCCAATGGTCAAAGAGCTTTGCGGCGCGGCGGTGGAAGGTCGACGCCGAGATGGTGACGTCCGACACTGCGTGAGGGTGAGGCTCAGTCGGCGAGATGCTGGCAAGGTGCGAGGGAGGGGAGAGGACGCACTGGTGAGCGAGTGTCACGCAGAGGTGCCAGGCGTCGGGTGTTGGGGTCTGCAGGGGGTGCAAGTGAGTCAGTGAGGGTCCAGAGCGAGCCAGTGCGGCTCGTGGTGGCGGCTGTGGTGGTGCGGCCGAGCGGGGTGGAGGAGGCGAGGACGACAGGGGAGGGGGCGGCGAGGCTAGGCTGGGTCGCGCCTCGCCTGTGCTTCGAGTGGTTCTGTCGGGCCCACTGTGCTGCCCTCGCAGCTGCTCGACGAGGGAAGGGCGGACGAGGGCATGGGGGAGATGGCGGCGCCCGCTGTCGACGACGCGGGCGAGTGTGGGGAGGGGGCAGGGAGGGTGTTGGAGCGTGTGTGCTCACCTTGGAGTAGAGCTAGGCCTGCCTGGCCGAGAGGGTCGAGGGGGAGAGCGGCGACGGCCGAGACGCGTCCTCGCTCGTCCTCATCTCGCGCCTGAACCTCTCGCTCCCACACCGCTAGGGCCACACTGCTGCCCGCCAGCTTGCACTCTGGGCCCTCTCGCTCCCAGTGGCGCGCGCAAACCCGCGTCGCCGTCGAGTGCCGCCTCGCTGGTCTCCTCGACCTTGCTCGTCCTTTCGCTCCATGTGCCCGACTCGCTTCGACACCATGCACTCGCCGCTGCACGCCAATCCTGCACCAAGCTGTAACAGTACACCGTGGTCGTCCGTACAACAACAAATAAGCGCACAAAGCCTCGTCCTCCGCCCTGCCCTCGTCGACCTCGCTCTCCTCGCCCTCACCCTCGCCGCGCCTCGACCTTGCCGCCCAGCATCGCTCGCCCCGACACCTGCACGCGCGATGCAGAGCGCATGTCGACCAGTCGAGGTCGCCCGACGAGAGCTGCGCGACGAGTATGACCACGACGAGTCAGCCTCGCTCGTTCCGGCCGTCGACCGAGCGCGACGACGACGCACCTGCCGACGATGGCGCCTCTCCTCTCCGACACTGCGTGTGTCCGGCCCGCCCGGCCTCGTTGCGCTCGCCATCGCCTCGCCGCGACGCGCTCGGCGCCGCCTCGACCCGCGTCGTTCCCTCCCTTCCCCTCGACCCGTCCTCGTCACGCCCTCGCCCCGCCAGCGCAAAGTGCACCTCGACACCTTCGGCCATCTCGAACGATGGAGAGCTCGGGAGGAGCGGCGAGAGGGGCGGGCCGAGCGAGGGCAAGGCGGCGGGGCCGGGGAGGAGCAGCGTCGAGAGGAGGGTCGACCAGGGCGAGGACGCGAGGAGGGACGGCATGGTCGGTCGACGTGCGTCGGGTGGCGTGCGACGGGGTGGTGAAGGAGGGGAGGGAGCCGTAGAAGCGTTCCTCGACGGCGGCGGTCGAGGAACAAAGGAAGGCGCGTGAAAGGAGCGTTTCTTTATCGCCCTCGTCTCGGACCGGCTTAGCTGCGGGGCCAGCAGTGCTGTCGAGCTTCTGTCAAGAGCCTGGACGAGCGCTTTCACCGGTTGCTGGACGAGGTCGGCGTCTCGATGAGTTTCCACCGTCCTCGCCTCGAGCGGTCCTCGCACTCGGTAGGAAAATGCGGCAGTGCCCGGCCGAGGCTAACGAGAGTACGACAGAGTGCTACAGGTGGCCAGTGTACGGCTCTGAGCGTATCGACGTGGCGGTTCTGATCTCCCCACCTCGCGGCCGACTCGACTTCTCGCCTCGGTCCTCTCGCTCTTCCCCTCGCCCTCGCCAGAGCCCAGCTGCCCGCCCGCCATGCTCGGCATCATCCAGCGTGCGTCTGCCAACTTCAAGAACACGGCCACGCCCGCCGGCTGGTCCCCACAAGACGACGTTCCCTCCGGCTTCTCGGCGCACCAATCTCGCCTCGCCGTCCCGCTCAGCACCCTCGGCTCGTTCGCCTTCCGCTCCACCGGCAGCTACAGCCGCGGTACCCTCGTCTTTGAGCGCGCCGCCGATGGCCACTCGGCGGCCGGCGCCGGGTTCGGCGGCCCGCCCGGCTACGACGCCGCGCACGCCGACGACAAGCCGCGCAAGGAGGGCATGGTCGACGTCGCCGTCGAGGTGCGCACCAACAGCGACGGCCTGCGCGGCGATTGCCGGCTCGAGACGATCGAGGGCCACGAGCGTGCCGGCTTGTCGCTCACGGTGCGTCCCACCCTTCCTCTCTTTCTCTCTTTCCTCGCTCTCGCCGGTCTCTCGCTGACAGTCCTCGTCCTCGTACAGACCCCTTCATCGACGTCCGTCACCCGCATCGGCGCAAGCCTGTCGTACCACATCACCGTCACCCTCCCGTCCACGTTCACCTCGCTCGACACCCTCTCGGTCGAGACGACCGGGTTCCGCGTCATCCTCGCGCCCTCCCTCTCGTCGGTGGACATCACGTCGCTCGTCATCTCGACCACCGACGCGCCCATCATCCTGTCGTCCACCCGCTGCGGCACCGCCTCGCTCAAGAACCAGAACCTCCTCGACCCGAACAAGCACGCGCTCAAGAACTTTGACGACCTCGTCCAGGGCTCGCTGTCGGCCCAAGGCCGCATCGACATCCAGTGCGAGAACGGGCCCGTCAGCGGAGCGTACACGACGCCGGGCGCGCTCGTCGTCGCGACCACCAACTTTAGCGTCAAGGGCGAGTTCAAGGGCGCGACGGTGCGCATCTCGACCCAGAACGCCGAGGTGTCGGGCCGGTTCGACGCGCGGCGCGACATCGTCGTCGTGACGCAGCACGGCAAGGTCGAGGGCGTGTTCAGGGCGCCGGCCGGGTGCGAGGTCAAGGGCCAGTACGTCGGCGTCAAGGGCGAGTTTGACGTCGGGTCGCACCTGCGTGTACGCCCTCTTTTCCCCTCCCTCTCTCAAGACGCGAACGAGGACTGACTCGAGCTGCCTCATCCCGCAGCTCCTCACCTCGGTCTTCCGCATCGACGCGACGATCCGCCTCCTGTCGCCCGCCTCGTCGACCACCTCGCCCGCCGGCGCCGCACCCGTCACGCGCACGCTCTCGAACGCGACCTCGTCGACGGCCGCCGACCTCCCGCCGACGTTCGAGGACGCCCTCGCGTCGTCGAGCGCGTCGGGCGCCGCCCTCGGCGTCGTCACGGTCCAGGCCGAGACGACCGACGCCGGCGTCGAGCTCGTGTTCCCCGAGGCCGTGCCGAGCGACTGTGCGCTGCGGGCGACGGCGAGGAGCAGCGGCGGGAGCAGGGTCGCCGTCACGCACGCGAGGGGGTGGGAGGGCAGGTTCTCGGTGCGTCACGCGCCTCGTCTTTCGCTCCCTCTTCCGCCCTCGCGTCCCTTGAAGCAGCGAGGTGACGTCGAATGTCGAGTACTGACACTCTCCTTCATCACGCAGGCGTCGACCACGATCACCCACACGGCCTCGCTCTCGTCCCTCGCCAACGCCTCGTCGCCCATCCACTACGACACGCAGAAGCGGTCCGAGGTCGCCGGCTTTGTCGGCTCGGGCGCAGGTGCCGGGGCCGGCGACGGCAGGAACCGGACGCACGTCGAGAGCGACGGGCCCGTCGAGATCGTCTTGCTGTAGCGAGCGAGGGCCGGAAAAGGAGCGACGCCGCCGCGAGCGGCTTGTACTACTATGCAGCTCTCTTTCTCGTCTTTCATGCTCTCGGAGAGAAGGAGAGAGAGATACGATGAGCGAGTGATGCAGCTGAGCTGTCCAAAGTCCCGGTCGGCTCGAGGGCCCGACTTGAGAAGGTCGACGAGCTCGAGCCCAGACTCGCTCGCAAGCTCTCGTTACGCTTCTCTCATCTAGCTCTATCTTACTCTCGATATCTCGAGGTTCGACGGCAGAGAGACGCGCAAAGAATGACGTGCAGGGACCGCTCGACGGCTCAATAATCTCGTCCGAAGTACAGGAGCCCTCGGCGCAGCCCGCCCTGGCTCGATGAGCCCGCCTTGGCCATTGACGACTCGGTCGTGGATATGACGCGCTGTAGCGTTGACTGCCGCCGGCGCCTGTTGTACCGGGCGCGGCGTGGGCGCGCCGAGGACGACCCTGGCTGGTGCCGTCGCTCGAAGGCGCTGCGCAGCACGTTGCGTGCGTCCTCGTCGTTGTGGTGCTCGAGCGGGTAGGGTACGGGTAGAGCCTGGCGGTCGAGCGGGCGACGGAGGAGCGGATGCTGCTGGTTGAGGTGGTACAGCGCGGGCCGCAGGTTGCTGACCGCGTACGCTTCAAGGTAGCGCTCGCCCCTGGCGGTGACGACGTCGGCAGTTTGAGCGATGGCGTCCTGCAGGCGCAAATGAGTCAGGTTGAGAGCGCTCGAAGGAAGGGAGAAGAGGGCGCACGAGGAGGGCCCGAGCGCGCTGCACCTCCTTGTGCGCGGTCGAGTTGGGGCTGCTGCTGAGCTCGGCCTCCTCCTCCTCAGCTGTAGAGACCGTGTCAGAGACGATAGAGAAGGATCGAGAGAAGGCGACGGGACGGACCGGCGGCACTTGCTGCGCGCGAGAGAGAGAGAGCAAGAAAGGGTCAGGGCGAACGACACGGCGAGAGAGAGCTCGAGAGAACTAGCGGCGGACCTTGCTTTGCGAGGTCATGGCGCTGCGGGCGCAAAGACGAGTCAGATCAAGTTCAGGAGGAGAAAGGGAACGAGGGACGCACCAAGTCGACGATGAGCGCGAGTTGCCCGTCCGCCTCGAGAGCGTCGTCGCCGCCCTGGGCGATGTACACGCGCTGCTTGTCGGCCACAACGTTCTCGGCGTCGATGATTTCCTTCCGACGCGCCATGTCGGCTTCGCTCGGAGGCCCGTCATGTCGCACTGCGTCGCAAGGAGGGAGAGCGTGAGTCGGACTGAGAAGGTCGCTCGAGAGAGGGGCTCGTGGACGGACCGTGCACAGCGCACAGACGCCTAAACTCCATCGTGCATGCGTGAAGATAGGCGGCGTGCTTGAGCATCGGCAGTTTGTTGAGAGCGTGCCAGACTGAGAGGCGAGGTTGTCAGGAAAATGGGAAGGGTCGGCGAACAGGGTCGAGAGATCCAGCGCACAATCTTTTACTGCGTCGAGGTACAGGGTCAGACTAGGTACCGAGGCGAGGAATACAGAGAGAGGGAGAGACGCACTCATGAGCAAGCGCTTCTCGGCCGCCTTGACGTCGAGCGCGTCCACCTCGTCCTCGTCCTCGCTCCAGGGCTCGTCGTCCGACTCAGGCCATGCGTCGGCCTCGTCGTGGGCGTTCGAAGCCATGCTGAGGTACCCGAGGCGCAAGAGCAGGCAAGAGAAAGGAAACGCCGACTTGAGCGGGCGAGTGAGGGAAGCCAACGGCGCGAGTTCCGCGGCCGCACGGCGGACGCCGACGCGCGAGGGGCGTTGAGGCGTCGAGGAGAGCTGAGCGCGATCGATCAGAGCGTGCGGGGTCGGCGGAAAGCACGCCGGACCGCGTCGGCGTCGAGACGAGGCCTGAGCGCGACGAGGTCCTCTCGCGAGCGCAGCCGGCGAGAGCGAGAGGCGCGAGCAGAAGCGCAAGCCAGCCGCGATGGACGGCCTCGAACAGTATCCGTGATCCTGCCGCCGCTCTACGAGAACCACCCGCCGCCGACCCGCTTCGGGCGGAAGACCTCGGTCAAGCCCATCTCGCCCTCGACCTCCTCGGCCTCGTGCGCCGCCGTCCTCGCCGCCTCGATCCCCTCGCGCTTGACCTCGACGCGCGGCATGCGCTCGACCGAGCGCTCGTACGCCCACACGGTGCTCGGCGCCTTGGCGGGCGGGACCGGGCCCGCACGAGCGAGGCGGGCGTCGCGCTCGGCCCGCAGGAGAGCGTCGACGCGCTGCGCCCACGCAGGAGCAGGTGACGAGGCCGACGTCGAGGCCGACGACGGCGGGAACAGGCGCTCGACCCACGAGGTGACCTCGCGCATGGCGCTCGCGCCCGACAAGGTCGCCTGCAACGCGTGGAAGACGTGGATGCCGTCGGTCCACGCCTGGTGCGTCACGTCGGTGCCGGCCTTGCGTGCGCGGCGGACGAACACGGTGATCTCGTCGCGCAGGCACTCGAGCCCGCCGGACTGGACGAGGAGCGGCGGGAGGTTCGAGAGCGAGTCGAGGGGTCCGAGCGCGGGCGAGACGTAGGGGGCCGAGAGCTGGTCGACGTGGTGCGACTGCTCGAGCTCGGGGAGCGAGGACGACAGGTAAAGGCGCGGTGGGTGGAGCGGGTCGGCGTGGTTGTCGATGACGAGGTAGTCGTTGCCCTGCTCGACGAAGCGAGGTGTCAGTCCCTCGTCGTGCACACGGGGGTCGCTCATGGTTCAAGTGAACGGGACGCACCTTGTTCTCGTCCCAGCTCTTGAAGCTAGTCGAGAGGTCGACCCACGGGCTGAGGAGGATGGCGCCGCCGACCTGGGGCAGCTTGGTGTCGCGCAGGTACATCATGAGCGCGATGCACAGGTTGCCGCCGGCCGAGTCGCCCTCGACGAGGATGTTGCTGGCCGGGATCTCGAGCTCTGCGAGAGGGCGAGCGAGAGGGTCAGTTATGAGGGACCTCGGGGTGGGGGCGACGAGAAAGGGAGGACGCACCGTCGGTCAGGTACAGGTAGGCGTTGACGGCGTCAAGGAGCGACGCAGGGTACCGCACCTCGGGTGACAGGCGGTAGTCGAGCGCTGTGGCGGCGGCAAGTCGACGCCAGTCAGTCTCGGGGCTCGAGCGAGAAGAGGAGGGAACGAGCGGGACGCACAGAAGATGCGGCACCTCGTGGCGTCCGACAGGGCGACGTGCACGGCGCGGTGCGTGCTCGGGCTCATGCGAACGTGCGCGCCGCCGTGCAGCGAGAGAATGACCTTGTCGGTGCGGGCGAGTTGAGGTGCGCGAACGAGGCTCACGTGTGACAGCCACTCGGCCTGCGCGTCGCGAATAAGCCGAGTCAGTACGAGAACGACGACGTGCTGCCGCCGGCGAAGGACCGAAAGAGAGGGGCGAGCGAGACGTACCGTGAGGGTGCGCTGCCCAGTCTCCTCGGCGTCAAGCTCGGCGAGGACGCCCTCGAGGCCGCGCTTCTTGACGGCGAACTGGACCTCCTTGACGATGCCGTCCTGGACCTTGTCGGCCGGGGTCGCGATGAGCTTTTCGGTCGCGTCGCGCTGCTCCTTGGCGATGTGGACGACCTCGTCGTGGCTCTTGGGCGGGTTGATTTGACGGGCGCGGACGAGCGAAACGCTGCGCCAGCGCATGACGGCCATGATGACCGACAGGAAGACGGGCCAAGTCGGCGCCGGGGCTGTGTCGCAGGCAGGGACACGGTTAGCTCGGGCATCGGCGGGCGGTGAGAGGGGAGGAGGCGGGACGCACGGCCGGCCGTCAAGTGGCGGAAGGTGGCCTGGAGGGCGGTCGAGAGCATGCCCATGGTGGTCGCGCTGTGGGTCGTCGTCTTGGGTGAGCTGTCGAGTCGCGCGAGTGGAGGAAGGTGGGGAAGAGAGGGGGGTCGACGCACATCTTGGACGGGGCCGTGGGCGCGCCCTGGGCCGGTAGAGCGGGCCCTGAAGCAGCAGCAGAGCTCATCTTGGCAGCAAGTAGTGACGGGCGACGAGAAGGAGAGGAGCGAGAGGCGGCTCCCCCTTCGTCGTCGTCGTCCGTCGTCCGGCTCGAGCCGGCGCCGAGGTCGCTCGTCGGCGACCGTCCGTGCAGCCCGATCGGACGGACAGGAGCAAGCTGTGCATCGAGCGAGCCGCTGTGGGAGGCTTGAGCGAGCGAGAGGTGGCCCGCCGCCAGCCAGCACTCAGCAGCGGCGCTCTGTGGCCGAGCGCTCAGGGAGGCGCTACTGCAGGGGAGGATCTACAGACGAAGCGAGTGGAGCGTTTTCAGCGGGGGAGCTGTGCGTCATCTTCGAGCGACGCTCCCCCGCACGCGAGCGAGCCTTTCCTCCTCCTCCCACTCTCTTCCCACCACAGCTCCAGACAAAGCTACTGCGACTCAGACCAGCATGCTCGCTCGCGCTACCCTCCGTACCGCCACCACGGCCCGCGCCTCGGCCGCACCCCGCCTCACCGTGAGCTCCCCTCCGTGTGCTCCTCCCCATCTCCCGACCTTCCTCGCCCGCACCCGGCCATCACACGCCGCTCAACCCGCCCCGACTACCTGGCACCTCCCGCGTATGCCCTTCACAGCGCGGCTCTCAGCACCGATCCTGACCCGCCCTCTCGCTCGCAGCGCAACGTCCAGCAGGGCGCCGCCGGCCGCGAGCCCATCAACCAGGAGCGCGGCAACTCCAAGACGCCCTTCTACATCGCCGGCGCCCTCGTCGTCCTCGTCGGCGGCTACTTCACCGGTTTCTTCGTGCGTCCCCCCTTCCCTCTCTCGGCCGATCTCGCGTTCGTGACTGACCCTCCCTCCCTCTCTCTCCCGCGCGCATCGTCGTCCCCCTCGCCTCTTCCCGCCCGCAGAAGACGCCGCCTACGCCCGCCGTCAAGAACATGCAGGAGGCAATGCACCCCAAGACGCCCGAGGCAAAGGCCGCTGCCGTGCGTCCTCCGTTCCTCCTCCTTACCCGTCCCTCCCTCGATGCTCCTCGTCCTGACCTGCGCTCCCTCTCGTCCTACAGGGCATCCGCGAGGACCCGCATGACGAGCCGGTCAAGGTCGGCGGCGACCTCAAGGGCCGCAAGTAGAGCGCTCCCCTCCCGGATCCCCCCTCTCCTGTTTTGTACATGATTCCCCCTCCCTCGTCGTCACAGCCCTGCCGCAGCATGGTGTCCATCGGCGCAGTACCGCAATCACAGCTTCGTTCGCAGTGCTACCGCAACTGGCAGAGAGTCGGGCGCGCAGGGAGGGCCGGACGGGGTGCGAGCGCGTCGTCGAGGACGAGGAGGAGGATCGAGAGGCTCGCTGTGCTTCTAGCTTCCGGCTCTCCTTGCGCACGCTGTCGATGACGCTTTCTCGACAGCGTCAGCCACGTCGCTCGGACCCGGGCCCTCGAGTTTGGCACCGCTGCGTCGCTCCCTCTCGCGCCTCACTTTGCGCTCCCTCTTCTGCAACCAGGTCTCCGACGCTCAGTCGCGCGCACATCGCTGTCGTCGGTCGGCGGACAGCGTCGCAGCCTCTCATGGAGCAGACGCAGCGCGAGGAAAGAAAACGCTCGTCTGACGTTGCCGAACCCGCGGCGACGTCCAGCTCGACAAAGAAGACCCGCCCCTCGACCCTGACCCGCCGTCAAGGCTCCTCGGCAATCGTCCCACCAGCCTCTCCCACCTCGACCGCCTCGGACAATCCGGGAAGCGCGTTCGCCCTCGGCTGCCACCGGCTCGAGCGGCTCTTGCGGCGCACGACGGTCGCTCCCCCTGCGGCCGACGGCTGCGGCGAGCCGCCGTCGAGCTCGTCGCGGGTCGTGTGGTACAGGTCGATGAGCGAGTCGGTGACGGCGGCCTGCGCGCGAGGAGCAACGGCGTCAGGCATGCGGCGCAAGAGGAAGAGGATTGGGGCGCAACTCACGCAGGCTTGCTCCTCGATCTCGTGGTTGGCCGACGCTCGAAGGCGGACTGCGCGACGAGAGAGTCAGTGACACGCTCGCAGTCGAGAGAAAGGGTACGGCGTGGCAGGAGGACGCACTCGAGTTCTCTGCGCGGCCGAGGAGCTCTCGGTCAGTTCGTGCTGCGGGCCTGGGGCCAAAAGGGAGAGAAGGACGCACCGAGTCGCCGGATACAGTCCATCTGCGTCGAGGAGGAACCTCAGCTTCCGGGAAAGGCGGGACCGAGGCGAGAGAGGGAAAGAGGACGCACGACGTTGAGGAGCGTCTGCATCGAGTTGGCGATCGTCTCCTCGGCTGCCGAGCCTTCTGGTTCGTCGAGGTACGCCTTGAACTTGTCCTGGTACTCATAGTTGAGCCGTCGCGCCTCGGACGCTGTTGACCCAGAGGGCGGTCAGGGTGTTTCGCCGATGCGAGTCGAGTTGAGAGAGAGAGAGAGGGCGAGAGCTCACGGTCCTTGAGCGACGCGGCGACCTCGTACTCGATGATGGCCTCGGCGAGACCTGGCGGCTCCTTGTGGTGGGCGAGGGTTGCGCATGCTGTTGGACGACAGGCGCCCGAAACGAAAGAGGGTCAGCTCGGTCGCGCCAGGCTCGTTGCGAGGGGAGGCGGTGGTGGCTCGGGCGCACCTTTCCGTGCTGCAGGCGGTGAGGGGTCAGCTCGTCCGGCACGCTCGACACCGAGAGAGGAGGAGGGACGCACCACTGGCCATCTTGCTCTCGAGGACGCCGCGCAGGTTGTCCGACAGATCGCCGACTTGCTCGAGCGGTGTGGAGGGACTGGTTGACATGGCGCAGGGTCGCAGCGAGGGCGAGCGCGGCAGCAGGGGCGAGAGGGCGAGAGGCAGGAGCAAGCGTCGCGAACCTCTGGCGCGAGCGAGTGACGCGGCCCCGGCTCGCGAGCTACGGTTGAGGGACCCCGCAGCTCAGTCCGAGCGGAGGCGTCCGGACCGAGGATAGCGCTCAAGCGGACAGGAGAGTCGACACGCTGGTCCGTGCGAGCGGCGCAGCAGCTCTGTCGGCGGGGCGATAGCTGGGACGGACGGAGGAGGAGGAGCGAGAGAGTCAGAGGAGGAGGAGGAGGAAGGTGGGGCGACTCGACGAAGCGAGTCGACTCGCCCTGTTCGAGCGCTCGCACGAGTCGATAGTCGGACAGGCGCGTTAAGCAGAGGCTCGCTGTCGAGACGCAGTCGCACGCCGAGAGCAAAAGGTTCGAGCGCCGACCGCTTCTTCCACCGTGGCCTCGAGCGCCTTTCCGCGCCACGCTGTCTCGTTCTCGCCGAGCTGCGCTTTACTCTCAGCGTCCGAGTCGACAGCGCTTCTGTCGAGAGAGGACGACGTTGCTCGCGCGCTCCTGCTAGGCGACTCGGGAACGAGTACGAGCGGGCGAAAGTGCGACGATCATTGCGTAGGGGTACAACAGGCACAGCTTCTCCTATCCTGTCGACGCACGGAGTCAGTTTCACGTCCCGAGAGGGGGGCAGACGTAGGAGAAGAAGCGAGAGAGCGGGACGCACGATCCTCCTCGGCTCGGACCAAGGACCCTCCTCCTCACGCTCCCTGCGCTCCCTGCCCGTCCTGCATCGCCTCCATCGTCGTCCTTGCCGCCGTCGCCTGCAGCGCCCGAAACAAGAGCGGGTTGAACGCGTCGCCGGGCCGCTCGACGTCGGCCGTGGCCGCCTTGGGCGCGACGACGCCGTTGACCTTGTCCTCGGCGGCGGCATCGAGCTCGCCCTCGACGAGCGATTGCGCCTCGGCGCCTTCAACAGGTGGCACGGGCTCGTCGGTGGTGGTGGCGGCGGCGGACGCGTCGGCGAGCGAGGCGACGGCGGCGGGAGGGGGCTTGATCTCCCACGCGCCGCCGCGCTGTGGCGTCCAGGCGGGCTTGAGGGCCGTGAGGGCCGAGAAAGAGGTCGACAGGGCGTGAATCGACGTGAGCTGCGCATTTTCGACGCCCAAGGCAGGTTCAGCAGCACGCTCGAGCGCGCGAGAGCGGACCAGAGGACGAGGCGGGACGCACCACGCGCTCGTTGACGACCTCGAACAAGCTCGGGGCCTGGTACACGTTGCCGTTGAGGATGTAGAAGGCGCCGAGGACGGTCGCGTCGTCCGGTGACGAGCGCTGGCGCTTGACGATGATGAAGAGGTCGTCTTGCGGGCGCGAGAGGGGCGAGACCGCGAACTCGAGGCCAGTGAGGCGCCTGCGTCGGGGGGTCGGAAGGGCTCGAGGTTCAGTTCGTGCGCGTCTAGTGTGCGCAGCCGGACCCAGGAAAGAGAGAGCCGCCAGCTGGACGCACCTGAGCTCCCGCTCCTCGTCGACGCCGTGCATGCCGCCGTTGGCAAACATCATCTGCATGCGCAGGGTCGCGTTGTTGCTGCGCTTGTCGAAGAAGGGGCTGTAGCTGAAGTAGTCGAGCGCCTGCTCGGCCGTCTGGAGGGCGCCGCCGGTCGTAAGGAGGTATTCGGGCGAGCGCCATTGCAGGTGGCCGAGGTTGACGGGCGGCGGGGCGGCGGAGGCGGCCATGGCGTGATGGATAGAGGTGCTGAGGGAGCTCTGGCGGGTGCGGCGAGCAGCTCGGGGCGAGTATCGATGAACGAGAGGCGGTGGGAGATGAGGCGAGCTGAGGGTCGGGTGCTCGGGGCAGGGCACGGTCGAGGCGCTCAGTCGCCGGGTGGTGCTCTTGCGGAGGCTGCGAGCGGGCGCGCAGAGCCGCACGAGCTGCGAGTCGTGCTGAGAGACGTGGGACGAGGTGCATCTTCGTCTCGCGGCGGAGTTGGCGTGCGGTTCCCTAGCTCGCCTCGCTGGCGCGAATTATTCCACGAGAGCCCTTTCGATACTCTCGTACGTCGGTATAGAGGAAGATGGAGCCACAGAACGACGTTGCACCCGGCCGACTCGACGACGACGTCGCCGCCGCCAGCTCGCCTGCAACCGACTCTCGCCCCGCCCCGCTCACTCGTACTCGTCGCGCACCTTGAACGCCGGCGCGCGCTTGGCGCCGCGCTCGAGCCACCCTCTGGCGCGCGCCTCGGACGAGTGCTTGCCCTGCGACAGGGCGCGGCACGCGGCGAGCCACGCGCCGTGCGAGATGCCGTGCCCGAGGTCGGTGAGGTAGGTCCTCGCGACGCCGAGCCGGCGCGCGGTCGCGACGGCCTGCGGGAGGCCAAAGTGCGACGGCGAGAGGCGCAGGGCGCCGCCGGCGTCGATGACGAGGGCTTGCAGACGAGGGAGGGGCGATGGGCGTACGCGAGACGTCGAGGATGTCGAGGCGGACGAGGAAGAGGGGAACGTGCCCGAGGCTGACGGCAGGGCGAGGCACTCGGCGAGGCGGGCCCACTGCGCCTCGGGAATGAAACTGTGTGCACCGGCGTTCGACTCAGTCGCCTGTCGTGGGAGAGCTCGCAGGGAAAGAGAGAGAGAGATGGCGGACGCACCTCGCGTCCGAGATGTAGAGCACGCTCGAGTCGACGAGGAACCCGAGGCACAACAGCGGGCTCGGCGGCGTCGTGAACCAGATGCCGTGATGCATCGGGAACGGCGTGATGGTGACGCCAAACAGGGTCCACGGCGCGTCGTCGGGCATGAGGTGCCACTCGAACGAGGGGACGGCGCCGCCGCCAGACCCGGCCGACTTGGACACCATGTAGGGGAAGGTCGACGCGATCTGGAGGTAGGTGACCTTGGTGCAGAAGATTTTAATCGTCTTCTCGATGGCGCTCTTGTACGTCCCCGCGCGCAGGTCGTCGAGGCCGTCGACGGCGTCGGCGTGATGGTCTGCGGGCAGGGCGTCGTCGTCAGTGAGTGGGTCTGAGAGGGCGGGTAGTGCTACAGAGAGTGTGTCGCGCAGAGAGAGGAGAGCTCACGAGTGAGGATGCACGCGTCGATCTTGCGCAGGCCGTGCGCCGGGAAGAACTTGAGGGCCATCTCGCGGAACGTCTTGCCCGCGTCGATGAGGATGGTCCTGCGGGGCAGAGCGGTGACGGTAAGGTTCGTGCGCTCGATTCAAAGAGGGAGAGGACAGCCGACGCACTTCTCGTCGCCGCCCTCGAACGGAACGCGAATGATGGCACCAGTGTTGCCGCGCCCGTTGCGGCTCGTGTCCGGGTGCGCGACCGTGTCGAGGCAGCACTTGCAGCCGTGGGCCGGGTCAGTGGTGCAGGCGATGTCGGGGACGGCGGCGGACCCGCCCGTGCCAAAGAGCATGAGCGACAGGCGCTTGTTCGGGTCACGGCGGACCGCGGCTGGCTGAGGGGGAGCTGGTGCGGGAGCGGGGCGCGGCATGGTGGAGCGCGCGAGGGAGAGAGCGACGGAGAGGAAGCGAGAAGCTGAGCAGGACCAGCCGTCGGGCCGAGCGAGCGAGCGGAGAGTCCGCGGAGAGGCGCACGCCGAGGCTGAAGCAAGAGGCGGGAGGCGAGTCGCGCAGAGAGTGGTGGCGCAGCTGTGCAGGCGTGACAAGCAGCAGTGCACATCGCCAGAAGGGACGAGAGCGCAGCAGAGCAGAGACCGTCGCGTCGGGCGATGGCTGCGCGGGGCTCGCCTCGGTTCTCCTCGTCCTCACCTCGGAACCAGCTACAGCCGCCACCATGAGCACCCAGACCACCGTCAACGCCCCTGCGCCCCCGAGCAACGAGCTCGTCGTGCGTCCCGGCCCCTTCCTTCCTCCCCCCATTCTCATCGCTCGACCCGGACGTCACTGACCTCTCGCTCTCCCGCTCTCGCTCGCCGTTCCAGATCCGCAAGCTCGACAGCAACACGACCATCTTCTCGCTCCCCTTTGCCCGTGGCGGCGTCGTCCCCTTTGGTGGTCGCAGCGTGCGTCCCTCCTCCAACCTCTTGCACCGCCTCCCCACTCTCTCGGCCCTCGCGTCCACATGTTGCTGACCCCCCCTTGCCTTGCGCACCCTCGCAGACGGCCATCAAGCTCCAGGACGGCTCGGTCTGGCTCGGCGCATCGCACCCGCTCGACCCGGCCACCCTCGACGCCATCAACGACCTCGGCCCGGTCAAGCACATTGTCCAGTTCGACGCCGAGCACGGCATGTACACCAAGCAGTACCACGACGGTGCGCCCCTCGCCCTTTCTGCCTGAGCAGCCAGCAGGACCTGACCCAGTCGCCGCACCCGCACAGCGTTCCCCTCGGCCAAGCTCTACCTGCCCGTCGGCGGCGTCGACAAGTGGAAGAAGAAGCAGCCCCTGCCCGAGGGCACCATCACGTTCGAGCACGGCGCGCACGAGACCGACCCGTTCGAGGCGACGACCGGCGGCGAGATCAAGAGCTCGAGCTTCGTCAAGGCCCACATCAACCAGGTCCGCCCTTGCCCATCTCTCCTCCCCCTTGCGCTCGGCCCGAGGGCCCTCGACCCTGACTCGCGACTCGCCTGCAGGACATCGCTTTCCTCCACGTCCCGACCAAGACGCTCATCGAGGCCGACCTCCTCATGAACCTCCCGCCGACCGAGCAGTACTCGCGCTCGTCGGCGCGCTCGACGATCCCGTTCCTCAGCGGCATGATGAAGCCCGGCTCGACCGCCCAGAAGCGCTTTGTGCACTACCTCGCCGCCAAGGACAAGAAGGAGATGGCCGACGCGGCGAAGAAGGTCGCGACTTGGGACTTTGGTGCGTCCCTGCCCTCGCCTTTCTCGCCCGGCCGCTGGCCCCGCCGCACGTGTACGGCCGACTGACTCGCCTTCGACTCGCAGACCGCATCATTCCGTGCCACGGCGACGTCATCGAGACCGGCGGCCACAAGGGTGCGTCCTCCCTCGCTCCCCCTTCCCTCCTTCCGCCCTTCCGCGCGCCGGCCGCCGTCGAAAAACCTCGACTGACCTTGTCGTTCGGCCTGCAGCATGGACCGACACCTACGCCTGGTTCCTCGAGAACAACTGAGCAGGTCGTCGTCGTCGTCGTCGTCAAGGAGGAGACGCAGGGTCCGACCGCTTGAGGAGCGCTTGAGGAGGAGGGAGCCGACGAGCTCTCGCTGTACATACGTAGCCCATCGAGCAACCTGTCAGTACATGCCGATTCATTTTCCGCTCGCGGCGACGACGAGCCGGATTCAGCAGGTGGGGCGACGAGTCTGGGCGGAGGCGGGACGGTGCAGCTCGCTCGTGGTCTCTTTTGCTGCTTCTCTCTGTTCCCTCTCTCTCGTATCCTCTCTCTCGGCAACCCTGACGGAGCAGCAGCCTGGTGGTACGTCCCCTTTCTCCATCCCTGCGTCGCCGTCGTCCTCGACTGACCTTCCTCTCCCCGACCTCGCAGCTCTCGCTCGACCTCTCTCTCTCTATCTCTCGCATCCGGTCTTCCTCGGCACACTTTCGACACTCGTTCCACTCGCGCGCACCTGTTCGTCCGCAAACATGCCCGGATTCTGCGCCAGCCTCGGCCTCACCTTCAGCTTCGGTGCGTCCTCGCGTTCACTTTCACCGCCAGCATGTCGAGCCTCCTTTCCAGCGATACATACTGACACTGCCTTACGACACGACGACAGCTGCCGTCGTCCTCCTCGTCTTTGGCCAGGTGCGCCGCCTCTTCTCCTCCTCGTCGTCGAGCGGCGCTCGCTGCGGGCACGTGGAACTGATGCCGTTCCTCCCCCCTCGTCCTGCAGGTCTCGCAAATCAACTCGGACCTCATCCCTCGTCACCTGCGCATCGTCAGCATCGACACGTCGGGCCTCGGCGTCGCCGTCGCGTCGGCGGCCCGTGCGGCGACCGGTGGGATCCAGATCGCCAACGTGTCCGACATCTACGCGACGACCGGCGTCGGCGAGGACTACTTTGTCAAGGCGACGGGCGCGAGCCCGCACACGGGCCTGTACAAGGGCTACGAGTGGGGCCTCTGGAGTGCGTCCCGCCCTCCCTCTCTTCCTCGTTCGCCCTCGTTCCGAGCGGCCTCGTCGAGCTCGCGAGCTGACACCGCTCCGTCTCGCGCAGGCTACTGCACGACCCAGGGCGACCTCGGCGACAAGCGGTCGTACTGCTACACGCGCTCGATCCACCCGACCTTCCAGCCGGCGCAGGTCCTCCTTCAGGACGTCGACACTCAGTACGCCGACCTCCTGCGCCAGGTCCTCCCGAACAACGTCTTTACCGCCGACGCCTGTACGTCGTCTGCTCTCTTACTGTCTCGCCAGGTGGCGCCACGACCTGACTGGTACTTGCTCGTCGCAGACCTCGGCGAGTGGACCAAGGCGGCGTCGTACCTCATCATGGCCGGCTCGCTGTGCGCCGCGCTGACGGCCATCGTCGGCTTCTTTGCCCGCCGCGGCGCGTTCGTCCTGGCGACGCTCCTCAACCTCGCCGCCTTCGTCGGCCTGTTTGCCGGGTCCATCATCTGGACCGTCATCGTCGCACGCGCGCGGTCGGCCATCAACGACGCGACGGCCGAGGGAACCGACGTCGGCATCACGCTCGAGTACGGCAACGCGCTGTGGATCATGTGGGCCGCGACGGTCCTGTCGCTCGCGAGCGTCGTCCCGCTCGCGTTCGCGTGCTGCACCGGCCGCAGCGGCACCGAGCGCACCGAGCGCATCAAGGCGTACGCCCCGCCGAGCGAGGTGCTCGTCGTTGCGCCCAAGCAGCTCCAGTGAGCGGCGCTCGCGGGCCGTCGTCGTCGTCGTCGGCGCCGCTCGACCCTCGTCCGGCTCGGCGCGGTCCGACCGCCTCTTTCCCTCTACGAGTCCTCGTCCCTCCTATCCTCTCGCGCTCGCGCACACCACAATCCTTACACGTCGTCTCTCTATTCCTGGTGAGCCGAGCTCGCGCCTGTAGCTCTCTCTCTCGCCTCGTCTTTCGAGATCTTGTAGCTCTCCCCTTTCCTGCGTCCGAGCAGCCTGTCCTGCAAAGTTAGCCTTTCGTACACCGTAACAGAGCGTCTGCAGTACCGAGAGCTCGAGGCTGAGAGGCCGCCTCTCGGTCGCGCCGACCTCATCACCGCCCGACTCTCCCAGCTCGCTCTCGTTCCACCCACGCTCGCCTCTCGCGCCCAGAAGCAGCATGTCGAGCGACGCAGAGCACCCCAATGCACCCGGCCTCATCGCCCCCTCGACCGGCCACTCGCCCTTTGTCCGCGTCGCGCTCCCCACCAACTTCCCCACGACCTCGCTCTTCGCCCAGAGCACCTCGGCGTCGCCGTACGTCACGGACCAGCCCCGCTCCGCCCTCAACTCGAGCTTTGGCGGCGCAGACTACCTCCCGCCGAGCGCGAGGCCCAGAGGCGGCGACGCGCCGGCACCATCGGCGGCGGCGGCGGGTGGAGCGGGCAATGCAGGGCAGAAGGCGGCCGGTGGACCGGCGCAGGGTGAGCCGCGGGGCCAGACGCTCGAGGAGATGTACTCGGCGCCGGAGAACACGCTCGAGATCGAGGTGCGCGACCCGAGGACTCAAGGTGCGCTCCTCCCCCTCCCCCTCTCTGTCTCTCCCTGCGCTCAGAGGAGCAATCGCTCACCCTTGTCCGTACTGCGCCCGCAGAGTTTGGCCGCAAGATGTACACAGACTACGAGATCGTCTGCCGGGTGCGTCCTCGTCCTCTTGCGCCTCGCGCTCCTCGTCAGCGTGCTGACTCTGTCCTCCTCCCCCTTGGCCCCTTCCCCTCTGCCCTCTCGTTCCCGCCGCAGACCAACATACCCGCCTTCCGCGTCCGCTACTCGTCCGTCCGCCGGCGGTACTCGGACTTTGAGGCGTTCCGCGACATCCTCGAGCGCGAGTCGCAACGTGTCAACATCCCGCCATTGCCCGGCAAGGTCTTCAGCGGCAGGTGCGCCCGCTCGTTCCTCTCCTGCAGCGCCTCATAGGCGAACTCTGACGCTTCAGGACTCGCACGACCCAGTCGGTTCTCGGACGAGGTCATCGAGCAACGGCGCGAGGGTCTCGAGCGGTTCCTCCAGATTGTCGCCGGCCACCCTCTCCTCCAGGTACGCTCCTCTCTCTCTCTCTTTCCTCTGTGCGTCTCGGCAGTCGCAGGCTGTCCTGCTGCAGCTGTTGTGACTCGCCGCAGACAAACAGACAGCACTGACCTCCCAGCGCTCCTCGCAGACGGGCAGCAAGGTTTTGTGCGCCTTCCTCCAGGACCCGAGGTGCGTCCCGCTCTCCCTCACCTTCGTCGACGCGGCAGACCTGACCTGGACCTTTGTGCAGCTGGAGCGCTGCAAACTACTGAGCGCTCTGCGACGCCCGCCCTTCCTCGCCACTTTCGCCGATTCGTCGTCCTTCCTCCTGTCACTCATCGTCTCGTTGCCATACTATTCCTCTCCTTCCCCCCCTCTCTCTCTCTTCCTCTCGCCTTTGGGCACCTGCGTCTGCCGCGAGCTTGAGTATCTCGCGCCTGTCCCTCGGCGAGCGCGAGTCGCTGCGACGGTCCGAGAGAGCGCTCGAGAGTGTCTGTGAGCGGCACGCTCGTCGGCGTCGACGTCGAGCCCGCCGCTTAGAGGCTCTGCGACGCCGCCTCTCCCGCATCTGCTGCAGCGCCGCTCTGTCTCGAGGCGAAAGCGAACTCGGTGGCCGATGAGCGATCGTCGAGCAGGCATCGAGCAGGTCCGCTTACGTCGAAAGATCAACGTCCGCATTCGCCTCGACCAGCGACAGTCACTCTAGCTCCCTCTGTGCGCTCGCGCCGCAGGACGCCTCGGCGCTGCGACTTGAGAAGGCCGCGAGCGGGTCCGAGCGGGCTTTCGTCTCGCAGTGCCGCATCGCTGCGCACAGGAACGGCTCGATCTATACAGCTCAATCATGTCTCGGCACGCAACGGATGCCTCGCGCCAAAGTACAGCGCCCGCTGCCTCAAGCTCAACGCGCTCCAGTGCTGCCTCGTCGCCCTCGCGAGCGACGTGTCCTCGTGCTCGTCCACGCTCGAGCGCCTGCTCGAACGATGGTGACGGTACGCCCGTGCATGCGCGAGCGAATGGGCAGGACGCGCGGCCAGGTGGCGCTGCAGGGCGAGCTCGCCGACGTCGACGACTGCGTCGGCAGCCTCGCATGCGTCTGCCTGTCGCTCTCGAGCCGTGAGCATCAGTGAGAGGGCGCAGTAAGACGCGAGGAGGACAGGTGAACGGTGACGCACGAGCGCTTCGGCCTTGCGGAAAGCCTGGTCGCGCTCGGCGACTTGAGCGGCCGTGCTCTTGGGCAGGCTCAGCTTGTGCTTGTTGGCTGCGGGTTCGAGCGAGTCAGGGTCGCGCTCGTATTCAGGCAAGAAGAGAGCGCACCTTCGGCACCTGCGGAGGAGGAAGATGCCAAAGTGTCAGTCGTGCGTCGAGGTCTGTTCGAGTGCGAAGAGCACGTACGCTCGCGGTCCAAAGCTGTCACCTACTCGGGAATAGGTCAGCTGTGAAGGTCTATGCGAGCTCAGAGAGAGGCTGGACGCACGATCCGCTCCGACTCGGCGAGGAGCTCGACGACCTCTGCGCTGTGCGACTGCCCGACGAGGGCCGTGCGCTCGCGCTCTGCCTCGTCCACCTCGACCTGGGGCGAGCCCTGGTACTCTGCGCTCGTGCCTAGTGTCAGTCACGTCTCGAGGGCTGAGGAAAGGAGAGCTGACGCACCGAGGCGGCGAATGTGGGCGTCAGAGTGCGCAATCTGGCTTGCGACGTCGACGAGCGGCTCGTGCGCGAGTGCGTGCCACACTGCGGAACAAGCGCAAGAGACGGTCAGGGTGAGGCTCGAGGACGGCAGGGAAGACACGGGCGACGCACCGATGCGCACTGTGGCAGGAACAAGGGCGAGGTCAGCCGGCACGACGACGAGGAGACGAGGGACGACGACGAGAGAGGGATCGGTACTCACGTCGGCCTAAGGGGGAGGGAGCCATCGTCGAGAGAGGTACACGAACGAACGAACGAGAGAAGCAGGGGGCGGGAAAGAAGCGCAAGCGAGCTCGAGCGGCCAAAGGAGCGAGGGACAGGAGAGGAGGTCCGACCGTTCGCACGACGGCAGGTTCGGCTCTCGGCTCCGCTCGTTGCTCGTACGAGCCTTGCGAGCTCCTGTCGGTCCTTTCCAGAACGACGAGCGCAGGTCTCGTTCGGTCTGCAGGAGGGAGGCGCAGAGGCGCGGCCGCCGGTCCGAGAACGTCGGCGACGAAGAGGCGAGCGCCTCTCCTGCTCTGACGAGAAAAGAGAGAAAAGAGTGCAACTCGTGCAGTGCAGGACTAAGAGGGAAACGTAGAGGTACCGACGAAGGAGGCGTAGGTGCAAGAGGGGTTGAAGAAGGAGGGAGAGAAAGACGAAAGGTGAACGACGACGAGGCGAGGGGTGCGTTACGAGGGGCGTGCAAGAGAGGGAACGAAGAGGAGGAAAGGGGCAAGAAGTGTATAGACAACAAGGGCGAGAAAAGAGGAGGAAAGGGGCAAGAAGTGTATAGACAACAAGGGCGAGAAAAGAGGGAGAGAGAGTACAAGAGGGGAGGGAGATCCGACGACGACGAGCTAAGGGACGGTTGCGAAGGCGGGCGACGTGCGCCCGACATGCGGGAAACAGGACGAGGGGGGAAGGACGAGCGCGCGAGGAGGACCGGCCTCGACAAGAGCGCGCTCGACGACGACGATAGCGACGAGACGAGGGCCGAGGCTACTCGCGCTTGAGGTCGTCGTTGCTGAGGCCGAGCTCGACCTCGAACGCGCCCTGGTTGGCGTACTTGGCCCACTTGAGGCTGTTGGCGCGCTTGCGCGCGAGCTTGACGCCGAGGCCCTCGCGCTTGGCGCCCGGGTTGGGCACGAGGCCGAGGGCGCGCTCGCGGTCGCGGTCGGCCTTGGTCTTGGGACGAGGGACGCGCATGGGGAGGATCGGGAGCTCGCCGCCGTCCTCGCACTCGTCGTCGTCGTCGTCGTCGTGGGGGACGGCGTTGACGGCGGACGATGGCGTGGAGGCGAGGGACGAGGTCGCCGAGGACGACGAGGGGTGGTGCGGGTAGGGCGAGCGCGCCGACGACGAGGGCCCGAGGCTCGGGAGGCCCGGTGCGCGCTGGGGCGAGTTGGGCGCGGCCGAGTGGGGAGTGAGGGAGCTGAAGTCGGGCGAGGTGCGGAGCTTGCGGGTCGAGGCCGAGTCGTCGTCCGAGGACGAGGACGAGGCGCGGCGGTCGTGGTAGTGGTTCTGGCGGCGGTCGTCGTCGTCGTCGTCGCCTTGGTCGAGGACGGTGGGCGAGGGCGACAGGGCGCGCGGGGTCGGGGAACGGAGCGGCGAGTCGAGGCCGGCGTTGCTCAGGAAAGGCGAGGGCGAGCCGCCGAACAAGGAGGGGAGGACGCCGAGGCCTGCGAGTTTCGGTGGGAGGTCAGTTCCAGTGGTGTAAAGGAGGACGGAGCGGGTCGGAGCTTACCGTAGGTGCCCATGGTGGCGTGAAGGGCGGGTTGGGGTTGCGGGATGAGGCGGTGGGGAGGGAGGGCGGTGGAGCGGAGGGGCGGCGGGTGCGGCGGTGGTCGTTGGTGGAGGGCGCTCGAGAGAGGTAGCTGTAGCTGTGCTTGGTCGCGGCTTGGCTCTAGGTCGAGGGAGCGAGGCGGGGTGGAGAGAGCAAGAGAGAGGCGAGCCGACCCTCGTCCAACTTGGGTTCGGCCTCGCGTCCCTCGCTCCCTCGACCCGCTGTGCACCTGCTGCCAGCTTCCACGCTCTCTCGGCAAGCCTCACTGCCGGCCTGCGCTGCCCGCTTCCCGCGGCGAGCTGTGCGGCGTCCCTCGTCCTCGTCGACCCCGCACTTCGGGGCTTCATCTCCTCGCGCCTCTCTCTCGCTCCACGCACCTCCCGGCGGCCCACTCGCCAGCTCGACCAGCTTTGCGAGTCTGTCGTCACGAACTGGGGCCGCGCAGCACACGCCCGCGAGCTCTGTGCGCCCGCTGCACCCCCTTCCCCTCCTGGCCGCCCGCCTCCGCCTCGTCACCTGCCCAAGCCCGCAGCGCTGCGCCCCCTTGGCCTCGACAAAGGTCGCCGTCAGAGCACCTCGTCGACGAGCCGTCTCATCCGACTCGCTCGTAGAGCAGCGCCTCCATCAAGATGCTCGCTGCGCCCGCAACTCGCACCCTCGTTGCCTCTGCGCTCTCTCGGTTTCAGGCTGTAGCCGCATGGCTGCCACCACCTCTCTCCTGCTCGACCACCTGCTTCTCACCGGCTGCGACTCTGCTTCTGTCTCGTTCGCTCGCGCTCAAGCCGGCGACAACGGCCGTCGGACTCTCCGCGGAACGACAGAGGGCTCGGTCCGCGGCCAGCTTTTCGTCGCATCGACCGGCGCCCTCCCTCTGCTTCCGGCCTTGCGCTTCTGCTCTCTCGACGGCACTGTCGCCATGCTCGTCAGACCGGACCTCACGGGCCTCGCCAACGACGAGATCGACGGCTTCGAGCATGACATGGACGCCGGTGCGCCTCCCTCGTTTCGCACCCCTCCTACTGTAGGAGCACTGACATACGCCGAGTCATGCAGCCGAGAAGAGTGCGCACGCTCCTCCTTTGCGACGCTCGACCGCCGCGCACCCGCTCACACGACTCGCACCCGCAGCCTGGGACGAGGTCCGGCTCATCGAGCCCGCAAGCTTCGCCCTGGCGCTCGTCGCAGCCGACAGAGCCACCGTGGCGCACAGTGCGTCTCTCGTTCCCCTCTCGTCGACTTTCCGAGCGTGCGACGGTTACGCTCCCCTCCCGAGCAGATGCCGCAGAAGCGAGACTCGGTGCGCTCTCGCCGCCGCCTGCCTCCTTCTCTACCGACCCAGAGTTCACTGACTCGTATCTCTCGACAGTCGCCGCACGGTGTGACCCCGCCACCCCGCGTCGTCGCCTCGCCGGTCTCGAGCAAGCCAGCGACGAGGCCGAAGCGGTCAGGGTTAGCGCCGAGCGGGTCCTGATGCACCAGTACAGCGACCACCTCCTCGCGGTTGGGGACAAGAAGCGCAAGAAGCTGGAGCAGATCAGCAGGGCAATCCAGAAGTGGCTCAAGGAGGTGCGTCCCGAGCTTTCCCCTCTCTTCCGCCGGCAGTCGACGGACGAGCCTGACTTTCTCTCCTCTCTGGCGCCGCAGCCGGACAATGTCACGGATTGGGGTGCGCACACGTTACCTGGCATCATGCACAGTGTCAGCCACTGACTCTTGAGCCGTCGCAGCACGCCAAGGTGCGCCCAATCTCGATCTCCCTCGTCACCTCGAGTTGCTCACTTTCGACGCTTGCAGCGCGCGACCGGGCCCTCAAGATCCGCCCAAACACCTCTCGCGACGGTGCCGCAGCGTACCTCAACGAGCTCGAGTGCGCCCGCATCGGCGTGCGTCCTCTCTCTCTCCCTGCGCACGAGCCCCGACTGACCCTTCCCATCTCTCTCTTCCCCTCTCTCGCCTTCTCCCTTTCGACATCCCGCACTCCTGCAGTACGCCCTCGCGCGCTACTTCGATGCGCTCGCCGACGAAGCCGTCGACGACCTCCATCTGCGCGCGCGCGCGAGCGCAACCGAGCCGGGGATGAGGACGGTCGAGCGCGGGTCGGCGCTCGGTGCCATCGCCGAGCGGCCGGACGAGGACCGGGTCGAGGAGGACGAGGCGAACAGGGCAGAGCGGCGGCGCGTCGAGCGGGAGGCGAGGGACCGCGCGAGGGCCGGGAGGCCGGCGACCGGGAGGAGGCGTCGCGCCGAGGCCAAGAACGAGAGCTGCAGGGTGCAATGACGATGAGTTGGTCGTCGACAGTGATTGCGCCGTCGAGAGCACACGCAAGCTGCGAGAGACGCACAAGGCCACTCTGAGCCCGCAGCTCGAGAGGGCTCGAGCGCTCTCTCACGAACGCTCTCTGGGTCTTTTTCTCTCTCTCCGAGCTCACGAGCACGGCCGCACGAGTTCGAGGGAAGCAGATACACGCGTTACACATTCGGCTTCGAGGTCGAGAGATCCGTGCGAGAGGGGCAGAAGAATGCGATGGACGGGAGGAGAGACGAGGGGGGTTCGGGAAGCTGAGAGACAGACTTGGGGGAGGTGGACGACCTTCCTTCGACGGACTGACAAGGGCAAGAGAAAGAGAGTGTGTGTGGGAAGGAGAGGGAGCGGGAGAGAGAGAGAGGGACAGGGCTAGGGCGCGCCGTCGGTGCCGGCTGCGGGCTGCGTCCGGTTGAACACCGAGATCGAGTTGAGCATCTTGGCGAGCTTGTTCGTCTTGCCGCCGCCCGTCGTCGTCGACGTCGCGCCCGGCGTCGACGCAGGCGAGATCCCCGGGGCCGAAGCCGGCGAGAGGACGGGCGTGACGGGCGCCGAGGCGGGTTGGACTGGAGCGACGACCGCGCGAGGCGGGTCCTTGCGGCCACGAGACGATGCAGGAGGAGGCGCGACGACTTGAGGAAGGGGGATGACCGCCGGCGCGGGAGACGGGCGCGACGAGGTCGGCGAGGCAGGTGACGACGCGCCGAGGTCGCTCGTGTCGGTCGCCGCGTCGCGCAGCTTGGGCCTCGGCGCCGCCGACGCATGCGGCGGCCCGACGGGCGTAGCCGAGGGCGACGACGACGTTGACGAGGTCGCGACGAGGCCGATGGGCGGCGCGAGGCCTGGCGGCGGGCGTGAGTGCGAGTACGGCCGCTTGCCCGGCGGGCTCGGGCTGCGGCGCCAGTCGCGCACGGTCGACACCGACGTCGTCCCGCTCGCGAGCGCGCCGTGCGGGCCCGACTCGGACGGCGGCGAGCCGACGCTCGAGAAGCTCGACAGCGGCGTGTGGGTGCGGCTCGTCGAGTCGAACCCAGACACGGTCGACGGCCCGCCGCCACGGGTCAAGCTCGAGCTCGTCGGCGAAAAGTCGCTCGCGGTGGTGCCGCTGGTGCCGTTGGCCGGGAGCGGGCCGCCTTTGACGCGACGGTCGGCGAGGCGGTCCCTGCGCGTCGACGCCGACGACCAGTGGTCGTGCTGCGCCGACGAGCGGCCGCGGTCGCTCTCGACGCTCGCCGTCGTACCGACCGAGCCACGCGACGAGAAGGGCGAGTCGAACTTGCCGCGAGGAGCTTTGGCGCCCTGCTGCATCTTGGCCGGCGCCGAGTACGTGTCGGCCTTTGCGCCGATCGACGCGTTGCGCTCGTCGACGCGGCGCTTGAACGCCTCGAGTTCCGAGTTGCCCTCGTTGACGAGCGTCTTGAGGCGCCCGAACACGCCGCCCGACTTCTTGACCGGCGGGATGTCCTGCGGCAGCGTCGTCGGGATGGCCGACGTCGACTGGGTGCCGTGCGAGCGCGACGACGGGACCGGCCTCGGGCGCGCAGAGCGGTGGCTCGACGACGAGCGGACCTGGCTCAGCTCGCGCGCGAGCTCCTGCGACGCAGCAGCGAGGTCCTCGAGGACGGCGTCGCGGCCCTCGCTCACGGTCGCGAGCTTGCCCGACCGAGGCGAGGCGGGCGAGGTCGGCGACGTCGCGCCGTGAGTGTCGGTCGCGCGCTCGGCCTGGCGGGCGGCGCGCTTCTCCTTGCGAGCGCCGCGCTTGCGCCGCTTGGCCTTGTGCGCCTTGTCCGCCGCCGCCTTGGCCGCCTCGTCCTCGGGGCTCTCGGTCCCGCCGCCGTTCTCCTGCTCCTCGTCCACCTGCGGCGCCTGGCCGCCGGCGCCGCGTGACGGCGAGTCGTCGCCGTTGTCGTCGCTCGGCGGCTCGCTCGCGGACGGCTCGCTCGTGACGGGCGCGGCAAGTTCCGGTGCGACGACGCGCTCGGCCTCGTTGCCGCCGCCCTTCTCGGGCTCGGGGACGACGGTGACGACGCTCTCGCTCTGCGCGTCGACGAGACTCGGACGCCTGCCGGCGGCGTGGGGCGCGAGGAGCGTGAGCCCGCTCGGCGTCGGCGGGACCGAGGGGGCGAGCGCAGAGGTCGGCGACGTGATGGGCGGGGTCGCAGGGCTCGTCGCACGAGGGCTCAGGTCAGGCGAGGCCCAGGGGAGAGGGCGTGCGATCTGGCTCGGCGAGGCGATGGTCGCGTTGGGGAGGGCGGGCGACGGAAAGGTCGGCGAGGGGAGCGAGTCGCCGTCCTCGCTGAGCGCCGTCGGCGAGGTGATGTAGGGCGGTCGACCCTGCGTCGCCGTCGAGGCGGTAAAGGTCGAGGGCGCAAAGGACGACGCCGTCGAGTCGGGCACCTCGGGCACGGTCGGCAGGTCGTGGCGCAGGTCGGACGGGAGGTCGTCGAAGATGCTCGACTGCTTGACGGTCGAGGGCGCGAACTGCGACAGGAGCGATGCCGTCTGCGGGACAGGCGACGTGTTGCCGCCGATCGAGAGGGGCATCGTCGCGACGGGCGAGAACTCGAACGCCGAGTAGGCCGAGTCGGCCTGGTGGGCGAGCGGCGGACGGTGCTGCGCGCCGAGCTGGCCCTCGCCCATCATCATGACGAGGCGACTGGCCCACCTTCCAAACTCGCCCGCCGAGACGCGACGCTTGGGCTGCCCGTCGACGACCTCGAGGACGTCGCAGAAGACGCGGTCGGCGAGGAAGTGCGCCACCTCGTCGCTCATGCCCTCGAACCGGTTCTGGAGGAACCCGACCGGGTCCTCGACGTACTCGGCAAAGTCCGGGTCGTCGAGCGACGGGTCGGCCCACGGGTTGCGGTGGTACAGGAGGTTGAGAAACACGAGCCCGAGCGACCACACGTCGGCTTGGCGAGGGTCGTACGTCGGCTTGAGGTTGTTGCGGCACTCTGCGCGGGTGTGAGAGCGTCGGTCAGTGAGGGCTCGAGAGAAGGAAGGGCGAGGAAAAGGGCCGAGGGGAAGGCCGAGCGCGAAAAAGAGGAACCGAGAGCGCACCGTAGGCCATGTAGGGCTTGCTCCCGCAGTCAAAGTCCTCGCACTCGGCGTCCATGGTGCCGAGGCCCCAGTCGGTGATCTTGACGACGACGCCCTTGCGCTTGTCGAAGTGGCCCTGCGGCGCGCTCGCGCGGTCGCCCTTGCCGTCGATGACGATAAAGTTCTCGGGCTTGATGTCGCGGTGCGAGATGCCGCGCTCGTGGCACGCCTGGACGGCGGCGCACATCTGGCCGAACATGCGCGAGATGAGGCGCAGGCGCTTGCGCGACAGGAGCTGGTCGCCCATGGCGGCGCTCAGGAGCGACGGCGACGGCGGCGTCTCGTCAACGAGGAGGTGAGCGGGCGTGTCGGCCGTGATGGTGCGCGACAGGGCCGACTCGTCGGCGTCGTCATCGTCGTCGTCGTCGTCGAGGTCGAAGCTCGTGCGGCGGCTGACGTTGTCGGCGGGCGACGCGGCGCGCGAGTACAGGTCGGCCGTGCCGTGTTCTTGCGCCTCGAGGAGCCAGTAGAAGGCGTCGCGCCCACCGGCGTACTCGAGGACGAGGAAGAGCCAGTCGTCCGTCTCGTAGGCCTGCGCGAGTCTCAGAGGGTCGAGTCAGTTCTCGAGCTCGTTGCGAGGGCGACGACGGCGACGAGGACGAGGGGAAGGGAGAGAGAGAGAGAGAGGAAGAGAAAGGAGGACGCACGCCGTACATCTGCACGATGTTCTCGTGCTTGGGGAGGGCGCGGTGGAGGAACGCCTCGTTGCGCTGCACCTCGATGAGGTCCTCGGTCAGGTTCTTCTTGCACAGGCACTTGAGCGCGTAGTACTGGCCGTACGTCGGGCGCCTCGGGAGCGGCGGCATCGGGTTCCACGTCTCGCTCGCCCACGAGTGCATGCGCGGCCGCTGACCGTCCGAGTCGGCCGGCTCGTCGAACTCGAACGACGCGAGCGGGTCGATCGGCGACAGCATGTCCTCGTCGTCGTCGTCGCCGTTGCCGTTGCGCGCGCCGCCGAGGTCGTCGAGCGCCGGGTCCGGGTCGTCGAGGACCTCGCGCACGAGGTACACGATGGCGTACGTGCCCTCGCCGAGGCGGCGCTCGACCTCGAGCTGGCGCGGGCCGTCGAGGCCGTTGCCCGGCGCCTTGCCGTCGACGTCGACGTGGCCGGCGAAGCAGTCGCGCACGTACCCGCCGCGGCCGTCGAGCCACACGCCGACGCCGACGCGCTCGCCCTCGTCAAAGACGTCGACGTCGCGCAGGTCCTCGCTCTCGCTCTCGGCGTCGCTCATGCCGCTCGCGCTCGACGCGTACGTCTTGGTGCGCGCGAGCCCGGCCGGGCTGTTCTGGGCCGAATCGAGGAACGGCTCCTCGTCGGGCGGCGGCGGGCGCGGCGTCGTGAGCACGCTCGGCTTGTACACCTCGTTGGTCGCCTCCCACGACGCGGCCGAGGGCGCACCTGGGCCGCCGCCGGGCGAGGGCGCGTTGGGCTCGGTCGGCGAGGGCGCGACGCCGCCCGTCGTGTTCTCGCGGACGAGCTCGTGGAGGAGCGGGTGCGGGTTGGTGCCGCCGGGCGTGCCGGGCGGGTGCTGGCTCGCGACGCTGCTGCGCCTCGAGCGGCTCGCGATCGAGCTCGTGCGGCTCGCGGCGCGGACCCGGGAGCGCGACAGGGACGGCGTGCGGAACGGGCCGACGCTCGGCGTCTGCGGCTGCGGCTGCGAGTGCGGCAACTGCTGCGGCAGGGGCTGCGGCGAGGCGGCGTCGTGCGCGAACCAGTCGAAGCCGCGCACTGGGTCGGGCTGGGCGTAGTCGTCGTCGCCATCGTCCCAGCCGTCGTCGCTGCCGAGGGCGCCCTCGCCGACGCTCGACACGCCGCTGTCGCCGCTCGCGATGCGGCGCCGGCGCTCGCGGCCGCTCTGCGACCCGGCGCGGCTGTGGCTGCGGCTCGCGCTGCGGCTCACGCCGCGACCGCCGCTCGGACCCGGCGAGCGCACGCGCGTGTGGTGCGTGATGCCGCTCAGGAACGACGCGAGGTGCGTCAGGCTCGGACGCCGAGACGGGACGGGCGCGGCAGGCGCGGTCGGCGAGGGCGAGGTCGTCGTCGCGGCAAAGTGGACCGACGAGCGGCGCGAGCCGGGCTCACGCTCGCGGTCCTCGCCGTTCCACATGGCCGACGGCGGTGGAGCGCGCACGGGGGACGTGCTCGCGCTCGCGGTCGGGCTCGGGCTCGCCGACGGGCCACGCGTGAGCTCGTTCATGTGGGCAAAGTGGACGCCGAGGCCGAGGCTGGCGGCCGAGCGACGCGCCTGGACGCTGCCGCTCCGCGCGGTGCGGCGTCCGCGGCCCGAGCCCGAGCCGGACGAGTTGGCGCTGGTCGAGCCCGCCGCAGGGCCGGCGCCTGGAGCGAGAGGGCCCGAGAAGAGCTGGCGCGAGGCACGGGCTGGCGAGGGCGAGTCGGACTTGATCGACAGGTTGGGCGAGCGCGGTGACGATGGCGAGGCGCGGGTAGGCGCAGAGGGCTGGCGAGGAGAGGAGGACGAGGTAGAGGAGGAGGAGGTTGGGGGCGGCATGGGCCGAGACCGCTAGGCGGATGCGGTCGGGGCGAGCCTGCGGGACACGAACAGTCAGTCGAAAGGCTCGTCGAGGTGCAGAGTCGAAGAGAAAGGAGGCCGCACCGGAAGGACGAAGAGCTTTGCACAAGGTGGACGCGGACCGAGGAAAGTGGGGACGAGGCCGAGGAACGGCGCGAGCTGCACGTCGAGGACGAGGCTGGCGCTGTTCTCTGCTGTAGTCGAGAGGGCAGGTCGAGTTGGCGTTGGCCCGCGAAGAAGGAAAGGGCGCCAGTTGACGAGGGAGGGTCCGGCCGAGAGCTGCGAGGAGGGGACCGAGAGAGAGTCAGCGACTGCGCCCGCGGCGGCTGGTGTGCTGGTGCTCTGAGACGTTGTGCATGGTGCTCGCGAGTGCCCTGGGTGCCCTTGAGGCGCAGGGACCGCGGCACGAGGCGACCATGAGGTGCCCGCCGAGGCAACGGCTCACGTCGCCCGCCCACTCCGAGAGGGAGCAGGGCGGCTCGGTAGCCCTGATGAGGGCTCACATGCCGTCTAACGAGGTCCACCGGGTCCAGGGAGGGGTGCGGCGGGCTGGGCTAGTCAAGGGCCGGCGAGAGATGAAGAGAGATGGGCGACGCACACGGTGAACGGGGGCACTGGACGGGGCGGTTGGTCGGCGAGTTCTTGATCGAGGCACGTCTAGTGCAGTAGCTGGTGTCGTGGTTCCGGGTCGAGGCGAGCGAACTCCTCGAGGCGAGTCTTGGGGGGACGAGGACGCGGACGGCGATGGAGACGACGACGAGGGCGAGAGCGGCGAGAGGGTGCGGGGCTGCGAGGCAGAGGCTGTGGCCTGCTCCTCTGCACTGCACGCTCAGCTGGCCGGCGTCGAGGGAGTGCGGCGCGAGCAACCGGACGCCTCCCTTCGATCGCCCTCTTGCGACGACGACGAGGACGGCGGCGGCGTTAACAGCCGGACTCGTGAGCCTCGCTCGGGACAAGGATGCAGTGCAGTGCAGTCTATCGTGTCGACGTCTATCGGAAGAGCAACGTCCGCCTCTACCGCGACAGCCCGCCCCCGAACCCGTACTCGTCGTCGCCTCGCTCCTCCTCGTCCCCCTCGACCCGGATCCGCATCCCGTCCACCGCCGGCCGCACCCACACGTCGCCCTCGCCCCCCCGCTCCTCCACCGCGCTCCCTCGCTCCCAGCTCTCGACCGCCTGCAGGCCCCGCTCGACAAACACGCCCGCGTCCTCGCGCGTCGGGTCGGCCGCTCCGTTGTACAGCTCCCACGCGCTCGCCGGCGCCGGCGGCACCTGCTCGCCCTCGACCACCGGCAGCGACGTGCGCCTCGCCGGCGACGCCGACAGCGCCTCGCACAGCGCGAGCCACAGCGCGTGCGACGTGCGGTGCCCGAACCCGAGCTGAAACGGCGCGTGCACGACCAGAGCGACGGCGATAACGTGGCGCAGCGACGTCGACAGCGAGGTGCCGAGACAAGGTGCGAGGTTCGAGTAGGAGGGGGCGAGGGCGCATCGGCAGGGCGGGCAAGAAGGGAGGGGAGCAAGGTTCGTCAGGTCGGGCAACGCAGACTTTGCCGGCTCGACGAGGACGCACCAGGTAGTTCCGTCTCGCGCCGAGCCGCCTCGCCGTCTGCAACGCTTGCCCGATCCCGTAGTGGCTCGTGAATGGCTCGACTCGGAGGCAGTCGACGACGAGCGCGTCGAGCTTGTTGCCCGCGAGCGCGCGCTCGATGACGGCCCACACGGGCGGCGGCACGAACGACACGTCCGACAGGTAGACGATCGACGTGTTGAACAGGAAGCCGAGGCATGTGTAGGGCGATGGCGGCGTCGTGAAGAACTTGCCGTGGTGCACTGCGCGAGGGGGGGCCAATGCGTGAGCGAGACGTGCTACGAGGCCTCACAGGGGCGAGAGAGACGACCCGGAGCATCTCTGCCGCCGCAAGAGCCGAGGGAGAAACCGCTGACGCACCTGGCAAGGGCGTGATCCGGACGCCGAACAGCTCGAACGGCTCGTTCTCGTCAAAGATGTGCCACGTGAGGGCTGGAACGTCGCCTCCTCCAGTCTGAAAGGGCGAGCCGTCAGGGTCTGTGGCTGATGGACAAGAGAGGAAAGGGAGGACGCACCGCTTTGCCGAGGCTCGTCAAGTAGGGAAACGCCTGCGTCGCTCGAGGAGGGTCAGGGTTAGGGTCTGGCGCGAGGGAGAGGCCGAGAGGGGGACAGGGACGCACCCGTGAGACCTCGTTGAACGTCTCTTGCGTGAGGTAGATCGGGATAGACGTCTGGATGGCGCCCCGCAGAGTCCAACCTGCGACGAGGAGGGGGCGAGGGCAGGGTCAGCAGCTTGTCTGACCCTGTCCTGAGACGGAGCGGCTCACCTCGAAGATCGTCGAGACCGAGTATTGCGTCCTGTGCGGCGCAAGAGAGGTCAGTTTGGCTCCGCCAGAGTGAAAGAAGGGAGGAAGGGAGAGGACGCACGGCATGAGCGTGCGTGAGGAGGACGGCGTCGATCTCGCGCAGGCCGTGCTTGGGCCAGTGCTCTATCGCGCCTCCATAGAACGTCTTGCCGCACTGTGCGAGGGAAAGGGACGGTCAGCGGTCGTGGGCGTGACACAACGAGGAGGAGGGGACGGACGTCGATGAGGATGGTGCGGTCGCGCTCGCCTGCTTGCGGCGAGGGGATGCGGAGGATGGCGCTCGTGTTACGCCTAAGGTTCTTCTGGGCGTCGAGGTCGGCCTTGTCGAGGGTTGAGCGACAGCAGTGGCAGCCGCCGACCGGGTCGGTGAGGCACTGGACGGCGGGCAGGCCGGACGAGGTGGCGGTCCCGAGCAGGATCAGGTCGAGCGCAGCCATGCTCACTCGTCGCTGCAGCGAGTCGCGCGGTGAGGCGGCAAGAGCGACGATGGTCCAGAGACGTCGCTCCACCGTCACCTCCATCGTCCGCCATCGCTCTGCTTGCGAAACCGAGCAGCGCAATCTACCGCAGCTGTGTCTGAGCACACCTCTGGCCAGCAGCGACGCCAGAACCTGCTCCCGCTGCGGTGCTCGTCGACCCTCTCCGATCCTCATCTCTTGAGCGACCGCTCGCTCTCCATGGCTCGCACGGGCGACTCACTGGCGGCGAGTCGCTCAGTCGAGCTTCACTGCTGCACCCGCATGGGCACAAGCCGCCCGAGCGTGGGAGTGCCTCGGCTCCCGCCCCTCTGCTCCTCGTCCCCCCTTCCTTCCCCTCGCGCTCGACGTCACGCTCGAGCGCTTGTCCTTCGCCTACGCTCCGGCTCAGGAGACGTCGCTCAGGAGCGGTGCGGACGACCTGGGGCGCCCGCTCGTACTCACTCGATGCGGAGCCCTTTTCCTCGGACACCTGCTCCATAGGCGGACTCGCGTCCTTTTCTGCGCTCGGCATCGCTGCGTCTTCGAGCTCGCTGCGCCTCCTTGCTCTCTTTCTCTTCCGCCATCTTTCCTCGTCGACATGGCGACCAACGCACTCTCGCCCCCTGTCATCGACCCCAGCATCCCGGACCGACTGCGCAACACGCTCAGAGACGAGGTCCACTTTGGTGCGTTCGCCGTTCGCTCCTTGGGCCACAGTTTTCACCCGAGTGCTGATCTTGTGACCGAGCAGCATCGACAGGCGAGACGACAATTCACGAGGAGCGCCTCGGCAGGCGAAGATGGTCGCTGACTCTTCTTGCGCACCGCGACAGCCTGCGGCGCGCTTTAGCGACACGAAGAACTCGGACGAGCCGGCATCATCACGGACATGGTCAAGTACACCGTCGCCAAGGCGCATGCTGCCGATCCCGCTCGTGCGTCCCGGTCTCTCCTCGAGCGTCTTCTCGTGCAGCGAGTTGACCTTTCCTCTTCCTCCTCGACGACCCAGACTTTGCTCGCACATCGCCCATCGAGAGCTACTGCACTTCCGTCGACCTCACCGCCCTGAACAAGGTCATCGACGGCAAGCATGCGCTGTTCGCCATCCAGAAGGCCGTCGGCGAGCTTTACAGGATCGTGCGCCCGCTTTCTCTCTCTCTCTCTTTCTTCTCAGCCCCGACTCAAAGAACCTGACGACGACCTTCTGACCCACAGCGGAAAGATGCGCGCGAGCTGAGTGCGCTTCTCCTGTACGCGGCCTGCAATGCGATCCGACCTTCTGACCTTTCATTCGCCGCGCCCGCAGGAGAGACAGGTCCGCCTTCATTCGCCGCTCGGCTCGAGCATGACGATCGGAACCTGACACATCTGGCCGCCGATACAGTGCAGCGAGACGCTCCCCGTCTCCCGGCCGGTCAGGCCGACCTCGTCGAGCAGGCTTGCGTGCGTTCGGACCCTCTCTTACGCTTTCCCGCCCTCGCCCTCGGTCTCGCTCGACCTGGCGACCGCGGCAACAGGACCAGATCCTGTCGTACCTCGAACACAATGCGCCTCGGGCCTTCAATGTGCTCGAGCCGAGCAGTGCGCGCGCTCTCGGTCGGCACCGTCAGCGCGAGGGCAAGTACAGGCGCGACCTCATCTACTCTCGGATCCAGTACTAGACGGCGTCGTCTGCATCGGAAGAAGCTTTCGAGTCCTGCCCGTGCTTCAGAGAGGAGCGCGAAAGCTTGAGAGCGAGCGTTTGAGAAGGTCGATCGAGAGTCGCCGTTCCGACCCACCACTTGATTGAGCCTGTCTCTCGCCCTCAGAAGCCTTCGTGCAACATCGCAGGTCTCGAGAGCGGCATCACAGAAGCGAGAGCGGGCGAGCAAAACTGATGAGACGAGGAACCGTCCTCGCACGGTCCTGCGACCGCCGGCTGGAGCTCGACTTTCTTCTCGTCGCAGCAGGACTCGTTGTACGTAGTTCGTCGAGTCTGAGCGACGCACGCCCGAGAGGCGAAAGCTGTCCCTCTCGAGCCGATTGAAGCCCGACGACCAGCTCAGGTTGCGAAGGACGGCTGGCTCTCGCTTTCGCCTGGTCCTTTCCTCTCGGTCGAGGCACGCCAAAGCGAGAGACGGGCAAGGGTATGTACTGCACACGCCTCGCGCTACGTCTCCCGCCGCGGGGTTGGACACGGAGGGAGAACAAGCTGCGAAAAAGGCCCTCGGCCTGCCGACGACGACGACGACGACGGGCGGGCGAGGGGGCGAGCACTATAAGAGGGCTAAGGAAGACAGGAAGGGGGCAGGGCGCGCTGCGCCAACAAGGAGGGTCGAGGAGCGAGGAGAGGAGGGTGGGAAACTGGGTATGCGGGTGCGAGAACGGGAACAGGCGGGGCGCGAGGAAGGAAAGGCGAAAGTTGGAGCGGGGCGCGTGCTGGAAAGGAAGGTGGGTATCGCGAGGGGTATCGAGAGCGCGCACTCGAGAGCGCGAGAGGGGAGGACGAGGGGGAAGGAGGCCGAGCGCGTTGGCGCTCAGGCGAGGAGGAGCGTCGCCGCGAGGACAGCGGCGCCGAGGACGCCCGAGGCGCGGACGGCGAGGCCCTGTGCGGCGCCACCGGTCAAGTTGGTCTCGCCGGCCTGCTTGGTGACGCTCTCGAGGAAGCCGCCGCCGCACTTCTCGCCCGTCGCCGTCCACAGGCTGCCCTGGCCCTTGAGCAGCGGCGAGTTGGCGAGGCCGAGGGCGTACGGCATGCGCGACTCCCACGCGACATAGGCCGACAGGATCGACTTGGTGCACTGAGAGCACAGGACGGTCGACGACATGGACGGCGACAGGAAGAGGAACGGGAGCGACGCCGACGACCACGTCGCCGCGTTGGGCAGGATCGACGGGACGTCGAACGACTGGACGCCGGCGGCCGTCGAGTCGTCGCCGAGCGACGAGGTGCTCGCCGACGTCGAGTTGGACGCGGCCGCCGTCGAGTTGGCGCCCGACGACGAGGCCGACGCGCTCGCCTGCGCCGAGGATCCCGAGCGCGAGGCCGAGGCCGAGGCCGACGACCACGCCGACGCCGACGAGTCGCCGTTCCACTGGCGGCGTGCGAGACGCTTGACGGCGCCCGTGATCTGGACGTACAGGCTCGGGGGAGCGGGCACGTCAATCTCGAACGACGCGTCCTGCGCGGCGAGGATGCGCGCGTTGTTGACGACCGGGACCGACTGGACGAGGTGGGTCGTCGTGTTGAACGTCGCCTCGGTCTCGTTCGTGGCCGACGAGGCGGACGACGACGAGGCCGACGCGGGCGAGCCGGCGTCGATCGAGGCGGTTGCGGCGGCGGCGTACGAGCTCGCGACGCTCGACACGACGTGAGTCGCGTTGGCGCCGGTCGAGCCGGCGGGCATCGAGCCCTTCGCGATGTCGTTGATGCACCAGTCGGCGGTCGAGTCGGTGCTGCACACGGCGTCGCGGAGGGGCGTCAAGACGTACAGGGCGTCGTACGACCCGAGGACGACGTCGTTGCTGGCCGTGAGCTCGGCCGTGCAGTTCGAGTTGAACTGGGTCAACAGGGACCGCACGAGCGAGTCGTCGCACGGCGCCGAGTAGCACAGGCCGGCGAGGGCGTCCTGGACGGCGGCGTCGTTGGCGGCGTAGTCGTTGGACGCGGCCGAGGCCTGGAAGGTCGACAGGGCCGAGAGGAGCGGGGCGGTGCAGGTGCTGATGTCCTGGTGCGAGTTGAGGTAGGTGAGGAACGCCTCGCACTTTGGCGAGATGGTCGACGGGATCAACGGGTTCGGGGCCGACGAGGCTGTTTTGGGTGAGAGAGGCGTGTCAGTGGATGCGACGAAAGAGTGCAAGGCGGAACAGTCGAACGCACCGGTGGTGTTGGTCGACGAGGTGCGAGACGGGGCCGAGGACGACGAGGCGGAGGAGGGTGCGGCCGAGCCCTGAGCGCTGACGGACTGAGCCGACGAGAGGGCGAGTGCGGCGGCGGCGAGTGCCGTCGTGGAGGTCGAGAAGTGCATGCTCGGGTGGTGCGTGTCGGGCGAGAGAGAGAGAGGGAGCGACGAGGTTGAGCGACGATCGAAGGTGGGCGGAGGGGGCGGCAAAGGGAAGGCACTCGAGGGACGGGGACGGCGAGGGGCGGCCGGTGGTGTGGCTCGGCGGGCTGGTAGAGGGTCAACGAGAGTCTTGAAGGTGCACGAGCGTGTCCTGGACGACGGGTGGTGGAGGGACGAGGGACGAGAGAGGCGAGAGCGAGGCAGCGTTTGTTCCTCCGGCTCTCGCTCTCGCAACCTCTCTCGATCGACTCTGGCCTGGCATCTTGCAATTCGCACGCTCTCTTAGCCAGCCTGCTCAGCCTCTACAACCCCGTCCCCTCCCTGTACACCCAGCTCGCTCCCCTCGTCAGTGGCCACCTCCGCGCCTTCGGTCACCCAACTTGCGACCGCGTCACGTGGGTTTCAACCTCGCCGCCTCTCCCACTGCCCGAGCCGTCGTCCTCAAGCTCGCAGAGCGTGTCAAAGGGTCGAGCAAGGCGAGGCGAGCATGCGCGCGGTCGGGCTCGAGCGCGAGGAGGCAGCGCGAGCGAACCGTGGCCTCGCTCACGCGCCTCGCCGCACAACACACGCCTCCTCCCCCTCTCCCTCCTCGCTCTGCGCTCCTGCAGCAACCCTGCACATGCTGCAGCTGCTCTCCCGAGGCCACCGCGACCTCGCGAGCCTGCGCTGCGCCCCAGGGCTCGCTCGTCCTCCAGCTCGCTCCCCTCCCCGCACGCTCCGCCGTCCGCCCTCCTCTCGTCGCCGGAATCTCCTTGGAGCCGACGACGGCCGAGTCGGCCGTGAGTCCGCCTGCAGAGCGCCTCCTGACCGGCCCCATCGCCGCGATAGGCGGCTGCGGAACCACGAGGGTCCGGGCCAGCTCTGGCTGCACTCCGTGCGAGCTCGACCGGTGCCCGCAACGCTGCAGCTTGGCTTCTGCTTCCACACACTCGTCGCCAGCATCTCGAGCTCCCACTCACGATGCCCCTCTCGTCGTTCCTCCCCGGCTTCTCGGCCGCCCCTCCTCGCTACGCCGGCATTTCCGAGCCGAGCGTGTACGCGACGCTCGCCCACGCCACCGACCCCGACGCGCACAAGGGCACCGCCGACCCGAACGAGGCCCTCGACGCTGGCGAGGGTCTCGCACCGACGGCGCAGCAGTTCGACTATGTCATCTGCGGCGGCGGGACAGCCGGCTGCGTCCTCGCGTCGAGGCTCACCGAGGACCCGAACGTGTCGGTCCTGCTCATCGAGGCCGGTGAGAGCGACCAAAAGGTCCTCTTCTCACGTGTCCCGGCTGGGTGGGCCAACCTGTTCAAGTGCGTCCCGCCCCTCCTCCTCCTCGTCTTCCCCGAGACCGTCTCTCTGACCTCGCCTATCCTTCTCGCGCTGCAGGACGCCCGCCGACTGGGCCTTCTCTACGGTGCCGCAACCCGAGCTCTCGAACCGCTCCCTCTTCCAGCCTCGCGGTGAGTCCAGCCTCTCGCCTTTCTCGCCCTCGCTCCCGACGAATGCGAGCTGACCCTCTGCAACCCTGTCGCAGGCAAGATGCTCGGCGGCTCGTCGGCCATGAACGCCCAGATCTACCAGCACTGTTCGCGCGAGGACTATGATGCCGTACGTCCCCTCTCGCTCGCCAGGTTTAAGAGGCCCGAGCGGGCTCGAGACTGACCTTTTTCGTCTTTCCTTCCTTCTTCCCTTCCCTTCCTTCTGCGCCGTTTCCGTCCTCGTCTACCCATCGACTCGTCCGACACGTTTCACCTGCTCGCGACGCAGTGGGAGGCGTCGGGAGCGACCGGCTGGGGCTGGCTCGACCTCAAGCCCTACTTCGCCAAGGCCGAGGGCTTCACGCCGAGCGCCGCGCACAAGATTGACGAGTCGGTGCGTCCCCCTCACTCTCTTCTCCTCGGCGCAGTTGAGCCCGTACTGATGATGCTCGTCGAGCAGATGCGCGGCAAGGAGGGCGTCTGGAAAACTGGCTATCCCTCGACGTCGCCGGTCGTCGCCGCGTGGGTCAAGTCCGGTGTGCGTCCACCCCCTCTCGTGTCGTCTACTTCAACGAGAGCGAGCTGGACTGACCGACCTCGTCGCGCGCTACAGCCTGCCTGCGGCGTGGCCCACAACCCGGACCTCAATATCGAGACGAACCCAAACGGCGTGCGTCAGGATCTCTCCCCTGTTGCGCCTCCTTTCGCGTACGAGGGGCACGTCACTGACCTGAGCCGGCCAAGCGCACAGATCACGCGCTTCCAGGCGACGGTCGACTCGAAGGGCCAGCGCTCGTCCACCTCGGCCGCCTACCTCCCGCCGTCCGTCTACACGCGCCGCAACCTCTCGATCCTCACCTCGACGCGGTGCAGCAAGCTCCTCCTCGGCCCGGACCAAGACGGTCAGCAGCGCTGCGTCGGCGTCGAGCTGCAGCAGGAGCGCAACGGCAAGACGTTCGTCGCGCACGCCAAGCACGACGTGATTCTGTCGCTCGGCGCGTTCGGCACGCCTCAGCTCCTCCTGTGCTCCGGCATCGGCGCCAAGGACAAGCTTGACGCAGTCGGCGTCGTCCCCAAGCTCGACTTGCCCGGTGTCGGCGAGGGCCTCAAGGACCACTTCCTTGCCGGCATCTTCTTTCGGGCCAAGAACGGCACCAGCTTCGAGTTCCTCAAGAGTCAGCTTCGTACTGTACGTCCCGAGCGATTCTCTTGTGCCCCTCTCTTTCGACGAACTAACCTTTCGCCAATTCTCGACGCGCAGATCCCTTCTCTCATTCGGTGGCTAATGTTCGGCACTGGCGCCCTCGCCTCGAACCTCGCCGAGGGCGGCGCCTTCCTGCGCTCCGACACGATCGCTCGTGACGGGTCCATCTCGTCGTCGGCAACTGAGGCCAAGGGCATCGTCGACTTCCCGATCAACGCGAGCGGCTCGACGAGCGCCGACCTCGAGATCATCGCGGCGCCTGTGTGGTACCTCAAGTGCGTCGGCCTCGTCTTTCTCTCCCTTGTCGTCTCGTCGAGGGGACCTTCCTAACTCGCCCTTCCTCCTCCTGTTTCTCAGCCACGCCATGACGCCGCCTCCCGTCCCGTCGGCCGACTACTTCACTATGGCCTCGACCATCCTCAAGCCGTTCAGCACCGGTACGGTCGGCATCCGCACCGGCAACGTGTGGGACGAGCCGCTCATCGACCCGAGGTACCTGAGCGACGAGCGCGACCAGAAGGTGCGCCGCGACTGTTTCTCTGTCTGCTCTGTATCTTTTGGTGTGAGACTGACCCGATCGCGAGGTCCCTCTGCGCAGGTCCTTCTCGCCGGCCTGCACTTCTTGCGCCGCCTCTCGCAGACGGCCCCGCTCGCCGACCTCATCACGGGCGTCGACCTCCCGACCGGCGGCATGCAGGGCTTCCTCGACGCGACCGACGACGAGCTCCTGCAGCACTCGAGGGAGACGGCCGAGACGATCTACCACCCGTTCTCGACGGCGAGGATCGGTGCGTCCAGCCCTTTCTCTCCTTCTCACTCTCGACTCCTCCACTACGGCCGTGACATTGACGCGCTTCCTCGCACAGGTGACCGCACCAAGGGCGGCGTCGTCGACCCGGACCTTCACGTCTACGGCACGACCAACCTGCGCATTTGCGACGCCAGCGTTTTCCCCGACGCCGTCAGTGGCCACCCTGTGCGTCTCTCTCTCTCTCTCTCTCCTCTCTCTCTCTCTCTCTCTCCCTCTCTCTCGTCGTCATCTCGACCCAGTCGAGCTCGCTGACAAGCGCCAACCCTCGCAGCAAGCCGCCGTCGTCGCCGTCGCCGAGAAGTTCGCCGACATGCTCAAGGGCGAGAGGTCCGTGCGCAACGCAGCCGGCGCCACGGCTCGTCTCTGAAGGGCTCGTCTCGAGCTGTCGAGGTGGGCTGTATCTCGGTCGTCTATTCTGTTCCTGCAACTCGCGTTCTCGTCTTCCTCGTCGAGAGCTGCCTGCATTGCTCTCTCTCTTGTGCTCGCTCCTCTCTCTCGCTCTCGCTCGCAAGTTCGTGTCTCGAGAGTGCTCCGTATACTTCAGTACTCGCGCTGGAAGTAGAGCCACGCTCGGCGGAAATCTCCGTCTCTCGACGCCCGACGCCTGCCGAGCGCATGAGCCTCGTCGTGCTCGGGGGACGACGACGGCACGTGCGCCTGACTCAAGCGCGAAGAATGTTGCTGGAACGTGTGCCGTCTCCTCGATGGCGTCGTACCGGCCTGCTGAGCCCTGCGGCGAGCGGCGGCCAAGCGCCGCGCTGTGTCCTTTTGTTGGCGAGCGGCGACGGCGGTGCGGCGAGTCTGCTTGACTTGGTTGCTGTGGTGCTCGAGCACGTTGTAGCCGTCGGTCTCGACGCCGTACGCATCTTCGAGGTACGTGGCCTGCAAAGAAGATCGAGCGTGAGCTTGCGGGCGAGGGAGCGAGGACAGGAAGCGCACGGACCAGTTGCTCTCGGTCCGCGGTGGAAAGATCGCCGTCATCCATTGCGCGAGAAGAGAGAGTCAGTACCGAATCTGTCGTCGTCGCTGCAAGACGTTGTGCGCGCGCACCGAGGACGTCGGCGCTCCACTCTGCGAGCGGGCCAAGTCAAGTCAGTCGGCTGTCGGCACTGTGTCCGAGGGGGCGGCCGAGCACTCACCGAGGTTTTGCAGCGTCTCCAGCTGTGGTCCTCGAGAGGGTCAGGCTCGCGTAAGACGCGAGGAGCGAGAGAAAGAGGAGCGCACGAGGTGACCGGCCTCGACGTAAAGCGCGACCGCTTCTTGCGAGAGCTTGCTCCGACGGGTTTCTTGGCGCTCACGTCTAAGGCGATCGCGCTTCTCCACGAGCGGACGCTTGACCTGGTCCGTGACGGCGTTCTCTGCGCGTGTGGGTCGGGCAAATGTGAGCGGGCCGAGCACGATGAGGGCAGAGGAGCTCAACAGCGTCACGCACCCAGCTCCTGGTTGATGGCGAGGATCTGCATGTCCAGCTCGTGGTACTCGGAGACGGGGTCGAGAAAGTCGGGCTCGAGAATGCGGCGCCACGCTGCTTCGGCGAGAGAATGTCAGTCGGCGCACGGGGTCCGTGGCAGCGCGAGCGGCGGCTACGTACCCACGCGCACTGCAGAGGACGACACATGTCAGGCAACGCGACGAGAGAGGAATACGGCGAGCTCTCGAGCTCACCTTGGTCGTGGAGCGCCTTTGCCCTCGAGACGAGCTGGTCGGGCGCGGTGTGCTCCTCATCCTCAGAGTAATCGTCGAGCTCGTCAGGCTCTGGCGAAGCGCTTCTGCTGTGTGTGCCCGTCATGACGGCGAGGAGCAGTTTGCGGCTCACGCAGCGAGAGCCCCAGCGCGAGCCGAAAGTTCAACTGCACGGACCCGCCGCGGACCTTCCGGAGAGGAGCCCGGCTACGTTCGCTCGCCAACCGGACGCAGCTGCGGTACGTACAGGGGCTGTGTTCCGGTGCGCCCGCGCTCGGTCGACGGCGAGTCGAAGTGAAGAGGGTCGAGCGTGGCAGCCTTCTCCAGTTGCGCCTCGAGCTGCTTTGAGCACCGCTCTCGCAGCTCTGCCGTCCTCGGCGGGCTCAGAGCGACACAGGGCAACTCAGAGCGAAAGTCAGGTGCCGCTGACGGAAGCGAGTCGGAGAATGCGAGCCTCTCTCTCAAGAGCCGCTCGTCAACGGCTCGCTCGACAAGGAGGAAAAGCGCGATCGTTGCAGGAAAGGTACACAAAGTTGGACGGCACGGCAGAGAGGGTACAGCTAAAGCGAGACCTGTCGCGAAAGAGGAGAGAGTCAGGCTGATATGCGAGGGGGAGGTTGAGAAAGCGGGGACTGAGCGCACCTGTCGAACGTTCTCCTCGTCCACCTCGACCCTCGAGCGCCGCACCCTCTCCTCGACCTCCTCCTCTGCCCACCGTCGAGCGCGCCTGCCTGCACCCCGCCGACTCACTCACATCTGCCCCTCCTCAACGGCGGCGTCGTGCGGGCCGGTCGCCGCCGTCATCTGCCGCCCAGCCGCCAATCTGGAAGAGTGCGCCTCCTGCCTGAGCGCCCAGGGCAGCACCGAACTGGAAAGGCCCAGGTCCGGCGGCAAACGCGGGCGCGCCGAACATGAACCCGTCGACGTCGCCGCGGCCGAGCCTGGGTGCGGCGCCAAAGACAAAGGCGGGAGCGGGTGCCGGTGCGGCGGCGGCGGCGCGTACGGCGCCGAACGCGAAGGCAGGCGCGAGTGGCGGTGCGGCGGCTGCGGGTGCGGCGAGAGGGTGGCCGACGGGGTAGATGGGCGCCGCTCGGACCGGCTTGGCGGCGGCAAGGCGGGCGGCATCGGCGGCAGTGCGGGCGTCGAGGGCGTCTTGCGCACGAAGGCGAGCTTGCTCGATCTGAGAGGGAGGACACAACGTGAGTCGCGAGCACTCGCGAGGACGAGGGCTGCGCGAGGAGGAGAGGGACGAACCTGGTTGTAGTCGGCCATCTCGGTGTCGTCGTGGAGGACGCACTTGCCGTCGCCGGAGCCAGCTCGCTGCTCAAAGTGCTCGTAGCCCTTGATCTGTGAGGGCGAGGGACCGAGGGTGTCAGTACGAGGCTCACGGGCTCGGACGAGGCTCGTCGGGCTCTTGACGCACGATCGCGCGACAGCAGTAGCACCAGTAGGCGCCGCACTGGCTGCAGACCATCTTGTTGCACCCGTCCGACTTGAGGCACGGCACGGTGCACTTTGGGCATGGCCGGATGAGCGCGGCCGACATCGCCTCTGCGGCGAGGAGGGTGCGACGTCAGGCTTGCTCCCCTTGCGACATCGAGTAGAGGAACAGAGGGACGCACCCGCGACGGCATGAACTCCGGGGAGGCGGCTCTCCTCGTCGGCCTCCTCGCACGAGAGCGGAACATGGCCCTCCTGCAGGACCCGGCTAAAAGTCAATTTCGGCGACGGCGACGACCACGGCGAGGGGCGAAAGAGGTATACGAGCGCACCTTGCGACACTTGCGGCAGGACACCTTGCGGCACTCGGGCCTCTCGCACCGGAAGAGACGCTCGTCCGGGTTCTCGATGAGGCAGGCGAACGGGCAGAACCTGCAGGCGACGGCGACGAGCGTCGTCAGTGAGGGGGAACAGGGGCGCTCACTGTCACAGAGAAGAAGAAGTAGGACGCACGGGCACTTCTCGAAGCCCTCGACGCCGTCGAACGCCTCGTCGAGGTCCTTCTGCTGAGCGAGTGCCGCGAGCGAGTCGACCATCTTGGGCGCAAGGAACGACGGGTACGACTTGGGGTCGAAGCGAGCTGAGCAGTCGGCCGTCATACAGGGAAGCACCTGTGGGAGGGAGTGGGTCAGTACGGGGAGGGGCGAGGGTTGCGGAAAGGGAGGGAGGGAGAGAAGAAAAGGGAGAGACGCACAGCTTGGCGGCGCCCGATGCGGTCGCTCGCGTTGGCGAGCGCACAGCTCTTGCAGAACAGGTGGCCTTCGACGCACGACGCTGCACGAGGGCGGCAAAGGTTAGCTTGGTCCGGTCGCCTCGAGTCGGGCGGGGACGACGGTGGCCTCGGGGAGGCAGATCTGCTCGCGAGAAATGGGGACGCACCCGTGTTCTCGACGGCGACCTCGTCGTAGCAGCAGCCGCACTCGATGGCCGTGCCGGCCTCGCGCGCCTTCTCGTTGAGCCGCTCGGCCCGCTTGCGCTCGCGGTCGGCGGCACGCTCCTCCTCGTCGGCCGCCCGGCGAGCGGCACGGTCGGTCACTGTGAGGCGAGACGCAAGGGCGCGTGAGTGAGGGAGAGGAGGAGAGGGAGAGGAGGGCGAGGACGCACCGATCTTGTTGACGAGCCAGTCCATCTCGCGCTTGAGCTCCGGCGGCGGACCCTCGACCTCCTCCTCGTCCCACTCCTCGCCGTCGCGCTCGCGCCGCACGATCCTCACGACAGGCTTGGGCGGCTTGCGCGCCTTCTTGAGCTTCTGGTTGTCGTACTCGCCGGCCGTGAGCTTGCGGCGGAGCGTCGTCCAGGTCGGCGCGAAGAAGCACGCGTGCGGCGCCGAGACGAACGACTGCTTGATGACGGTCGACGGGAGGCGGTCAAAGTCGGTATAGAGCTGGTCGAGGCTGTCGTACGGCGAAGCGAGTCAGTCAAGTCCGTTCAGAAACGACGAGAGGGGGAGGAGGGGACGGACGCGATCTTCTTGTACAGGGGCGTCGGCTGCTCGCCGCTGTTTTTCCTCGCGTCGACATCGAGCCAGTCGACCTCCTTCTCCTTGCCCTTGCCCTTGTCCTGGCGCGCGCCCTCGCCGTCGCCCTCGCCGCCGTCGTCGACGCGCGGGTACGTCTTCATGCCGAGGAGCAGCTCGACGACGCTCGCCGCGCCGCCCGCCGCGTGCTCGGGAGCATCGAGGAGCTCCGAGACGTAGCCGGGGTCGACATCGGGGAGGACGGCGAGTACGGTCGCGAGCGGCGAGGGCGGCTGCTCGGCGAGCGAGCCCGGGTCGGCGTCCTCGTCGTCGCTGTCGAGGACGAGGAGCTCGCGGTAGTCGTGGGCGCGGCCTTTGCCCTTGTCGGCGAGACGGCGAGCGGGCAGCGGCGAGACGACCTCGAGCGAGTCGTCGACGACGACCTGGTCCGGCTCGTCGTCCGAGTCGAGGACGTAGACGGCCTTGCCCTTGCCCTTGCCCTTGCCCTCGCCGTTGAGGTCGAGCTGGTGGCCGGGCGTGCCGGTGCGGGCGCGCTTTGGCTGGGGCGGCGTGTCGGGCGACGAGTGGGCGAGGCGGAGCGAGGGCGAGGCGGCCCGCTTGCGGGCCATCGTCGCGTTGGCGGCGGTCGAGGCGGATGCGGCGGCAGGCGGGTCGATGAGGTCGATGAGGGCTCCGAGGGCAGCTGCAAGGAGGACGCGAGCAGGTGAGCGCGGGTCCTGCACCGCCTCGTTGAACGACGAGGGGGAGCGCGAAGAGGAGAGGAGTGCAGAGTCGCACCTTGGGCGCTCGCGCTCGCGAGCACGGCCTCGCCCGCACTTGGTGCGCCGTCCTGACGCGTCTCGTCCCACGCCCTGAGCGCGTCGCGCCTGGTCGAGGTCGGGGCGAGTGCGCGGGCGGCGATGAAGAACTGCTCGGCGACGACGCTCCGAGAGGGTCAGTACGAGGTGCCGCGGTCCTTGTAGAGCTCGAGAGTGCATTCTTGGCCCCACTCATACCCGCTCGAGAGGTTGCGAAAGGCTCACCTCGGGTGGAGGAACGTCGGGCGGCGTCTCGTCGTCGTCGCTCGACAGCTCGAGCGGGCTCTTGGCTGGCGCAGCAGGGCCGGCGACAGAACGGGGCTGCCAGCCAGACATGGCTGCCGGGGCTCTGGCGGACAGAGAGCGGGTGGAGGACGACGCGGCTCCGACTCGGTGTCGCTTCGAGTCGCTCGCTCGGCCGCTTTTCTCTCGCTGGTCTTTGCTAGACAGCATCTCGTCTCGTACCCAGTCGTATGCGCCGCGTCCTTATTGCAACTGCGCCCCTGGCGAGAGCTGCGGCGTCTCTGACCCTGAGTTTGGTCGACGCCGGCTTTCTCTCGTCCTTCGGCCGCGCACACGTCTGGTTTCGGCCTTCGGAAGAGCACGAGCAGGCGCGGAATGCGGTGCAGGACACGGCGTAGCCAAAAGACGCGTGCCCTTGAGCGAGAGGCGGGACAACGCGCGCAGGAGAGTGCGAGGCGATCCAAGCCCGTCTCGCCGCAGCCAGGGTCGACGCACGACCGCCAGCCGATACTCGGCGTTGTACTCGAGCGGCTACGCGGCTGGAGAGCAAGTGCAAGGCGAGGCCTCGAGCAGGGTGCGCGCGCAATGGCGCCAAGCCGAGTCGTCGATGCGAGAGGCGAGCGAGGGCGGCCGCTCCGCCCGCTCCGAGTGTGACGACAGAGAGGCGACCCGTGTTGCGAGAGCGTGCGCGTGGAGATGCGGCGCAGCGAAAGAGCGTGCGCGCAGGTGCGACTCGCGAGCCGGCGACTCGGAGGAGGAGGAGCAAAGGGAACACGACCAAGCGCGATGAGAAGGCGGCGCGGGACCCGGACAGGCCGCTGCGCCGAGTGTGGGACAGCTGGTCGAAGCAGGCGACATGCTCACAGGGCAACAGCGTCGGTGCCGGTGACAAAGGCGGGAGCCAAGCGACAGGTGAGCGGGAGCCGGCCACTCTCGTGACCACCGGCTCGAGCTGCTCGCCCAGACGCACCAGAGCAGCGAGCCATGCACTAGCTGCCCTGTACGCACCCAGCCCGCCGTCTTCCACCCAGCCCTCGCGACCTGAGCGCCTGTACACCGCCTCGCTCGACCACCACACGTCCGCGCGCATCTCGTCGGCGACTCGCCCAGCCCCGAGTCGCGCCAGTCGACCGCTCCGCCCGGCATGAGCCACGCGACCCACCCGTACGCTCTCTCGGCCCAGCACGTGGCCGCGTCGTCGTCGTCGTCGGGCGGTCCCACACGCGCCGCTCCTCCCGGCCCCGCTCAACCTCGCCCTCGAGCACCAGGACCGAGCACGGCCGGCCTTGGACAGCGAGCACTCGGCTACGGCACGCTCGACCCGCATCCCGACCAGCGCCGCCTCCCGTCCTACTCAACTTCGCCCTCCCCCATTGCGACCTCGTCGTCCTCGCTCGCGTTCGACCCCGCCGCGGGCGACTACAGCCACACGGCGCACCGCACTCGCGCCGAGTCGTCCCCCACCGACCATCGCCATCACGCCGACCATTCGGCGCCCCCGCCCCCGCTCGCGCACCACCTCGACCACGGCCCCACTCGCCCCGAGCCCGTGCGCAGGCAGGGCAGCAACACGGTCACCCGTCGCGTCATCGTCGACGAGCACGGCGTTGAGCGCGACGAGACGCGCGACGAGCGCAGGGCCCGCAAGGAGCGGGAACGGGCCCACAGGGCTGCGACGGCTGGACAAGACGGTGCGCCCTCTCCCCTCTCTCCCTCGCTCCCTCGTCAGACTCCTCGAACTGACGTCCTACCGGTACAGGCTCTTCGACGCGCCGGCGGCGATTATCTCGAGCGAGCGACGGCGCCGACTCGGTCGCTCCTTCGCCCTCCCTCTCGTTCGGCTCGCCCGCCTCGGTCGCCGCTCCTCACATCGCCTCATCCTCCACCTCGACGGGCGCCAACAACTCCGCCGCATCGTCAAAGTCGGTCCTCACCATCGCCCTCCAACGCGCCCAGTCGGCCGTCCTCCTCGACAGCGCCAACAACTTTCCCGCCGCGGTCGCGGCCTACACGCAGAGCGTCCGGCTCCTCAAGGAGGTCATGGCCCGTGTCGAGGAAGGGTCGAGGGACATGGAGCGCAAGTTGAGCACCGGCGGCATGCGCGACGGCGAGACGCGCGACGAGTGGGAGCGCAGGAGGGCCCGGTACGAGCGCAAGGAGCGCGCAAAGGTCGACGAGGCGCGGCGTCTCAGGGTTATCGTGCGTCCGACTCCCTCTCTATCTGCCTGCGACGGTCGAGCCGACTCTCTCTCTCACGCGCAGCACGACACGTACGAGGATCGCATCCGCATGCTCGCCCAGATGGGCCACACGGCCCCGGGCCACGTCCCGCCACCTTCCCTCGAGCTCGCCCCGCCCCCTTCACTGTCGTCCACGTCCCTCTCGACCGCCGCCCACGATCTCTCGGCACCCGCACCCGCCGCGGCACATCCGCCAACCTCTTCCTCGTCCGCCCCGTCCCTCGCCAACCTGCGTCTCGACGACCCAGGCGGCGTCGGGCGGCACCACAACCTCCACGCGCGCGACCGCAGCGACGTCTCGCTCCGCATCGTCGCGCCCTCAACGCCCGTCGAGCGCGACCCGCACGCCGCCGCGAGCGGCATCGGCGCGGCCATGCTCCTCCCGTCGCCGACCGAGCGCGCCGTGCCCACATTGTCGAGCCTGCCTGTCGCTCTCGCACACGATGGCGGCGACCGCGTCCGCTACCTCGCGCCCGAGGGCGACCCGGATCGGCCGCTCAGCATGGCGAGCGACTCGACCGCGACCGCGACCGCGAGATCCCGTACCCCGAGCGCTGCGACGCCGACCCTCCCTGCGCCCATACCCTTCGCCCACCGCATTGACCCGGTCAGCCCGACCGACTCGCGCGCGTCGTCCGACGGCCTCAGCACCGCCGTCGAGCCCGCCTCGAGCTGGTCCGCCAGGCCCCACGCGTTCGAGCCCGCCTCGGCCCCTGTACGCCACCCGGCGCTCACGAGCCTCGAAATGCGCCGAGGGTCCTCGGCGAGCGCGCTCAGCGGCGACACGCTCCGCGTCGGCGTGCCCGGGTCGGCGTCGGCGCCGGGCATGGTGCGCGCCGCGTCGAGCGGCTCAACGACGGGCTCGGCGACGCCCATGCGACGAGGGAGCTCGCTCGGCCTTCTCGGCTCGGCAGAGGCGGCGCCGATCGAGATCCGCCCCAGGCCGATCCGCACGGTCAGCCTCGCCGGGACCGCCACGGCGCCAGACGAGCAGCAGCCGCGGCTGCAGCTCGTCAACGAGTCGACTGCCGAGGGCACCATCTCGCAGCGTCGCAGTGCACGGTCGCCTGTCCCGAGCGACGAGGCGTCCATGCGGCCGCCCGAGGTCGCCGTTCGAGCGCCGTCGTCCGAGGCCGACCGCTCTTTCGCCTTCCCGCCGCCGACGCCGGTCGACTCGGCTCTTCCTCGCCCTGTCCTCAAGAGCGTCTCGTCGGCGTCGTCGCTGCCCGGGCGGCTACGAGCGCTGAGCCAGCCGGGGAGCAAGCGGCCCAAGTTGCCCTCGTTCGACGGCGGCGCAGCCCGACCACCACTGCCGCCGCTCCTCGCGACGGGCCTCGGCCCAGGGGCGACGTCGCGCGCCGTCTCGGCGTCGCACGCGCCGTCGGCCTCCCGTCGTCGTCGTCGACCGCGCCCGCCGGCTCGCTCGCCCGCAAGGCGTCCGCCCCGACGCCAACGTCGCTCACGGCGCCCGCTCAGCTCGGCGCTCCCGGCGGCGGGCCGCTCGGCCGGAGCAACTCGTCGTCGTCGGTCGCGAGTACGGCGTCGCGTTTGTCGGGTCGAGCGAGCGGCGCCCCGGGCTCGCCGAGCGACACGCCCGCGACCTCGAGCTTCCCGTCGTCCATCTCGAGCGGGTACTCGCACCCGTCGTCCCACCTCGGCGGCCTCGGCGGCGGCATCGGCGCCGGCATCTACTTGTCGAAAGGCCTGCCGTCGCCGCCGCAGCCGGGCGCCCCCAGCTCGCGTGAGGCGACGCTCGCCTTGCCGTCAGTCCGCCGCCCCTTTCACCTCATGCGCCTCGTCGCCGCCACCATCCCGACCACGGAGAGCGGCGCCGGCGGCGGCACGAGCGGCGGCGGCGGGTACCTGAGCGAGCGCCTGTTCGTCCCGGCGCACGTCTGGACGACCTCGGCCGGCACCAAGCTCGTCGCCATCGAGACCAAGGTCCGCATGCTCGACCTACTCGCGTCGGGCCTCGACGCACTCGATCGAGCCGGGCGGGGCATGCTGCTCGTGCCAGTCGGCAGCTCGAGCGCAGCGGCCGCGGCGAGGGAGGAGGCGGCGCGGTTCGCCAAGGAGCTCGAGAGCTTCGAGGGCCTCGCCGAGGGGATCCAGAGCACGTTGGCGAAGAAGCTGGGCGTCGGCGTCATCGGCGTGACGGGCGGCGGCATCGCAGGAGGGGCGCCGCCAGTGCGGGAAAAGGACTCGAAGCAGGGGCGCAAGGGCAGCACGGTGCGTCACGCCTCTCTCTCTCTCTCTCTCGTTACGCACGACTTCTCACTGACCCACCTGCTCCGATTGTCTGCAGGCCAGCTTTTCGACTTGGAGCTCCAAGCTCTCGATGAGCCTGAACCGGGTCGTCGCCAACGGCGTCAGGCGCGTCCTCGTTTCGCCTCGCTCTCACGGGGCCTGCGTACTCACACCTCTTTTCCATCTTCTCCCGCAGCCTCGACTCGCAGGCCACGTACGTAGACGCCATCGCCAAGGTCTTTCGACAAGCTCAGTCGCTCGGTGCGTCCCCGAGCGCGCTCCCCCCCTCTCGTCCCTTACCCGGCTCATGTGCTCGTCGTTCTCGCCCACAGATCGTCACCTCGCCCTCGTCTTTCCTGCCGCAACCGATCGGCCGGCCGACTCGGCGTACGCGCTCCTGCCGGCGGCGGACCTGTATCGCCTCGAGCGGCACCTGCGCAAGTCGAGCGAATTCTTCGCGCACGTCATCTGCCGGTTTGTGCTGCGCGACACCGGGATCTTGTTGGACAAGTGTGCGTCCTCTTTCCTCTCTCTCTCTCCATGTATGCGAGGGTGTCTGCCCTGGGTGGTGCTCACCCTGTTCGTCCCCTCGCGCAGATGTCAAGCGCGGTGGAGCATGGCTCTCGGGCGAGTGAGGTTCGTCGGGCGATCTGGAACGAGCAAGACAGTACAAGCTCTGCAACACGGCGCTCGCGAGAGGCTCGCTCAGAGCTTCGCTTCTCGTTTCCGCTTCCTCGTCCCCTTCCTCTCTCCTCTTGTCGGCCGCGACAGCTCGCATTCCCGGCCACCTGGTTCCTGCGTGTCTGTCGCCTGTCCGCTCTTGAACGAGCCTCACAGACAGGTTCGAGCCTGCGAGCCACGCCTCGAGCAGGCCGCGAGCCAGCTCACGGGCGAGGCTCGAGCGCGCTCACGCTCTTGGCGCACGCGCCGTCCTGCCTCCGGTCCGTCACGGACGCGCCTCGGGTGATCGACGCTTGCGGGCCTGCCGGCGCGGCGGGGCAAGCCCGGCCGCAAAGATCGCCCTGCGAGTCGACGGCAGTAGAGCAGAGCTGTTGGAGGACGAGGAGGAGATCGCGCAGAGGTGAGCCCACTTTGCCCTCTTTCTCTCGTCGGCCTGCAGCACGTACTGACACCTCGAGACCGACCTGCAGCGAGGGGAATGCCGCTCGGCGGCGAGGAGGCGACGAGAGCGAGGCCGGAGACTCCTGTCCGTCGAGGTTCGGTCGACGACGAGAGCGCGTCCGTCCGTGGTGCGGGGTCCGCAGCAGCTTCTTTACAGCTTCTGTTGCTCTCTCGCACCGTCTCTCTCGTCGTCGACAGCACACGCAGCGAGACGAGGAGCGTCGGCGGCAGGTCGGCCTTGGGCGCACGGTGCGTCGCCTCTCCCTCCCTCGTCCTTTGTCCTCGCAGCCTATCCCGGCTCGCGGACACGCCGAGCTCACCAGCGTGTCGAGTCTCAGCACAGCGCATCGATCAGGCTGCCCCCACTCTCGCCTGGCGCCGTCGTCCCTCCCTCGCTCCTCCCTTCCTTCCTCCTCGTCCACCCGTCCGGCCTCGTCGACATGGCGACGGTGCGACACGCCGCATCACCGCTCGACCTCCTGTCGGGCGTCGCCATCGAGCGCGAGCGACACGTCCGCTCCAGCGACGAGCCCGGCGTCGCCGCGGCGGAGCCTCGCTCGACGACGACGCGAGCTCCCTCGCCGAGCGCGCCTCGAGCCGCACAAGGCGCGTCGACATCTCAAGCTGTGCCTCCATCGGCACCGAACCCGCGCTCGGCCACGCCGGCGGGCCTCCCTCACCCTCACCCTCACCTTCGACCCCGCACCCGCCTCCCCTTCCCTTCCGTCTCCGACCTCCCACCCACCACCTCGAGCCTCGCCGTCCACTCGTCCGGCGACACCTACATGTACGGCGACGCATCGGGGCGCGCCGTCGTCCATCGCCAACAGCTCGTCGGCCCGGTGGACGGGCCTCTCGCCTCGCTCCTCGCGACGCCCCGCACGGACGCCTTGTCGTCGCCCTTTGCGGCACCCGAGCGCAGTCGAGCCCCGAGCTCGTACGGCGCGTCTCACGCCCACTTCCCGTCCGTCGGCGGGCCCAGGAGCGTCGCCATGATGCGGCAGCAGCCGTCTTGGCCGAGCCGCCTCGACCGCCCGCGCGACAGGCCGTCGGCGTTCGTCCCCTCGACGATCCTGTGCCCTCCTGTCTTCCCGCCGTTGTCGAGGACCTCGGCGCCGGGTCGGCCGCGCCCGCACGTCCTCTTGCACCCCGACTCGCGAGCCGACCTCGAGCGCGACGAGCCGTCGCCGTCCTCGGAGCCCGTCCGCAACGCCTCGGTCGCCCTCAAGGCGTCACTCGAGCGTCCAACGGCGGTCACCGACAAGAAGCCGCCGCAACGGGCGCACAAGAAGGCGTCGGGCGACCAGAAGGGCAAGGCCAAGGCGCCGCCGCCGCGTCCGCTCTCGCGCATCAAGCTCTCCGAGCGCCCACCTCGCGACATGGACCGCTGCGACGCGATCGTCTCGTGCACGCTGTGGGAGGACGAGCGCACCGTCGCCATGCAGGTCCTCGTCGACGGCCACGTCGTCGCGAGGCGAGCCGGTGCGTCCACCTCTTTCCTCTCGCTCCTTTCGAGACAAGTCGCGCCTGAGATCGGGTTTCTCCCTGCCCGCACAGACACCGACTGGGTCAACGCGACCAAGATCGTCAACATGGTGCCCGGCATGACTCGCGGCAAGCGCGACACGATCGTCAAGACGCGCTTTGTGCGTCCTCATCTTGCGCCTTCTCTCGGTGTCGCGCCTCCTGAAACTGACCTCTTCTTCTCTACAGGGCGACAGCGACCGCATCATCTTTCGCCGAGGCGCACTGCACCTCAAGGGCGTCTGGTGCGTCCCGCTCACCTTCTCGCGCCCGCACGGTCCCTCACTGACCTTGACCTCGTTCTCGCAGGGTACCTCTCGCCGCCGCTGCCGAGCTCGCGCAAGACTACGACCTGATCGACCTCCTGTACCCGTTGTTCGAGGACAACATCCGCTCGTTCCTGTTCCGGCCGATCAACACGGAGCGCACGACGCTCCTCGTCGTCGCTGCACGCGAGCGCGCCGCCCTCTGCGAGATGCCCGATGCTTCGAGCGGCCTCAGCCTCGAGCTGCGCGAGGAGCTGCGCATCCGCGGCGAGGAGCTCGCGCGCTTCCTCCAGTACCTCGAGCAGGGTCTCGGACTGCCCGGTCCGAGCGCCGCGCCGTCGTCAGCCCCGTCGCGCCACGCTCAGCTCGGCATCGACGATCGTCGCGGTATCAAGGAGCAGGCGCGCGTGCACGTCCCGAGCGCTCCTGCTCCCCTCGGCGCTCGGCGCCCTGTCCCGCCCGTCGACGGCGTGGCTCGCGACGAGTGCGACCCGCCGTCGCCGCCGACGCCTCCTCCGTCGGGCGGCCCCTTGCGCTCGACGCGCCAGCAGCAAGGTCTCGCGGCGACCTACCGCACCCGCTTCGGCTTCCCAGCCGAGGGACCCTCTCCTCCCGAAGCGGGTCCGAGTCGCTCCTCGTCCACCTCTCGCGTCGTCGCCTCGTCGACCAAGCGCGGCCCGGCCACGTCGACCATGCGCTCCATCCAGCCCGACAACGCGACGCCCAAGCTCAAGCTCGACATGCGCCCGTACGCCGCGCCGGCGACTGCGGTCGAGCACCCGCCTCGTCCCCCAGCTGGCGGCCCCGCCGGGTCGGCCTTCTCCTGGTTCGACAACCCGACGCCGCCCGAGCACGCGGCGGGCGAGTACTTTGACCCCTCGGCCTCGACGAGCGGGTGCCCGAGCGTCGCGCAGCGGTCCCGACACGCTCCTTCGGCAACGGCTCCGACGAGGTCGAGGGCGGCTCGCCAGCCGAGGTCATCGTCGCCGCCGAAGCGTCGAGCCCGGCGTGGTGCGACTCGGGCGAGACGCTCGAGGGTCGATCCGCGCGTCGAGGGTCGTCAGGCGGGACGCGTGCCCGCCTCGAGGGACGTGCACAGTCGGTCGCTCTCGGTCCCGACGACCATCGGCGGCGCCCTCGACCTCGACTCGCGCGTTCTGCCGGCGCTCACCGAGGCGCCGCAGCCGGCGCCGCACGAGGAACCCGCCAACTACCTCGCGCTCGTCGCCGAGCTCGTCGCTTCCCTTCGATCGCCCTCGCCCAAGCACTCGCCGTCGCCCTTGTCGCGCCTGTCCGTCACGCGCATGTCGGTCGACGCCGCCGCCGCAGTCGTCCATCCGCACGTGCCGGGCTTCTTCGGCGCCAAGTCGCACTTTGCGCCTCGCTCGGTCGAGGTCGAGGCTGCGGCGGCGCCCCGAGCCGACACGGAGGACGCCCGCGGCCGCGAGCTGCTGAGCGAGCTTCTCGCCGGTCGCGAGTCGGCGCGCCGTACGGCTCGCGACGGGCTCGGGCCGCTCTTTTCGTCGCCCTGCCCCGACATCGACGCCTCGGCCACCCTCGACTCGCGTCGCCTCGCCGCGACGGCCGGCCTTGACGACGTCGCTGTCGAGGCTCGGCACGCCGCCCTCTGCGAGCCGCGTACCTCCCTCTCGTCGCCCCCCGACGTCGCTCGAGCCATTCCCGCCCGTGCCGCCGTCCTCTCGGGCGCGACCGCGCCGATCCCGCACAAGCGCTCGTCCTCCGACGTCGACGACGTCGACTTGAACGTCGGACCCGACCAGCTGCGCGGCCTCGAGCGCGTAGAGCGGGCGTGCTCGCCCAAGAAGGCGAGGCTCGCCTACAGGCGAGGCGACGATGGCTCGCGCGCCGCCAAGTGAGCGCCGAGGCTCGAGGGTCAGGGTGTGGACGGTTCTCTGCTTGGATCTGGTGCGTCCTACTCTCGCCGTTCCCCTCTTTCCCTTTGACGAGACTGACCCGTCGTCCCTCGTCCTCGTGCGCAGCTTCTTCCGGCTGTCGAGGTTCTCGGCCAGGGCGCCTTAGACGCGCCCGTCTCGAGCACTGTTTCGCTTGGCGTCTTGTCCGTGCAACGCAGTCACACCCTTCGCTGCACCTGGACCGCGAGAGAAGCTCTCGCGAGCGAGCCGGCGGGCGGCAGAGGAAAGCGGCTCTCGGACCTCGCCTCGCCGGCGGACAGGCCGCACCTCTCGAGAGCTGTACGACGTCCTCAGAGAGCGTGTCGACCTTGCTGCACAAGGCCCGAGCGAGGTGAACGGCGTGCCGAAAGCGGGCTCGGTTCGGCTGCGTCTGACGCCAAGTTGCGCAGGGACTTTCCGCACCTCTCGCTCCGTCGTCCTCGCTGTCCCCGCCGCAGCTCGAACACTTGCCCGCTGAGCTCTCCAGCTCTCTGCAACGCTCGCCAAGTCCACCCGGCCCCACGCCCTCGCCCCGTGTGACCTCGCCCCGGGTTCGCTGCGATGGCTTCGACTCGGGACGACTTC